AAAAAAACAACAAAAAAAAACGGGTCCGGTTCTCTGCTCTGCCCAAAGCTGAAGTTATAGCCATATAGCCAAGAGCTGAACTCAGCTGCTAAGCAAATACCGATGAGTACATATGTACATACATAAATACATACATACATACATATATACATAAATGCCTGGGGTGAAATGCAGAGGCAAATAGAGTTAGACACATAGACATACATAGAGCAAGAGCGGGAGCAAGAGATAGAGATAGCCTGACATGAGGCAACAGAGGAATAGTGACTCAAAATGGCACATTGACATAGTACGACAATAGAGTCGACTCAGCTCTGCTTCTGTTATTATTGTTGTTGTTTTTGTTGTTGTCTGGTGCATGTTGCACCTGCCCAGTTTTTGGTGCTATCCGTCTGTCCACCCCGCTATGCACCGCTATTCCCTGCACAGACATTGTTGGCTTTTCACGTGAAAAACATGCACAACAGCCATGGCATGTTTGTAATGTGAGAAGTGTGCGCTGTTTACTCAAAATAAAAAAACAACAAAAAGCAATAACCACTACTTAAAAAACATAACCGAACAGAACACAAACCGCGCGAAAGTCAAGAAAAAGCATCTTAGATGTGTTTCGCGAGACATTGGTTGGACCTTCTGGTGACATATTCCATTTTTTGGCTAGAAAACAGAGCCTTCACATTATACGATTCACTTTTCAGATTCATACTTGACAAGCAAGTGAAATACAGATCCAATTCATAGATAGAGATGAGATTATATTCGTTGCACTCTCGAACTGGATTTATATATACATAAAAAATAATACAAAATAAATATAAAAAAAACTAAAATTTTGTGATTAGAGACAGTTTTTGATTATTAGCTAAATGTGAACCCTAGTTTCGACATTGATTGATGACCCATGATTCTATGGAGCTGAACGAATGCTAATCTGAATTTGAATCTGAATCGGAAATTGTACTGAATTAGACAACAAAGTGTTGCAACTGTTTTGATAACCACATGTAGCGTAGATAGCCCAGCTAGCTTGATTAGTATAGTGAATGATCTTTGTCTGGCACTGAATGAATGACGTTGTCTTGTTTTGGCAACAATGCAGCAAATGCACTAAATGCAAAAGGATCAGCAGTTCGGCTTGTGATGAACGATTGCACAAAGCACGCACTTGTCACACAAGCTGCAGCAGCAGCGGCCAATGTTGCAGCTCATCAGTGCAGTTAAGGGTCGGATAGCGGAGGCTGCAGCAGCAACAGTTCGCCGCAAAGATCAATATCATGCTGTGGCAGCATCAGCCTGATTGCTTGCCTTTTTAGCCAAATAAAAAGGAAATTATGCTTTAATTGGGCACTTTTGTCAACGAGCCAAGTCAGGCCAGGCCAAAGTCAAGTCGAGTCGAGTGGAGTGGAACGGAGTCGATTGGCTCTAGAGCAAGCCGATCCGAACCGAGCCTTTAATTGCAGCTACTTGGCTGAGACTCAGCAGCCGTTGCGACGGCAGGCTCTCGAGCACATTGACAGCGATGCTAGCTGGGCGATAAGCATTTTTCGGCACTGCCTCAGTTCCTCGAGCTTCTCAATAGAGTTCCCCCAGGCTCTCCGGCATATACATGCGCATAGACATAGTAGTAGTAGTTGGAGGTAGTAGTCGATCTTGATATGTGTTGGTTCAGTGGAAAACGTCGCCAGCTGCCGAGCGTCGCGACGGTTGGCGGTTGGCGGTTAGCGTGTGAATTGCATTGCTCTGCAGAAATTAGATACCAAGAGACAGCATTACAACAGCAGCAGCAGCAGCAACAAGAGACAGGGAAGCGGGCAGGCAGGCAGGCAGTCAGCTAACTAGGCGTTGTACTTGCACACATTGAGTTAGATCTGCAGCTGGCATGGTGGAAGCCATAGTCCATGGACCAGAGACCATAGACCAGAGCAGAGATGACTGATCATCGGGCAAAGACATTAAATCATCTTCTGGTTATGGATACCGACTTACCTCTGTTGCACTGCTGCACATTCGATAGCCTCCAGTTGTTACTGCTGCTGCGACTGATGCGGCTGCTGCTGCCGCTGCCGCTGCCGCTGCTGCTGCTGCTGCTGCTGCTGCGGTTACGCTCGTGAGAAGCTGTGACTGAAGCTTTATAAAGTTATGATTACACACATTTCTCTCTCTCTCTCTCTCTGCCTCTCTCCCTCTCTCTCGCGCGTTTCTCGACCGCAAATTGAAATCGCCAGCGACAGCGATTGAGACTACTGAACGAACATGCCAAATGCATTTTTCTCACACAACGCAAACATTTTTGTTGTTATTTGTTGTGTGTGCGGCGCAGATATCATAAAGATCGTGATGTTGATTTGTGATTTGTGATTTGTGATTTGATGTGAACGTGACGTTACAGGTTATTAGAAAAAAGTCACCACACACCGAAAAACTATTGTTCCTGTGCATAGATTGCCTGATTTGAAAAATATACTCACCGCATTGTCAGATAAATGTTGCTGTAATTACATGCGAAACACACCACAGCTGCTATGAACTCACCGCAATATGTGATGATCATGGGAATGAGTTGGAAACTGGACTCGTGACGTCAGACAGCTGTCACGCGCCCATCTCTAGCAGGCTTAAACACACCCTGTCCGCTGGATACTTTGGTTTATTTACCAATGCTAGTCACGTTTTCAGTTATTTCTTCGTTTTGTACTTGGCTCTTTTTTGCCTGCACTCGCGTTTCGTTTGAAAACGCCAGCTAAACACACACAGACACACACACAGGCTGAAACAAGTTAGTAACTGGGAAGCAAGCAGCAAAGCTCTCAAAACACAGACCCGAACTCAATTCAGCTCCAGCTCCAGCTCCAGCTCCAACTCAACGCAACTCAACTCAGCTGCAACTTTGCGCAGCTCAACTGGCCCGTGTATAATTTATATTACATTAATTTTTCGATAGCAGCGGCGAAAAACGCTTGACACCTCATTTGAATGGGAGTCCGTTTGGCAGGCAGGCAGGCAAGCAGCGCTGTCCGTTGTCCGTTGCTTGTTTCAGTTTCATTTCGACCTGCCTTTAAGCCCCAACAGCAGCCCCAACAGCAGCCACAGCAGCAGCTGGGGCTAAACATCGATTTCTCAAGCCAAACAAGCAGCATGTTGCTAACTGTTTTGCCTACAGCTTCGATAACGATCAACAATCGACACACTCACACACACACACTCACACATACACATGCACACACAATCGCATCGCACTCGAAAGTGAGGTTAGGCTGGGCATTTTGTGAGGTTATGTGTGATACAAATTAATGCTAAATCTAAAGCATTTTCACACACTTGTAACGGTAAGTGCCAGCGCCAAAGAAAAACCGTTTCCCAATCCAGTCTGCCCCGCTCTTCCTCTCCCTCTCCTCCTTTTTCATCTCTCTCTCTCTCTCTCTCTCGCTTTGAAGCCAGTGGCCAAAGCAGAAGTCGCCTTAATGATTATTCATTGCTTCTGCTTCGGCTTCTGCTACTGCTTCTTCTTCATCTTTATCTTCGTCGTTGTTGTTGGGATGCTGCTGTTGCTGGCTGCTATTGCTGAAATGCGTGTAATTTTCTCATTGCTTTGCCGTAGCTGGCTTTGACTTTGGCTTCGATGAAAATTTAATATGCAATCAAGATCGCGCACAAATTACCGTACATAAAAATTGTTTTCTCAAGGGAAAACAACAATGTGCAAGTTGTCGTTCGACTTTAGCTTCAACTCGCTTATAATCATCAGCAACAGCAGCAACAACAGCAGCAACATTGTCATCATCATCGTCATCGTCATTGTCATCGGCAATCGAAGTGCGCCCTGGCGCTGCATTCATTGACTGCAATTACTTTGCTAATTTGTTGTTGTTGTCCGTTTGTTGGTGTTGCTGTGGTTTTTGTTACTGCTGTTGGCCATTTTAATGAGACAAACACGCATTGATGTTTGACCGATCTGCTCTTGTGAATGCTTTTTGTGTTTGTACAGCATTTGGCCAAAATTTCAAACTCTTTCACACACAATTGTGTCGAGTTTAACGTTTGCTTGTTTATGCTAATATGCCACTATCATTGATCATGCAGATATGATGTGGATATATTTTTTAAGTCGATTAACTTATCGCAGTCGTAATTCACGCTAGGATAGATCTGCTGCCAGGTGGGAGTAAGCCCTGAGCTATTTTGGCAATGGACTTGATCCCCTAATCTGATATGTCTGCAAGAAAGGAAGAACCAAAGAATTGTAGTCTTATCCATCCAGCTAACGGGATAATGGGAACGATTCTTCTTCTATTATTACATTTGACGTAAAAAGCAGACTAATAAAAATAGTAAAACCAATAATGAAAAACAATTGAATTGAGCAATTCCATTCATATATAAATTATATCAAACTTGTTGAGCTTCAGTTAGGTTTCCCAATCTGAAACCTTAAGTGATCGAAGCATGAACTAGAACTTTTGGAGATCTCCTTCTTTATCTATGATTCGAAATCACAAGTTTATTTTTGTATTAAGCAACCAAATAAACAAATCATAAAGTCACCAAAATATATTACAAACAATTTGGGATGCATATCGTTTTGCTGAAACGCGAGCAGCTAGCAGCGAAATGTTGATAAATAATGGCAAATATATATATATATATATATATATATATATATATATATGTGTGTGTACATAGAGAGAGAGAGAGATCAGAACTTCCTAAATGTATTTATGTATGAATATTTACGCGTTTCGTATCGATATTGTTGCCACTGCTGCAACTGGCTTGCGGAAATGAGGCAAGTTTGTCGGTTTGTCAGCTTGTCAGCTGGTTTAACACTTTAGCGCTTATCGATACACACAAATCAGCCGCCGCAAATCTGACTGCAACACCGATGCCGATGCTGATCTGGCGTTAGTCCATAAACTAGATAAATGAATGTATTCATCATGCACACACACACACTTACAAGCTATCCTCTTTCTATATGGTAATCTGTTTTGTATCTATTGCAGTTGCGATACACGCTACGTTGGCGACTACTGTGAACATCGGAATCCCTGTTTGACGGGCCACGGACGTTGCCAGAATGGCGGCACCTGTCAGGTGGCCTTTCGGAATGGCCGGCCTGGCATCTCGTGCCTGTGCCCGCTCGGCTTTGAGGAGTCGCTCTGTGAGATCGCTGTGCCGAATGCCTGCGATCAGGCGCGCTGCTTCAATGGCGGCACTTGCCAGCTGAAGACGCTCCAGGAGTACAGTTGCATCTGCGCCAATGGCTATACGGGTAAGTTGTCTATACATAAATAATATAATCCCTCCCCCCGCCGACCATACCTTCATGCCTCATACGATCTCTAATCTCACTCCAAACAGGCGAACACTGCCAGACGCAGAATCTGTGCGCCAGCTCACCCTGTCGCAATGGCGGCACCTGTTCCGCAATGGCCGGTAGCAGCAGCTTCAGTTGCAATTGCCCGCCTGGTTTTACGGGTCACACCTGCTCCGAGGATGTGGAGGAGTGCCAATCAAATCCTTGCCAATATGGCGGTACCTGCGTCAACACGCATGGCTCCTATCAGTGAGTATTACACTTATTTAAACATTTAATAACCAAAAAGGAGACGACGCACCTGAGCCAGCCAATTGAATATAACAGAATATTATATCCTACATCCGCAATACATATATACAGGGGTAACTTGAGTGAAGGCCTCTTTTTGCTTTTTAGCCAAGATGAATTGTTGCAAAAAGAAAAAGAGTCATCCATTTGGGCATCACTTTCAGTCAGTGTCATTGATGAATTTAGTACATAACTCAGCGGATGACAAGTGCAAATTTGGTTGCTTGTTCGACAAAAGATCAGACACGTTCCGATTAGAGAGAGAGAAAGAGATAGAGTGAGAGAGAGACAGAGAAAGAGGGGATATCACACAAAACAAATCGTCGCATTTGCATATTTATGTAATTTATGGACAACAACAAGAACAACAACAACCACAAAAACCGTTTGCGGGCTGTGCGCCAAATTAATGACTATTTAAAACTAATAATTTATAAAATCGAATTCGATGGCTCCATTGTTTAGACCCAAATACGCATTAGCATCGGGAAGCGATTAAAATAGTTTATTGATTTTGGACCAAAACAGTGAAACAACAAATTGGCAATTGGTCCAACAACGTTTCCACTCTAATTATAATATACAAAAAAAAACTATTGAGTTAAATCAGCCAGACTTGCATTTAAATAGCGTCAATAGAAACGCCGCAACTAACTGAAATTTCCGGCGCTTTGTTTTCGCAGCTCCCCTCTCCTGTGGACTGGTTCGCTGCCTCGACATGTATATTAAATTATTTCATTGGCAACATTTGCATTTTTAATTTGAAACACATTCACACAAATTGTCAAATACTCTACCTGTAGAGTGCTGTCGTTGGCAAAGAAAACAAACTTTAAAAAATAAATTAATTCACTTCGGAAGATAAATGAGTGCATATAACCCAATACCCAATTCTCAGTTGAGGCCGCAGCGTATTCAATATTGAAATAGATACTCATTCGAGCTGAAAAGTGCGACACGAACATGTGTTTTACTGTGTTCCTCTTTTTTTCGACTTTTTTTGCCATTTGAATAATCACCAAATGAACTGGCATTTGACTGGGCAATTAGCATAAGCATTTATGGCAAAGGTTCTATCTTGGGTATTGTCACTAATTGATCATTTGTAAGATGTGGTGGTGGCTAACACCACACTTAAGTCACCACCACCAGCAAACCCCACCCAAAGAGGTAGGGGTTAGCGCCCAACTCGAGCCCTACTCGAATGAATTGCAATTGGTCTGTTTGAAATGCGACAACTAATTGGATCGTTAACTTGGCATATTTGATGGCATCCAGCTATTGATTCCTTTTTGTCAACGGCCCATTTAGATTGGTTTAAATCGCTGCCACCGTTGAGGCATTCGCATAATATTCACATTGTCTTGCCAATTTTATTGTGTTTATGCGTAAATAAAACGTTATTCAAATTTTTTCCAAGCGATATAAAATCGTTAATTTAGTGGACAGCGGAGCTTAGTCATGCTCAAACATATGAATATCAATGAGTGCTTAAGTGAATTGGCAACCAATTCTATATAATATATATCGTGTCATTTGAAAAGATTTAGTGCTGCAAACAAGCGATTGAATCTACCGATGAAATATATTTGATCCCCGATATCAGTATGAACACATACTGATTTCGCACACATTCAAAATGAGAGCGCACTTGTGAAGGACGAGTGAGTGCACTCATTGTTTTATCGTTGCACATAAAACGAATAAATATTAGGTATGAGTACGTACATGCACGTACGAGTGTATTCGAGTACATTCATGAACATGGCTGGTAGACATGCTACCCAGTAATTAACGATAAATTCCGAAGAATGTCAATAAAACGTGAGTACACTCATGAGTGAGCGTAATGTATCCATGAAGTTAATACGAATATACTCGTGGTACTCAGAAGCTGATGTACAATGGACTCAAACGTGTATCACTCACGCGACGAGTGCACTCACAAATCGACTTAATGACCCAACGAAGATGAGCTTACCCCCCTCACCTCCCCTCCCCTCACCACCCCAAAAAAAAATCATTGTGGAGGGTCTGTCTGCCGCTGTCTCTACCTCATTTGCCATGCCACCAAACCACCATCGACCCACCGATCTACCAATCTACCAATCCAGCAAACCACCAAGCCACCAAACCACCGATCCTCAGCCTCATCATCAACGCCTTGCTTAGGGCCATTGGCCCGCTGAGTTTCACATGTCAATCAAAAATCAATTTTGAATTTCGTTCGTTAGTTTGTTTTTTTCTTATTTTTTGTTTTGTTTTGTTTTCTTTTGCCCAAAGCGAAGGTGAAGCAATTTTCGATGTGTAATTTGGTCAGCAGCAACAGCAGCAGCAGCCTGAAAAGTTAGATCAAAGAAGTGGTGTTGCGGCGAAAGGGGCTATTGTGCTTAACCGAGCCCAGTTCATTGGCCAGTCGGGCCAGATCCCTAAAGAGCATTGCGGCCGCTCTCGAGGCCTGTTGCCTATTTAAGCGTTTTAATTGTTTAATTTAATTAAATGCTCTTAATGGTCTTAATTAGTGGCCGCCTTCAGGCAGCAGAGTGTATTAGCCAAAGGGGGTAGGCGGTTAAGAGTTCGAGTTAGGGGGATGGGGATGGGGATGGTGGGGGGGATGGTTGCAAGAAAGGGGTAACAGCTGCCTTTTACGGCGACCAATGCTTAACCAGTTTGAACAGTTCTCTCAATTCTACATAGCTCAGTAGTTCTCGAAAAACGTTGCACTCTTCCACGTTTCTGTCTTATGCTCTGAGTTATTGTTGATGTTGCTGTTGCTGTTTTGTTATAAATGTATAACATAAACAATTTGAGGGAATTGTGGCCAAAAATCAAAGTACACCAACAAAGAGAGACGCAAAGAGAGAAAGAAAAGCACCATTAAAAATAAACAAATAACAATAACAATAAAAATAAAGAATAATAATAATAATAATAATAATAATAATAATAATAATAAGACCATATACATACGAGTATATGAATAACAAGAAGTAGAAGAAGAAGAAAATACTAGCTATCAGCACTGTTGTACATATTGGGTATTATATTGTTGCGGCCCTGTGTACCCAGCCCCATAAAACCGGTTAATGCCACCAACTCTGAGCAATTGTGGGCAACAAACAATCAACGAGAAGACAGAGAGGCAGAGAGAGACCAATAGAGAGAGAGAGAGAGAGAGAGAGAGTGAGAGAGCAAGCGATAGATGAGAGAAAAGAGAGATCAGGCTTAGGGTAGAGCAAAGAGATATTTGTAGATTAGCAGCTGGACGAGCACAGAGGCGCATGCCACAACCAAGTCCATCACAAGGCACACATTTCGCTCGAACAGAAGTTGCACGTTTCATTGTTTCATCGCTGCACGTTGCACAATTAGCTGTTGGATGGCAATGCAGTCTCCTTTGAATTGCCTTTGGTGCATCGTTCTATTTACACTCCTAATAACTCTACACTTCTTCACACCCTGCAGATGCATGTGTCCCGCTGGCTACACGGGCAAGGATTGCGACACCAAGTACAAACCCTGCTCGCCGTCACCCTGCCAAAACGGTGGCACATGCCGCGCCAACGGACTCACCTACGATTGCAAATGTCCACGTGGTAAGTGAAATCATACATGTAAACATATAAAGCAATATTATTACTAGTTTATCGTTTAAGTTCGGTTTGGTTTAAGTGTGATTTCTTTAGCAGTTGCTTGCTTTGCAACTCGGTATCCTCCATTGCAATCGATATATTGCTATCATATCCTAATCCGAATTAGTTTTATCAATTTGTGGCGCATATCAGAAGCAAAACCAAGGGAAATGGAGCATCTCGCCACTAGAAGTCAATCGATGCATTCTTGCTTACTTTGTAGGGCATCACATATAAAGAAATAGCAATCGAGTTGCGTTGCAATAACAATGGGTAAAAGTCAATTGAACCACAATATATATTTATAGAAATTAGTAAGGATACAGAGATGTCTCAACTCAAACTTAATAATAATATAATTGAAGCCATTTATTTTTTGTTGAGAAACTGAATAATGGTAATTCATTGAGGTGGCTAATAAAATAGGATTCGACGCACTTCATCAGACTTGCATTCATCTCCGCATTTGGGGCATTCCTCCTTGTGCCCCAACCAATTCACAATGCACTCCTCTTCGAAGAGGTGTCCACAGGGAAGGGAGACGATGCGATGATTACCAGAGAAGATCGGTGCGGACTGGCCAATCGCGCAGATCTGAAGACTGATTATCTGGCAGTTCGTCTCGACCTTTTATTCATACTGCACAAAGCTATGAACTAGCACAATCTCCATGTATATTACAAGAGAAATATATATTTAAAACAAAGATATTTACAAAACGAACCACAAGCTGTGAGCTGTATAGAAAATCGGATTGAAGTAAAATAATTGGTCAGCCCTTTACTGTCTGACAACCAAAGATTTCACATAAAACTCAAGGCCTACGATGACTTTACATTTTCAATGACAATTATTTATCGATATCGATACGATTATCTTTATGCATAGCATATCATTTCTAATACGTACGAAGGGCTTTCTTTTTTAAAATTATTATTCAAATAATGATTCTTCTTAGAATCTTATTACTACTTTGCATAGACTTCCTCTTTTTCTTTTTCTTTTTCTGTTTCTTCCTCTTCTTTTTTGTGCATTATCCATATCAGTATTGCGCACACATACACATACATATACATATACACATATGCGTAGATATGTGCATTTGTTGCAAGTCATGTGCAAATGCATTTATTATGTAAATTTGACTGCGATTGTTTAGTATATTATAATCGATATTACTTTGTGCGATATCGAATGCCGTTTTTGAAAGTGGCAACGTCAACTGCTTTAACCGAATGCCAAGTGACCATTTTGCACCCCTTTCCCCTCCCCCTGCTTCACAGCACTGACAATTGTCGCCCATTTAATATAGACATGTAAATTGCCCACATTTACATACTTAATACATACATATTTATGAAGGCATTTAAGTGTGTGTGTGTGTGTTGTGTGTGTGTGTGTGTGTGTGTTGTGTGTGTGTGTGTTGTGTGTGTGTGTGTGTGTGTGTGTGTGTGTGTGTGTGTGTGTTTGCAATTTTCATTTAATTCACATCAATTGAAATGAATTACATTGTAGTGCAGCTCGGTGCGAACGGTCGCCAATTGCAGCGAGGACGGCAGAGCGGGGGCACAGTTGCAGATTGGGCTTTGGTAGGAGTGGCCCCTATTTTTAATTGCGCCCAATCAAAAATTCTAATGAGCTCAGCTGAGCTGGGCTGAGCTGCGCTGTGACTGAGCGTGCGAAAGTGTGACCAAAGGCGGCCATTTTATTGAACGGAACGAACCAATAATGAAACAACTACAACAACAACAACAAGAACAACAACAATAAACTGAAAGGAATTTTCAAGATGCAGACAATAGAAACAAACACAAAAAAGTGAGAAAAAAAAACAAAACAAAACAAAATGAAATAATGCAATGGAAATGTTATAACGCCTTTTGTGCCAATGTTGGGCAACAGAAATTACAACAGCAACAATACAACAACAACAACAACAGCAAGAACAACAGCAATAGCAAACCAGTCGACACGACACGAAGCGCCCTGTGGACATCACGTTGGTAGCGCGGGAGATGCCAATGGGAATTGTGGTTGTTGCTGTTGTTGTTGGAAGGAGGGGCGGAGTTGCACTCATTATGCAAAACGGGCGGCACAAAAAAGGCATAACAAAAGCTGCTCGCTGACTCGCTGGTCTGCAACTTGTTTTCCCAGCAACAGCAGCAGCAGCAGCAGCGTACCTTGCCAATCCCCCTTTATTCGATCCTCCCTCCTCCGTCCTCCTCTCGCTAGCTATCACACCCTGCTACCCCACCCAGCTGCAGGATCCGGGAAGGCCAGTCAAATCAACTTGAGAGTAGAGAGTCGAGAGTCAGTCAAAGGCATCCAAATCGAGCGCTGGCTTAATTTGCTCTGCTGGCCAAGCAAATTACAAATAAATCAGCAACGGCTCACAGTTAACTCCAATGTACCATGGACGATGGGATAGGATGGGATGCTGTTGGATGTTGGATGTTGTTGCTTGTTTGTTTCTTAATTTTTTTTTTTTTTTGGTTTTTGTTGCGATGTGCTTAAGCACAGTTACGCCCTAAGGAGGTCATGCACAATTCCAAAATAAAACATAAGACACAATGAGATAGCGAGCTGGTGGGGGAGAGGGGAACAGAGGAGCCGAGGCTCATGATTCAATGCTGACCAAATGGGATGCGTTTTTCTCGTCTTGGAGAAATATGAATAATGCGAGGCAAACTCGCGCATAAAATGGTCTGGTCAACGGGCTGCCAAGGGGAGATGTGGAGAGGGCGGGGGAGGCCATCTCGAGTCAAGCTTGCAAACGAGTTTGGTCCCCGCGTGGGCAGCAGCAACAGTTGAGATGCAATTCAAGCTTGGGCCACCATTTGGCTCGTGGCGAGTCATGACTCAGAAGAACCTCACACACACACAGACACACATTGGTCGATAGTCGCCGTTGCACTTATCGATTATGCTCAACATTTGAATTTTATGGCATTGGAAACAAAGAGAAAATCGAAAAAGACATTGATATTTACATATATTTAATAAATAGCCAATTATTTAAATGAAGCTTATGCTGTTGTGATACATATAGAATTTGGTGGCAAGAGCCAAAGTGAACAACATTGTTGCATGAAAAGCAATCTTTGCAATCGAAGAATACCCATTTCAATGCAAATTATTTTGTATTGATACTAACGGTATTCATCTAAATCGAACTTTCTAAATGATAAATGTTAAATGTTAAGGAATTCGATTAGTTTTGAAAAACATTTCAATTGTCGCAAAGAGAACCGAATACGTTAAGACCAAATGCTTGGGCAACATTGCTGCTATGCATTTGGTTGTTGTCACAGGTCGTCGGTTGACCCAACGGACCAACAACTCATGCAAATTGTTGCAACCAATTGACTTAAATGGTGGGCACATGCATCTATCTATGCCTCTGTAACCGGTGCATGGGGTGGGCTGCATAATTCTAGCGTGCAGTGTTTCTTGCCTTCTGCGTTTGCGTTTGCAACGTGTCATTTGCCTCGCGGTTTGAAAGTCACTGGAGCAGCTGCTCTGTAGGGTTCAAAGTGCCACTAAGTGACTGGGTAACCGTCGATTGTTGTGTGTGTGTGGCGTGAAACATGTGTGCAGCAGATCAGCAGATGCTTGTTGTTGTATGCCCTGCCTTGGTTTATTTTTAAAAGTATGCATTGAAAATGCCACTCTCCAGTTCCCATTCCAGGCCCAGGCAACAAGTTGCAGTCCCCCAACCAACAGACAGACACACATACACACACACACAACTACATAATCATAATAATAAAAAAATAAAAAAATGCCCATAAAAAAGAGAAGAAAAAACGGTGCACAGCAAACACAACAACAACTAAATCGATCAGCCCAGCGCAACAACAACAAGCAATGACAATAACTGGGCTAGGACAGAGAGCTCCTAGCATGTGTATATGCTTGTGTGCATGTGTATGTATATGTGTGTGTGTGTTTTGGGCCCTTCTTTTAAGACCAAAACGAAGCGAAACCGACCAAGCAAGAAAATCCATTAAAAAAGCTGTGGGCGAGCAGAGCCGAGTCGCAAAGAGCGCGCGAAGCTTTCAATGCATGCACACACACACACACTCATATTTATATATATATATGTGTATATTACAAGCAACAGACAGAGAGAGAGAGAGAGAGAGAGAGAGCAAGCAGCATGTATTGTGTGGTGTGACAATGATGGACTCAAGAGGTGAAGGCGGGGTACATAAAGTGCGATTTAATTCCTCGAATGAGGCACAAAGTAAAGCGCAATGTACAAAGTCGAAGTCCGAAGCGTAGCCAAACATACACACACACATATAGACACACACATACAGACAACAGACACACGCACAGAGCATAAAAGTAGTAGAAAACTCGATCGAGGCGAGCCGAGTGAGTGCCCAATGAAAGCCGAAGCAAGAGCTGTTGACGAAGCTGGCGCGCAGCATAAGCAACATTTATCCATTGTTGTTGTTGTTGTTGCTATCATTGTGGTTCTGTCTGTGTTTCTGCTTTTCTGTTAATGTGTGTATGCATGTGGTTGGGGGAGCGAGCGAGAGAGCACGTTCGTGGACAACGCTCGTTGCGCTCGTTTGCTTGGCGCGCACTCAGATAGCTGCCTGGCCAGATATGAGACCGTGGGAAAGAACAACCAAAGACGTGTTGTACACAACACACACACACACACGCACACACACACTTACAATATATGTATATATATATATATGTGTGTGTATGTATGCGCATGCGAGCGTCTTTTTTACTTCTTTACATTTTGTTTGCTCATTCGCTTCGCATGCGCAGCGTCGCGCAGTTTTTTCTTTCGCTTTACTTTTGTTGTTGTCTTGTGTGTATGTATTTACATGTGTTTATATGTATGTGTGTACATAAATACATGAATACACACAATGCCGCAGGCGCAACTCTTCAGAGAGTGCGCGCAGCCGTACAACAGAGAGCGAAAGAGAGAGGGAGAGTTGCTTGAAGAGCGAGATGGGGTGAATTTGTGAAAGAGCGCCGGCTGTTCTCGATATCGGCTCAGTTTACCTGTATGCGCTCTCTTAGAGCTCTCTCATCGCGATCTCTCTCTCTCTCTATCTTACCCTCCCTCTTGCCCTAAGTATACTCCGACTCCATCTGGCTGCCGAAACATGTGCAACACAGCTGCATGCGCCGCCAAACAGATACGTACATGCAGATATACATACATACATGCATACATACATACCTGCATACATACATACATGCATACATACAAACATTATGTACGTATGTACGAACATATTTTAAGCGCTCTCTACGCTTTGTGCGGCTTCATCGCATTGCCTGGCAACCACTTTTTGATCATGCCCTGGCCAGTTGTTTGTGTTGTTGTTGCTGTAAACGTTTTCGTTTATTGAAGCATTTTATGATGCTGTGTTGTTGTCCATAAATCTGTTTATGCACTTCATTGAACACATACACACACACACTTGCACACAAGCTCCCGATGGCAGTGTGACCGCGCCACAATGTATAAGTGCTATTGGTATTTTTGTTGGTATTAAAAGGGTGCTTGGAAACATAAGTTTAATTTTTAATGGCAAACTCTGTTAATCTTAACTCGATCCACATTTCCATATGATCCTATTATTTGCGTTTAATTAATATACTCATGATCGTTACACAATTGCCAATTGCAATTATTGTCACACATTACTCGAAACTTGTGTTTCTATTAAAGTGGAGATTTGTCTGCCCATCCTCATTATTATTATAGGCATATTATCATATTATGGTATGCAATGCATAAATAATTTATTAAACACATGAAATTTCACCCAAAAATTATAAATGTTCAATCATAAAAACCAAATAAATTTATAGTTCGGTCAGGTTTTCCAATGAGAAAGTTATTTGTTTCATTTTGACAGCGATAATTAAGTTATAGATAAGATCAACTTAGGATTAAGTCTAAGGTAGTCATAGCAATTGATGGAATATTTGAATTACCTACTAATTCACTACTAATTCTCTGTCCATCTGCAGGCTTCGAGGGGAAGAACTGCGACCAGAACATTGACGACTGCCCCGGCAATCTGTGCCAGAACGGCGGCACCTGTGTGGACGGCATCAACGACTATCGCTGCAATTGCCCGCCGAATTTTACGGGACGCTACTGTGATGTGGATGTGGACGAGTGCGCCCTGCGTCCGTCCGTCTGCCAGAATGGGGCGACCTGCACGAACACCCATGGCACGTACAGTTGCATCTGTGTGAACGGGTGGGCGGGCAGCGATTGCAGCGAGAATATCGATGATTGTGTCCAGGCAGCGTGCTTCTATGGAGCGACATGCATCGATGGCGTTGGCAGCTTCTATTGCCGGTGCACGCCAGGCAAGACGGGACTGCTGTGTCATCTGGACGATGCGTGCACCTCGAATCCCTGCCACGCGGACGCCATATGTGATACGAGTCCCATCAATGGCTCGTATGCGTGCTCCTGCGCCACCGGCTACAAGGGTGTCGACTGCTCCGAGGATATTGATGAGTGCGATCAGGGTTCGCCGTGTGAGCACAATGGCATCTGTGTGAATACGCCGGGTTCGTTTATGTGCAACTGCTCGCAGGGATTTACGGGACCACGTTGCGAGACGAACATCAACGAGTGCGAATCGCATCCCTGCCAGAACGAGGGCAGCTGCCTGGATGATCCGGGCACGTTCCGTTGCGTCTGCATGCCCGGCTTCACCGGCACCCAGTGCGAAATTGATATCGATGAGTGCCAGTCGAGTCCCTGTTTGAACGATGGCATCTGCCACGACAAGATCAATGGGTTCAAGTGCAGCTGTGCTTTGGGATTCACCGATGTCCGCTGCCAGATCAATATCGATGATTGCCAATCGCAGCCGTGCCGCAACAATGGCATCTGTCGCGACTCCGTCGCCGGCTACAGTTGCGAGTGTGCACCCGGCTACACGGGAGCCAGCTGCGAGATCAACATCAACGATTGCGACTCGAGTCCGTGCCATCGGGGCAAGTGCATCGATGGCGATAATAGTTTCAAGTGCGCATGTGATCCCGGATTCACCGGCTATCTCTGCCAGAAGCAGATCAACGAATGCGAATCGAATCCCTGTCAATTTGGTGGCCATTGTGTCGATCGTGTGGGTAGCTATCTGTGCCACTGTCTGCCCGGAACAAGTGGCAAGAACTGTGAAATCAACGTGAACGAATGCCACAGCAATCCGTGCAACAATGGCGCCAGCTGCATCGACGGCATCAACTCGTACAGCTGCAGCTGTGTGCCCGGCTTCACCGGCCAGCACTGTGAACTCAACGTGGACGAATGCGCCAGCAATCCGTGCGCCAACAACGGCGTCTGCATGGACCTGGTCAATGGCTACAAGTGCGAGTGTCCGCGCGGATTCTACGACGCCCGTTGTCTCAGCGATGTGGACGAGTGTGCGTCGAGTCCGTGTGTCAACGATGGTCGCTGCGAGGATGGCATCAACGAGTTCATCTGCCACTGTCCGCCCGGCTACGCGGGCAAGCGTTGCGAACAGGATATCGATGAGTGCGCCAGCAATCCCTGCCAGCACGGCGGCAGCTGTTTCGACAAACTAAACGCCTTCAGTTGCCAGTGCATGCCCGGCTATACGGGCCACAAGTGCGAGACGAATATCGACGATTGCCTCAGCAATCCGTGCGCCAACGGTGGCACCTGCATCGACAAGGTGAATGGCTACAAGTGCGTCTGCAAGGTGCCCTACACCGGCCTCAACTGCGAGAGCCAGCTGGATCCATGTGCGAGCAATCGCTGTCGCAACGAGGCCAAGTGCACGCCCAGTCACAACTTCTTGGACTTCTCGTGCACCTGCAAACTGGGCTATACGGGTCGCTATTGCGACGAGGACATCAACGAGTGTGCGTTTAGTTCGCCGTGCCGCAATGGGGCGAGTTGTGTGAATGTGCCCGGCTCGTATCGGTGTCTGTGCACCAAGGGATACGAGGGCAGGGACTGTGCCATCAATACGGATGATTGTGCCTCGTTTCCCTGCCAGAATGGTGGCACCTGTCTGGATGGCATCGGCGACTATTCATGCCTCTGTGTGGATGGCTTCGATGGCAAACACTGCGAAACGGACATCAACGAGTGCCTGAGCATGCCCTGCCAGAATGGCGCCACCTGTCATCAGTATGTGAACAGTTACACGTGCACCTGCCCCCTCGGCTTCAGTGGCATCAATTGCCAGACAAACGATGAGGATTGCACGGAGAGCTCGTGCCTGAACGGCGGCAGCTGTGTCGATGGCATCAACGGCTACAACTGCAGCTGCCTCGTCGATTACAGCGGCGCCAATTGTCAATACAAGTTGAACAAATGCGACTCGGGGCCGTGCTCCAATGGCGGCACATGCCACGAGCAGCGCGACGGCTACACGTGCCACTGCCCCAGTGGGTATACGGGCAAACAGTGCTCCGACTATGTGGACTGGTGTGCCCAATCTCCGTGCGAGAACGGGGCCAGTTGCAGCCAGCTGAAGCATCAGTTCAATTGCAAGTGCGCCGCCGGCTGGACGGGTAAACTGTGCGATGTGCAGACGATCAGTTGCCAGGATGCTGCACAGCGCAAGGGATTGAGTGTGAAGCAGCTGTGCAACAATGGCACATGCAAGAATCATGGCAACAGTCATGTCTGCTACTGCAGCCAGGGATATGCGGGCAGCTACTGTCAGCAGGATATCGATGAGTGTGCCTCGCAGCCGTGCCAGAATGGCGGCACTTGTCGGGATCTGGTGGGTGCGTACGAGTGCAGCTGCCGTCAGGGTTTCCAGGGCCAGAACTGTGAGCTGAACATCGATGATTGTGCACCGAATCCCTGCCAGAATGGCGGCACCTGTCACGATCTCGTGCAACGCTTCAGCTGCAGCTGTCCGCCCGGCACCCTTGGCATCCTTTGCGAACTGAACCACGATGATTGTGTGCCCGGCGCCTGCCACAACAATGGCAGTTGCATTGACCGCGTCGGTGGATTCGAGTGCTCGTGTCCGCCCGGATTTGTCGGCGCTCGCTGTGAGGGCGACATCAATGAGTGCCTCAGCAATCCCTGCTCGAATGCCGGCACGCTCGATTGCGTCCAGCTGGTGAACAACTATCACTGCAACTGCCGGCCGGGCCACATGGGACGCCACTGTGAGCACAAGGTGAACTTCTGTGCGCAGTCGCCGTGCCAGAATGGAGGCGCCTGCAGCACCAAGCAGAGCGGCCATCATTGCGTCTGTGCCGATGGCTACTATGGCAAGAACTGTGAGTTCAGTGGCCAGGATTGCGATTCGAATCCGTGCCGTGCCGGCAACTGTATCATCGACGATGCTGGCGGCTATCGCTGCGAGTGCAGTCGCGGCACAGCGGGCCAACACTGCGAGATCGATACGCTGGACGAGTGCCAGCCGAATCCGTGCTTGCAGGGCGCCGCCTGCGATAATCTGCTAGGCGATTACGACTGCCTCTGTCCGAGCAAATGGACGGGGAAACGTTGCGAGATCTACGATGCCAGCTATGCGGGCTGGTCGGGCAATAGCAATGGCAATGGCGGCATCAACTCCAACGGCATCCTAATCAACGGCAACAACAACAATGGAAACGGCAACAACAACAATGGCAACGGCAACAACATTGGCAACGGCAATAATGGCAACAACAACAACGGCGCCGCCGGCATCTATGCCGCCGATCTGGAGCAGCAGCGTGCAATGTGCGAGAAACGTGGCTGTCCCGAGAAGCAGAGCAACGGCGTCTGTGACTCCGAGTGCAATACGTATGCCTGCAACTTCGATGGCAACGATTGCTCGCTGGGCATCAATCCGTGGGCGAATTGCACAGCGCCGGAGTGCTGGCGCGTCTTCATGGATGGCCAGTGCAACGAGGACTGCAACAATGCCGCCTGCCTCTACGATGGACGCGACTGCGAACAGAAGCTGAAGCGTTGTGCGGCCATCTATGATGCCTACTGTCAGAAGCATTACGGCGATGGCTACTGCGACTACGGCTGCAACAATGCCGAGTGCAGTTGGGACGGACTCGACTGTGAGAAGTCGGAGCAATCCCCCCAACTGGCCGAGGGCGCCATGTCCGTGGTCATGCTAATGGATGTGCGACAATTTCGGGCGGAGCAGGCGCAATTCTTGCGCGAAATGAGTCACGTGCTGCGCACCACGGTTCGCGTGAAGAAGGACGCGTTGGGCAACGACATGATCTTCAGCTGGAAGGGTGCCTCACGCATGCCCGACATACAGGACTCGGAGTTTGGGCGAAAGCACAAGATACTCTACACGCATCGCAATGGACAGACGGGCATCCAGATCTATCTGGAGATTGATAATCGCAAGTGCACCGAGTGCTTCAATCGTGCCACCGAGGCAGCCGAATTCCTTGCTGCCTCTGCCGCAAAGCATACGTTTGCCAATCGTTATCCCATATACAGTGTGCGGGGCGTTCAGAGTCCGGGTGAGGGCGAGGGCGCCGAGTCGCCGGCGAATGTCAAATATGTAATTACCGGCATTGTGCTCGTCCTCATACTCTTTGCATTCTTTGGCATGGTGTTGAGCACACATCGGAAGCGGGCACATGGCGTCACCTGGTTCCCGGAGGGTTTCCGTGCACCAGCCGCCGCTGTGATGTCCCGGCGTCGTCGCGATCCGCATGGCCAGGAGATGCGCAATCTGAATAAACAAGTTGGCCTATCTCAGTCGCAGGCACATCAGCTGCCCGGCGGCGTTGGCAGCGTTGCTGGCGGTGGCGTCGGCAGTCATTGGTCGGACGATGAATCCGATATGCCACAACCGAAGCGCCAGCGCGGCGATCAGCTCAGCAGCCAACTGGTCGGTGGCAGTGTCGCCGGCCTGACCAGTGTCGGCTATGCCAGCGATCACACGATGATCAGCGAGTACGAGGAGGCGGATCAACGGGTGTGGTCGCAGGCCCATCTCGATGTGGCCGATGTCCGGGCGATTATGACGCCGCCGGCGCACCAGGATGGCAACAAGCACGACGTGGATGCACGTGGTCCGTGCGGTCTAACGCCACTCATGATTGCCGCTGTGCGTGGCGGCGGTCTGGACAGCGGCGAGGATATTGAGAACAATGAGGATAGCACCGCTCAAGTGATATCCGATCTGTTGGCGCAGGGCGCCGAACTGAATGCCACCATGGACAAGACGGGCGAGACATCGCTGCATTTGGCTGCACGCTACGCTCGTGCGGATGCGGCCAAACGACTGCTGGACGCTGGCGCCGATGCCAACTGTCAGGATAATACGGGACGGACGCCGTTGCATGCGGCCGTCGCTGCGGATGCGATGGGCGTCTTTCAGATACTGTTGCGCAATCGGGCGACCAATCTGAATGCACGCATGCATGATGGGACAACGCCCCTGATACTGGCCGCACGCCTGGCGATCGAGGGCATGGTCGAGGATCTGATAACAGCCGATGCGGACATCAATGCTGCTGATAATTCGGGCAAGACGGCATTGCATTGGGCCGCTGCCGTTAATAATACGGAGGCGGTGAACATACTGCTCATGCACCATGCGAACCGGGATGCCCAGGATGATAAGGATGAGACGCCGCTGTTCCTTGCCGCACGCGAGGGCAGCTATGAGGCGTGCAAGGCGCTCCTCGACAACTTTGCCAATCGCGAGATCACCGATCACATGGATCGCCTGCCCCGCGATGTGGCCAGCGAGCGATTGCATCACGATATTGTCCGGCTGCTGGATGAGCATGTGCCGCGCTCACCGCAAATGATTAGCATGACGCCGCAGGCAATGATCGGCTCACCGCCGCCGGGACAGCAGCCTCAGTTGATAACACAGCCGACGGTGATTGCGGCGGGCGGTGCAGCTGGCAAGCAGAGCAGCCAGGCGGCCAAACAGAAGGCCGCCAAGAAGGCCAAACTGATCGAGGGCAATAGTCCTGACAATGGACTCGATACACCTGGCGGTGGCAACAACAACAACAATAACAACAACAACAGCAGCAGCAACGTCAACAACATGGGCAGTCTGCGCCGCAAGGCAAGCTCAAAAAAGGGCAACAACAACAACAACAACAGCAGCAGCAACAGTGCAGCCTCAAAAAAGGCCGGAATGAACGGAATGAATGCGGCATCGCAGCTGCTGCTGACAGCCTCATCAGTGGCTGCTGCACAGGCAGCGATTTGCACTGACCTCGACTCGCCGCCGCCGCCGCAGCAAACAGCAGCAGCAGCAGCAGCAGCCGCTGCAGCGGCGACACAAGCCGGCAACAATGGCAACCTGGTGAATCTGAATCTTCCCAGTCCGTACGACACCAGCTCCATGTACTCCAATGCAATGGCAGCGCCACCCAACAACAACAACAACAACGGTGCCAAACAACCGCCCAGCTATGAGGATTGCATTAAGGTAAATACACCAACCGTAATGTCCATATCCAGATTCAGATTCATAATTATTGTTGATTATGAATCGACATTTGAAGAAACGAAATGTATATCTAAATTTATTTATATATATATATATATATATATATATATATATATATGGGTATATGAATGAATGATCAACAGCCGAGTCGATCTAGACAGATCTAAGATCTGAAGACATTTTTTTTTTACCATCAGTTAAACTCAGTGAGATGTACACATAGATATACATTCATATACAGTCATCCTCGCGCTGCAGATGATATGATTGAGAACTCTTAATTATTTATATTATCTGTGTTTTCTAACTAATTATGGTTTTGTGTTGATAGAATGCACAGTCGCTGCAATCGCTGCCAGCGAACAGTCTGGACATGATCAAGCTGGAGAACTATGGTTACTCGATGGGCTCGCCATTTCAGCAGGAGATGTTGAACGGACAGGCGATGGGCCTGAGTGGCGGACGCAGCACCAATACGCTGTGTGGTCTGGGCGGCGGTCTAATGCCCAACGGTGGTCACGAACAGGGCCTCAGTCCGCCCTATTCGAATCAGTCGCCGCCGCATTCGGTGCAGAGCAGCTTGGCATTGTCGCCACACGCCTATCTGGGTGAGTAGCAAATTGGACAACCAACCGAGTGTACACTGTACGGTGAACTAATTAAATAATCGTTACCGACTTTTAGGTTCGCCATCGCCGGCAAAGTCGCGGCCCAGTTTGCCAACATCGCCGACACATATTCAGGCGATGCGGCATGCCACGCAGCAGAAGCAATTTGGCAGCAATCTCAACAGTCTGCTGGGCGGCGGCAATGGCTCAATGGGGCCGCAGAGCTCGCCGGTTAGTCTGGGCATTATATCGCCGACTGGCAGCGATATGGGCATCATGCTGGCGCCCCAATCATCCAACAATGCGAAAAGCAGTGCAATAATGCAAACGTTGTCCCCGCAGCTGCAACAACAGCAGCAGCAGCAGCAACAGCAGCAGCAGCAGCATCAGCAACAGCAGCAGCAGCAGCAACAACAACAGCAGCAGCAACAACAGCAACAACAACAACAGCAGCAGCAACAGCAGCAACAACAGCAGCAGCAGCAGCAGCAGCAACAACAACAAGCAATTGGAGGCCTTGAATTTGGTTCAGCCGGTTTGGACTTGAATGGATTTTGTGGATCTCCGGGTAAGCAAGAGCAGCAGCAATATAATATTTATATGTTTACTTATCGAATGCAACCAACAACTAATCTGTGCCCATTTAACAGACTCATTTCACTCGGGTCAAATGAATCCGCCTTCGATACAAAGTTCAATGTCGGGTTCGTCGCCATCGACCAACATGCTGTCGCCGTCGTCGCAGCACAATCAGGCCTTCTATCAGTACCTAACGCCGCCCAGCCAGCATTCGGGTGGTCATACGCCGCAGCATTTGGTGCAGACGCTGGACAGCTATCCGACGCCATCGCCGGAATCGCCTGGCCACTGGTCGTCGTCATCGCCGCGCAGCAATTCGGATTGGTCCGAGGGCGTGCAGTCGCCGGCGGCCAACAATCTGTACATCTCTGGCGGCCATCAGGCCAACAAGGGCTCCGAGGCCATCTATATTTGACATAAGCGCACCTAAAAAAATACGAAGGCGAAGGCGGAGTACAGCATAGCACAGCACATGACGCAGGACTCGGTTGACGAGATGATGATGATGATGGTGATGGTGTCGATGGCACTCAAAGAGCGCCGACATCAGCCGCCAACAGAGCAGCGAGCCAGCTCAGCAAGCCTCCAACTAGCTAGCTAGCTAGTTTTCAACATTTCCACCCCCCTCCCCTCATACCACTCATCTCAACCCCTGCTCCTGCTTACTCCACTCACTCACACAACACCACTTTTTTTTTTTGAGTAGCCATTAAGCTTTAAATTAAAAACAAAACAAACGTAAATATTATAGTAATTTAAATGTTTAATCTTAATGTTTGTTGTACAGCGCAAGAGAAATCATATATCGCATATATATATATATATATATATATGTATTTATATATGTATATATATATATATATATATATATAGCAGATATATAAACACACATATATATGCACACTTATATAAATTGAATTAGTGAGCAGTTTGGTTTTTTTTTTTTTTTTTGGATTCGTCTACCCTCTCAGCTAGAAATGACAGTGCGTACGCGTAGTTTTCGCACACAAAACAGAAAATAATTTTATAGATTTTTTGCAAACGTCACGCACGTTTCGCTGCTTCCAGTAAACAATTAAAATTAGCGCAAATTATTTTTATTATTAATTATTACACTGTATTTGTATTTTGTAATTGTAATTGTAACACTAATTGTAATTGTAACTGTAATTGTAATTGTAATTGTATTTGTATTTTGTATGTGTAATGCGTGAAGCGTGAACGGCTCACGTTTCTTTAGCGCGCCTCTAAATAAGCATATAAAAAACATAAACAAAATTCAAGAAAATATCAATAGTTCTTAGCATCGACTACGTTTTATCATTAAGTTTTTAAAAGAAATCTTTAAACTAATTGCATAATTATTAAATGTTTAGCTGTTAGTTTCGAAACTGAAGTGCTTATATAAAAGAAATTGTTAGCTATACACTACAAAACATTCTGCAAGCCTATATCATATATATGTATATATATGTATATATATATATATATATATATATATATATATGTGTGTTTTTTTTAAACCTTTTTTATGTAATTCTACATATAAATCTTGATATTAAGCATAAATTGTAAAAAGATTCTCATAACTGTTTGAATTAAGTTGACAACTCAACAAATTACGACTTTTCGAGCAGAAACTATATAAAAACCTTTGAATGCGCCAGGATTTTTTTTGTAATTAGGCTTTAGGCAAACTACAATTTAAGTTTTTAACGAGAAGCGAAATATATATTTTCAAAAAATATGCAAAAATTTGGTAACCGCGATAATCACGAATCATTTTCATCCTTTTTAAATGTACTTTATTTTTTTAGTTTTGCTGCGCCTTTTTCTTAATCTTAATGTGTAAATTGTACAATTTTTTGTTGTCCTAACTTAAACAGCGAACGAAACATGCAAATGCAAATTTTTTTGACATAATAAATATTGAATAATTATTTTAAAAACAAATTCAAATGTGCGTTTAATTCATTTTGTATCTAGATATTGTTTTTCGTTTTAGGAATTTGGAATTATTTGTTTGCATATCAATAGAGTTTGTGGGTCAAAACTTTATAAGAAACAAGGACCGTTTGTTGCAGTTGTTATTTCATTCTCCTGTTGATGGATTCGCCTCTGAAATGGCACTGATAAGCGAGTTTTGTCAAAAGTGCTATTAAATATAGCCAATACACAATACAATTGTACTTGTGAATCGCCAGCTGTTAAAGTAAACTTCAAAATCCTCTCTTGGAAGCTTTCGATTTTGCCGAGAGGAGTTATTTAATTAACGTCGAAACACTGGATGATGTCAGAAAAAGTTCGTGTATTCAGCTCACAACTGCTAAACAAACATATGTGTACACATAGAATTTTTATTTATATACATGTCTATTGCTATGTAATACGAATCCGGATATTAGCGCCATCTATCGTCGAATGGTTGGTGACTGTCAGCGCCACCTGTCGGACGTCACCTTCTTCCCCTAGAGAGAGAGAGAATATATTAATGCCTGCTGTAACATAGAAAAAGGACCGAATATTTGGGGGTCGATCCAAAAGTAAAGTGTGAGTCGCGATTTTACAGGCAAATACTCACATAAAGGATTTTGAACCTGAAGGTGCTCTAATGGACGGGATAGGGAGGCGTTCTGGAGGAGATCGGCGCAACACTTATGAATTGGAGCGCATCATATCTCCGAGTGAGTCCGCTCCAGTTTCGCAAATTCGCAATTCAATCGGCATTAGTACGTCAACATCCAGCGGCCTTAAACGTCCCCAAATTGTGGCCTAGTATGAATAAATAAATTATAAATACATTAATACCCAGGGTGTACATATTAAAATAAACAAAAAAGTCATAGACCAATTAACAGCAGACGAGCAACTGATCCGGTCACAATTCGGTCATTCATCAGTGATGCGCAATAAAATTGCCAGTGATGCGCATTGATAATAGTTTGTTTCAAGCTATTGCTGCATAGGCCCCAATAAAATAAATTCAATAAAATAAAAAAGATAACAAGATGACACAATTCAATTTATAGTTGAATAACTTGTGATCATTTTTTTATTTGTAAAAACTTACTATTCTTTTACGTCGCATTTGTGACTTAAAATTCGCTTTTTGATGAATAATAATGCGCCTGTAAGTATCTGTGCAAATATGTAAATATTTTGTCCGTTCATGTGCGAATATCTATACATAATCTGAAAATAATTACATAAAAAGAAATATTTAAAATTAGGAACTTCAAACTTGCGAAATCTTGGCAGGGGAAGGTATTTTGTAGATCCCATATTAAATATATTTTATTCCGGCGACATATTTATTTATATACATTATTAAATCCACTTATCATATACGGTGTATAAAGCACACCGTTAACGGATGCGGCTTTTATTCTAATGGTTTCAATCTATCTAATATATAATTGCACGAGTAAAAATCGGAAGTATGTTTATACTATTTTCTTTTCGCCATAATTACTTTCTAGCTGAATATCCCATTCTTGGTTTATTTATTTAATCATGTATCATAGAGGCGCACTAACCCTCAAAAGTTGCTGGGTATAAAGAGTTGCCAGATTAATGTAAGCGGAAAAATAGTTTAGCCATTTCGAGTAAACGTATATATATCAGTGTTAGTAAATAATTTACGAATAGTATATAAAAACATTGGTAGCAAATATTCATTAAAAATGAACATTTTGAAAATAATCCAGAACTGAGCACGTGAGTGGAAATAAAGTAATAAAATTGTGGTTAATTTTTAAAATCAAATATACAGAATAATTTACGGTCAGGCTGTACAGCACTGTCACTCGCATACCTATGCTAAGGGAAGTACAAAGTTTTTTTAAAAATATTTTTTTTGTTGAAAAGAACTAAAAAATACATTAATGTTCCGTTGCCGTCCAGTATATCGCTGTGCCGGCTAGCTATCCGATCAGGGGATATCGTTCGCTTCTAACAGGCAATGTATAACACTCTAAGTTAATGTAATCGCAGCCATAAAGCTAATTCATTCACAAATTTAAAAAAAAACGTCTCTAAGCAACACTGGTTACCCAATGTCTCCACTAAGCGCGCACACACATTTGCATTTGCTTGCATATATGTGTGCGTGATTTGTATGCACAGAAGAGAAGCAGCACTCTGGCTGACGCCGCATTCAAGCTGAAAGTTTCAGTGCTCTTATACTCTGATATTGAAGGTATCATAGTATATTAGGTATTGGTTTTGTGCAATGTTCTGTCTGTCCGTCTCTCCATCCATCCGTCCGCATGTCTGTCTGTCTGTGTGAATCCAACTTTTTTCGACACCCTGTTGCAGTGCAGAATTGTAACACCCTTCAAAAATCCGGAAAAACATTTTGGACCACTCCTACACTCCCGCTCCCAACAACGGTAAAAGCCTATATCTCCCGCAATTGCAGAGATACAGTTACTACATATTTTTCGACCACGCCCCAAAAAAATTTCACAAAGCCAATATCTACCGCAATTTTAGAGGTAAACTTGAACGGTAGATTACTAAAAACCTCCTCAAAGATTTGTATTACTGGGCGACACCGACCCTGTTGTGCTGCACCTATTATCAGATGGTATTACTTAAGGGATCAGAGTATTTCGCGGTCGGTTACGCCCGACTGCAACGGTCTCACTTGTTTCTTTTCGTTGCTTACTTGTTTTTGTTATATTAAGTCAGTTTGTGTTTGTTGCTGCTGTTGCTGCTGCTGCTTCATGTGCGCTTTGTACTTTTGCTTTGACGCATTCGCACTCGCATTCGCGCTGCGATCGTGTTAAGCTACATATCGTATGTTATTTGAGGGCTCTGCCAGCGGCTTGACAACCAACCACAAGCAAAACCAACAAATATCAAATAAAAAAAAAGCTTCGTTGACATTGCGCTTGCGTGCAAGTGCATGTGTGTATGTGTTTATGTGTGTGTGTGTTTATGTGTGTGTGTGAGTGTGCCAACCAAAGCGAAAATCACATTTTTGTGGACTTGACCTCTATTTTAATTATTGGTCAAAAGCTTAACAAATTGCTTCAGCCTTAATTATTACAAACAAAGCAAAAATACAGAAAATCACAGCAAGCGCTTTTTTTTTGTTTTTGTTGTTGATATCTTTAAAGTGTTGCTAAAAATTATCAAATATATTCGCAAAGCTATAAGCAAAATAAGTAAACAAAAGCAACTGCCTCAGCTAACAACACAGAGTTAACAGACGGAAAACACACAACAGCAGCCATGTTAAAAGTCGGTAAGTAACAATTTTTTTGTAATGCACTCCTGTAATCACTACACATTTACATACATACAAATGCATGCACATATCGATGTATGTATGTACATTACTGAGTGACGAATGGAAAATGTGTATGGCGGACTGGGTCACTGGGGACATTGCACTGAGAGAACGAGGGAGTGAGTGAGGAGAGCGCTCGCCACGATCGCCCTTCAAATTGGGTTATTTAGCTGAAGGGTCACCTACAAATCGGCGGCTTATCTCAATTTCAATTAGTGCACCTCGCTCTGCAATTATCTCCCCATGCGAGCTGACTCTGTTGTTGTTGTTGTTGGTGTTATTGTTATTTTCAATTGCCGTTATTGTTTTTGTTATTAGCAGCACATTCACTCGAAAGAAATACTACAGAGAACACCAATGTTCACCTCTCTATAATAAAGTTGAAAACAGAGCAAAAGAGAGCGCACGCTGACATTGAGAATGTGCCAACGTTAATGACATTGAAAATATACACGTAAATAATTACACACGCACACACACACACACACATATATATATATATATATATATATATATATATATATGTATCTCAATGGCTTACATAGCCATGGTTGTGTGCGTGAGTGAGTGCCTTTGTGCCTGTATAAAAAGCCTTTCAAAAATTAAATGTACAAATTTCCATTCCAAAGCCTTGTGAAGTCCAATGTTAAGCACTTTACTGAGTCATTAGAGCAGATCATAATATGCGGGCGATTTTTAAATCCAGAGATGTTTGAAGTTAGCAGAACTAGGATCAACCAAAAAGTCTCCGTTTTCAAATTAAATCTAAAAAAATCAAGCAAACCATTTGTGCATCGGTCGAAAGATGAGTTATTTTGTTCCGTTTATCGATATATCTGATATCAACTCAACAGTTATGCCTTTGCAAATTATAAACTTGATCAGGTCCTATTTGTTTATTAACGTTAAATTTGAAGTTTACATGAAAGCTCGCTGATAGTGGCCAACTTTTAAACGGTTAGTTTTGGGCCACAACCATCGGACGTCTGTATTCAAATTATGAATTGTTGAGAACTTAGAGCACGTACTTGTAAGTCTTTGCTCTCAGCTTTCTGGTTTTCCGCAATATAGTAGATCGTCATATCTCTGAACGTATCGTACACATATTAGACATATCAATAGCTCTGCTAGGAATAATATATGCTTGTGTTCGTGCACGCATAGTTCTGAGTACTTAATGCACTTCCCGATTCAAAAAAGAAGCAAAAACGTTAGAAATTAACGTGAACTATTCGCGCGACCAACCAATTTGCACCTCGTCTTGTCTTCTTTTCCCCCACTTTGGATCGGTTCGGTTCGGTTCGGTGTTCAGTTCTCGTGGCTATTGCTTATTGAATTGTTAAGCACTCAAGCTATCTGTCGTAGAACTATGAGCTGGGGATAAGATATAGTCTCAGTCGCATACGTTTGAAAGTCAAGCTACGACCGCCAACAGTTCACAGTTTGTATTTGAAAACGCATCGAACGATAAACGCAAATTGCCTTATTTCAAAGTCATACATCTGACCTCTGTGGCGTGTTAGATTGTGGCAAATAGTGCCAAGCAGCAGGTAGAGCTAGAACCCTTAATATTGATTCCATATATGTCATTGTTTTAATACTGTTACTAAAACTAATATCTGTCCTGAATACAGACGGCAACTGCTCCCAGAGCTCGGAAACCCTGGATCTGATCATCAAATCACTTAGTTCACCCACAATGATATGCGAGGGCACCCACTTTGATGGTAAAATACCGCACACATTTGTGGTATTTGGAGCGTCGGTGAGGAACAGAGAACGAATAATTCAAATTCAAATCATACTTTGGATTTTTTGATTCTTTTACACTTAGGGCGATCTGGCCAAGAAGAAGATCTATCCCACATTGTGGTGGCTATATCGCGACGATCTGCTCCCCAAGCCGACCAAAATTTGCGGCTATGCGCGTTCAAAACTAACAGTTCAAGGACTTAAAGCGCTTTGCCAGCCATACATGAAGGTAAGTAACTTTATAGAACTTTATAAATGTTCGCGGGATTTATTCGAAATTATTTGTGGCTTAAGGTGCAATCGAGTGAGCAGAAGAAATATGATGAGTTCTGGAGTCTGAACAACTATGTTGCCGGCCCGTATGATGTGGGAACGGGCTACGAGCTGCTCGACCAGCAGTTGCAGAAGATGGAGAACAGATTCAAGGCGAATCGCATATTTTATTTAGCACTGCCGCCTACCGTCTATGATCAGGTGACGTTGAACATCAAGAATAACTGCATGTCAAAGCGGTAAGTAAGACCTAAGACCATAGGAAAATCCTTTATTTGTCAAAATTAATCCTTGTGGGTATCTCTGTTAGCGGCTGGAATCGCGTGATCGTTGAGAAACCCTTTGGTCGGGATGATGTCACCTCGAAAGCGCTTAGCGATCATTTGGCCAGTCTGTTTGAGGAGGAGCAGCTTTATCGCATCGATCATTACCTGGGCAAGGAGATGGTGCAGAATCTGATGACGATACGCTTCGGCAACAAAATACTCAGCTCCACATGGAACCGCGAAAATATTGCATCTGTGCTGATCACGTTTAAGGAGCCCTTCGGCACACAAGGACGCGGCGGATATTTCGATGAGTTCGGTATCATACGCGATGTCATGCAGAATCATTTGCTGCAGATACTCTCATTGGTGGCCATGGAGAAGCCATGCAGCTGCCATCCGGATGACATACGCGACGAAAAGGTCAAGGTCCTGAAGTGCATCCAGCCGCTGCAGCTCAACGATATGGTTCTGGGCCAATATGTGGGCAATCCCAGCGGTAAAACGGAGGACGAGCGCACAGGCTATCTAGATGATCCCACTGTGAACAACAGCTCAACTACGCCAACCTATGCCATGGCTGTGATTAACATAAACAATGAGCGCTGGCAGGGTGTGCCATTCATATTGCGCTGCGGCAAGGCACTGAATGAGCGCAAAGCGGAGGTGCGCATCCAGTATCAGGATGTGCCCGGCGACATCTTTGAGGGCAACTCGAAGCGCAACGAGCTGGTCATACGCGTCCAGCCCGGCGAGGCGCTTTACTTCAAGATGATGACCAAGAGTCCGGGCATTACGTTCGACATCGAGGAGACCGAACTGGATCTGACCTACGAGCATCGCTATAGGCACTCGTATCTGCCAGATGCCTACGAGCGTCTCATTCTCGACGTCTTCTGTGGCTCCCAAATGCATTTCGTGCGGTCCGACGAGCTGCGCGAGGCGTGGCGCATCTTTACCCCAATTTTGCATAAGATCGAACGGGAGCACACGCCTCCCATTCCATACCTGTATGGATCCCGTGGACCCAAGGAGGCCGATCGCAAGTGCGAGGAGAACAACTTCATTTACTATGGATCGTACAAGTGGCACGGCAACAAGCCCACCGCATCCGATCTTTGAACGGGACTGGCCGCTGTCTTAATTACTTATTTTTGTTGTTTTTTTTTTAGAGGGTATACAAACATATATTGATCATTAATAGAACTAGATTTTTGATAATCACGTTTGTATTTGAATAATCAAAATTATTGTTTTATCATAAATAAACTAGACTTGGACTAGGATGTAGTTTCAGTTAACCTGACCTCAACTCGATGCTATTCAAATTGCATGGCATGGATCAGATAATATATAGTATATGGCTCAACGTTTGAAATATCTACAAAGAATTATTTCTAACTTTCGAAAGACACAAACTGAAATAACCTTAAAATAAATTGTTTAATTATATTAAATAGGTTTTTTATGATTGTTAATTTGTAATAAACGTTGGATTTAAAACTATGCCCAATTTTGTTTGCTTATGATTTTTGCATTTTTTGCAAATGTTTAATAATATAACTATCAATAATATCAATGTTAATATATCTATTGGAAATGTGCAAAATATTAAACTCCTTAATGCAAAAAATCTATAAATTTATGGCAAAAAATTAAAGAAAATCGTATATAACTTCAAGAAAAACGTTTCAATGTCCAGATTTTGGGACAATTTTTTTAAAATTATTACAGCGGTCGTTATATGAATAAAAAACGGTAGTTTAAAATCCAGAGACAATAAGGCGACACTGATCCTGAAATGGTCAAGAAATATTAAACTAAAATATTCTCCATGAATTAAGTTAATTAATATTATTCTTACATAAAGCACTATTGTTTTTGATACATTCAGGAAAAAGATCGCCCTGAAAACTAGAAAACTTTTCTTGTTTTTAGAAATAAATCCTAAATATAAAACAAATAATTCTTAAAATTAGGCTTGCCCTAAATCACAATACAATAATGTCTGCTTAGTACCTAAATTGACAATCTGAAAAATATGGTGATTGTTTTTATTTTTTAAAAATATTTTCTACTATTACACTCAAAAAAAATCTACCCGTATTTTGAAAATTTGAGCCCGGATTTCGAAGGTGAAAGCACATTTTTTATTTATAGTCGCTAAACATTTGCGTTGTGGAACAATACCCCAAGGCAGTAATAGTGCGACCTTGAGAAGTGAGGAACTTGTACTCGGCATTTACTTGTTGGGGATCCATTTTGAGATAACCTTCATTGACTGGAAGTTGAGTTTGTGCTGTGAAATCATCGTGCGGCCTAAAATCGGTTAATAACTCGAGGGTCATTTCCGGGGCGTTAACTAGATCGGTTGTCTTCTCGTGTGCTTCTTTTGGGCTTGGCTGCTCAGCTGTATTTAGCTCCAGTTCCTTGAAAAGACCCTCCGGCAAATCTACACCGATGTTGGACATAAATCGACATCGGCGGATTACTGCATACGTTACAACAACGAGCACCACAAGAGCTGTTAAAGCTTTCAAACTGTCAATCATCCCACCATGATATTCATGATGAACTTCAGTATACAACGGATTCATCCAGCGCATTCCGCCACTGCCGCTGCCGCTACCATAATTGGCCGAGACGGCCCATATAAAGGTGCCATCTCCAAAACCTTCTTTCATGAAAGAGCACTTGGTATGGACCACCTGCTCCGACATTATCGACAGGGTATCATTGCATTTTCTGTGATTTGTCCCATTCAGTTTGCACCAGAAGACCGTGTAGCTCTGCAGTTGGTCAGTCCGCTGCGGCTCTGCCCAAACCAATAACTTTTCCGTCAATGTTACATTCCTCGGCATCAATTTATATGGTTCGGGTGACATCTCCACGACAATTTCGCTGCTGTTCTCCGACACTCCGATTTCATTTTGGCTACGTATTATTATTATATAGCTGCCACTTTTCATATTAAGTTTACTGATTATGGCCTGACTTGGCCGGATATCAATTTTGACATGTCTGGAAAGTAAACAAGATAATAACTGATTATAATTTACACATTATAATTTAAGAATTTGAATAATCTTTGACAAAACTAAAACCGATTCCCAAATATACATATATATCAAATATGATTAAAGTTCGGATTCCATTTTTCGAAAACCTAATGGAATTAGTCTATTATATTCACAATATTTAATTATACAGTCATTAAACATATTTAGAATCACCTTGAAACCGAAGCGTTTCACTTGTTAGGAGTTCATCCGATTTCCCATTCCCATTGATGATTACACTGCACCATGCAAATTCATATAACTAAAACTGCGCAGCAAATCGCGTTGCAGGCGTTCCCAGGACAGTTCGGCTGCTAAGCCGACTGGACGCGCTCGCCTCGTGTGTGCGCGCCGTCGCTTCGGGTCTTTCGTGTTTGGCATTTGGGTTTGCGTTTAGTTGCTGAGTAGCCGCCAAGTGAGACGGTTGAGTTATGCTGTCTATGATTGCGTGTGTGTGTGTTTATATGTGTGTGTAAGCATTTACACATGATGTGGGGATGTATGCATTTGTTGTCGCATTCTCAAGAACGAATTCGATTTCTGAAATTTGCTCAGCGCTGTTTATGTATGTGTGTGTAGATCTTTGCTTCACTTGGAATTGCACACATTACATTATAATAGTATTTGTGAAAACTTTATTTTTTTACATATTAAAGTTGGCTGCTCTGATGCTCCGCCTGGCTGGAGGCGGAGACGACATTGTACTAGTCCAAGAACCTTGGGTGATTGGAGGAAAGGTTTGCGGACTAGGCAACAAAGACTATAAGCTTTTAGTAGCTGGCAATGAAGGTAAGAAACGCACCTGCATCCTCACGAAAAAACACCTAAATATTTTTCTGCTCCATAATTTTAGCAATGCTGACAACAGAGCGGTAAGCCTGGAGCTCCAGTCAGCTCCGGTAAGGCTACTGCCTGCCTATATGGCCTACGACAGCGCCGGCCCGCCACCAGACGAGATTACAAGGTCCCTCGTCCAGGAGTGCGAGAAGCACAGGATTGGCCTAATTATTGGCTGCGACGCCAATGCTCACACCACACACAGTGGGGGAGTACGGATACAAATCCTTCATCCTTAATACTAACCTCCTAGTATGTAAAACGGGTAATGAACTCGCATTCATTATAAAAAATAGACGAGAGGTCATTGACCTGACACTCATCTCACAATCTATGAGTGACCAGTTAACAAATTGGAGAGTGTCCGATGAACACTCCTTCTCTGATCACAGGTACATAGAATTCGAACTTCTCGCGAGCCACCCAGAACCAGTTCACTTCCCAAATCAGAAGAAGACGAACTGGGAAATCTTCAAAGCCAAACTTGACCGAACCCTTTCGGAACACCCACCAAAAGACCCGGACAACTTAGCTTATCTCTGCAATCTTACAGAGACTTTCACTTTAGCATGCAACAAGGCTTTTAAGGCAGCCTGCCCTATTAGTAAGTCAATGCACAAGAAGAAACCACCATGGTGGACACCTCAACTAAATGTCCTTCGACAAAGTTGCAGGTCTTTCTTCAATGTGGTGAAAGCGCAAAATAACGACCTACAATAGTCTAAATACAAATCAAGTCTGGCTGAATACAAAAAAAACCACCAGACGGGAAAAAAGGAAATCTTGGAGAGTTTCTGCACAGATATTGATTCAACTAATGAAGCTGCAAGGCTTAGAAAAGTTTTATCAAAAACTACACCCACACTAGGTTATCTGAAAAAGGATGACAACTCTTGGTCGGCCTCCAGTGAAGAGTCACTGAATATCCTCCTTAAAACACACTTCCCTGGCTGCTCCGAGCAGTCCCCGAGATGCGCAGAAACCAACTGTATAGAGAGCGCATCTTTAAAGTCTCTTATAAACACAGGTAACATTAAATGGGCAGTAAACAGCTTCAACTACAAAAGGCGTGCAATACAGCCATAAACTGGCTACACGAAATCTTCGGGAAGATTCTGAAGACTGGTCGCATCCCACCGACATGGCTGCAGTCTAAAATAACCTTCATACCCAAAGCTGGGAAGGCATCGCACACCAGCGCCAAAGATTTCAGAGCCATCAGTCTGTCATCTTTCATGCTAAAGACCCTGGAACGTCTTATAAGTCTCCATCTCACAGCATCCATTGACCTCAGGCTTATGTCGGAGTCCCAACATGCCTACAGGAAGGGCAGATCCACGAATACTGCCCCTGGATCCCATAACCTAACCTAACCTACATATTAAAGTTATTTATCAATTTAAACAGTCAATACAGGGATAAGTTCATAAATTTGACCAAATATTAAAATATTAACATTAAGGAAAGCATCAAATTTTAAAATCTAAAGTTGCTCACATATGGACCCCACCGTCACCCGTAAATTCCGTGGCAGTTGAAACAGCCAGTATAAGTGTTGCAAAGCGTTGTCAACAAGCAATATACCCTGCGTAATGTGCAATCTGGGCAATTCAACATTCACAGATTTCTGGGTGGTGACAAATTGCTGTTGTTTTCGTTTTCGTTTGCTGCTTGTGGCACGGTCCCGCGGATTACACACAGCAATCTAAAAATAGCACAAACCAGCAGCAGTTCTCTATTGTCGTTATCGTTTTCTCAAAACATTCAGTTCCCAATTTCAGCATTGCAAATTTCGGTAATTCTACACACTCTATGTGGTTACACCAGGCTCAAGGCAACAGCGCCCAGTTGGCTCAACAGCCGTTATATGAAGTGAAGTATCTTGGCAGTGACTGCGTCAGCCTTCAGAACTGAGATCTCTGGCACATTTAAAGGAAAATTTGATAGAACCAATATATTTTGAATATATTTTTTTGATAAGGCCTGGTTTTATTCCAGCCCTCTCGGGAAGAGCTGTTCTACTTGCTATTTCTACCGATCCCCTTCGACTAAGCCACTGCACTTCGGCAAATTGTCGCTCAACAAATACACTTTGTCAAGAAAGTGCTTGGACAGAGGGGAAAAACTAATCGTTTTTCTCTTCTTTTGCGAAAAAATGTATTTCATTATTGAGTTCTATTTTGTTCGTATTCTAATTTTAAGTGGAGTGTTCAAAGCATAAATTAACGAGTTTCAGTAACTTAAACAATTCAAGCGATCACAATAGAAATAAGCTTTTTTTCAGTCTGCCCTTTTCCGAGGAGGGCCATTTGATGTCTTGCCTCCAGCACCTCCGAGCTTTTCACGTTATTTGCTCGGAAGTTGCTATTTTATGGCTGGCAGCACTCCACCAGGAGTGAACATTAATCGAATCGAAATCCAAACGTTTTTCCAATCTGCGAAAGGTAAGACAATAAAACCGCTCATTTCTAACGGGATCGACTGAAAAGGGAACAAACAAACTCTTTCTTGACACACTGTAAATGCTCTGGCGTTAAACAGAAAACAAAATTAGTAAGAATGCTGTAGTCGAGGGAGCTCGACTAAGATATACCCTGAGCCCAGCTGTTAAATATGTTCGAATCTTATTGCCAAATTTGTCTTTTCAAACTTTTTGCACTTGAGCAAAAGCATGAGTGGAAATGCTTTCATTTCTTATGGCAAGCACAGGCACTGAAGATAAACTTCCGACTATAACTTGGATGTTTCTTATTCGATCATGATCAAATTGTTCTGTTGACCTAATATTGGTTGCCAATGTATAACATATATAATATAAATTGTGGCTTTTACAGCTAACTTAATTCGAAATGTACCGATTTTAGAAAAACGGAGGAAGCTATCTATAAACGGAAGCAAACCTTATCTGCGCGGGGTAAACGAGAACGTATATTCCAATGAATATTCTCTAGCTCTTATAGTCTACATCGACTATATATATACAAATATCTGTCAGGAATTAGAGTGCTGCCCATGAACAGATTTTATAAATGTTAACGCATCTTTGGCGAAATGTTCGCTGATTAAATCTATGTAAATAATGTATATAATAAATAATTTAAATATTATATATAAACTGAAATAAATATAAAAATGTACGCACTTGATTAGGCTTCTGTTGTTTTTGTTGTTGTTTTGGACACTGACATTGTAAGTAAAGTTTTCACCATTGTGTTTCAGCTCATCCAGCTGCTGCCAGTAGACGCTGAGTGTTCCTTCGTCGAGATTGAGCTCATAGCCACTTGGCCACACAAGCGGCGGACCTGATGGCAGAGCGGCGGCTGTGCTGAAGCTGTGGACAAAGGAAGGACTCCAGGGAGCTTTGCTGTTGGCACGCCTCTTAATGTCGAATGTATAGCTGTAATGAGGATAGAGCAGCTCCCATACACAAATGATATCCACGTTAGTCTCGTATTCAGAAGTATTATTGATTGATTGAAAAGTGTGATTGTGGTCCGTCAGATACACAGACCACTCGATAGCATTTACATTGTATTCGCTTTGCAGTTCGTTCTTGAAACTCAGGCAAATGCTATTGCTAGTGTGATTCAGTCGCATCCACTCTGTGAGCGCATCCATCATGATGGACTCTTGTTGGGAAACATTAAAGGTTAGTCCCTGTTCACCACCATCATCCGTCATGTTCAGCGAGAGAGTCAATGTTGTCAAAGGCTCAATTGTTAGTTTGCACTCCACCTGTGTTTCACTTTTGTCTTTATAAGAGCAGGTTGTCGGCGTCCCTTGTCCTTCGCGATGCAGCGTGAAGTTTGCCCTGTAATAGCCTTCTTTTTTATCAAACTGTGGTTTACTGAAGGTGCAGACCATATCGCCGCTGACCCAACAAATACAGTTAAAGTCTATGTTCTCTAATTTGGCGCCGATCATAGGACTGACTCCAGTGAGAGATGCCCCATTGCATAAAGCTTCATACTCCAATGCACCATTGGCAACCACGGCCACTGCTGAAGACGCGTTGTGATACAAGGCCGTGTTGTTCAGTATGTGCACCGTTAAGTTTTCACCTTTTTTAGACTGCATATATACTTGATCAATACTTGTACAGTCTTCGGGCAGATCGTCTGTCGACGTAACCCGGAAGGTAACATTGAACAGATCCCCAGCGCGTGGATACTTTGGTGACAGCAACATTTTAAAATTATCCCTATTAATATTGCGCAAATCGCCCAGGCATGCCAGACTCAGAATGATGACTGCTGAGCGCTGCATGTTCGAGCTCGCTCGATAAGAAATGTTTACATATATTAATTTTATTTTTTATTTTAATCTTCTTCTCGATTTTCGCTTTTGCTGTTTGCTTTTATTCTTTTTTCAAAACAAATTTGCCCGCAACCTCTCTCTACGAGCGATACTCACGAACTGCAGTTGGTCTCAAAAATATATATTTATATATATATTTATACATAAAAAAACAGTGATTATTGGACATTATCAGAACAAAAAAAGAGCAAAATACAAATTAGTAATAATAGTCCTGGGTATAGTAAAGTTGTGCAAAAGTATGTCACAGGCAGAGGAAAGCATCTCCGACCCCATAAAGGATACATATTCTGAACCAGTAGGTAGCCGAGTCACCAAAGGTCACAAGCAATAAGAGGAAGTACTTTAAACGTCGAATAGAAGTTCTCTCTTATTTACCATACGCTGATCAATTTTCCAAATTTCGCAAATATCGATTTATCGAGAAAAAAGTGTATATAGATCTAATCGGATATGTATGTATTATCACGACGAAATATTGATTATTTACAACATTTGATTGAAGATGTATTAAGTAAGAAAAAATGCTTTAGTCGGGTGGACTCGCCATGATATACCCTGAACTCAGTTGTTCAATTGGCAAATTTCCCATTGAAAACTTTTATAATCTCAGAGATCTGAGTCTCTGAGTCGACCGAATGTTTTTATGACAGATATTTAAAATAATGGACCAACACTGACGTCACTGATGTCATAGGTGACCCTATTCAAATTAAATTTAAAACAAAGATCGTTCTACGCATATCAGCTCAAACAAAAAGTTGTCAGACGGAAGTACAAACCGACGGATCGCTTAGTGATTCTGATTAAGAACAGAGTATCTTCCTTATTGGGTCACAGAGGTTCCATGCTTAATTATACTCTATGCGAGAATCTGATTTCTCGGTATTTTATAATCATTAAATGTCGCGAAAAGTACAAGTCGTGTGAAACCCAAATGCAAATCTATGAAAACCTAGTAACTACAAAATGAAAGCCAATAAAAAATACAGAAGATGGTGTTATTAATGCCAGCAAGAGGTAATAAGAGGTGCACTCCCTCTCGCTCTGTTTCTCTCTCTCTCTATCTCTCGGTCTCTGTTTCTCTCTCTCTCTCTCTTAGCTGCGCTTCGTGTGCAGATAGCAGTGAAAAACCCCATTACGAATCCGATTTGTAATCTGCACTTTGGCGTAAAAAATGAATAAAATATGAAATAATAAAAACGTAGTAAGCATTGCCGCTTTATACACGCTTTTACGCTGTTTTACGCGCCTTACCCCTCACGGCCCTCCGTAAATGGAATACTATACGACTCTATATATATATATGTATATAGATAACAAAAACACCCCGAAATACGGAAAAATATGATAGTGGCAAATGTACTCAAAATATAGAAAGTTTACTATATATACACAAATTGATGACTTATTCTAGGATATATAACAATTTTATATATAAACATTGAAATGTATTTTCGTTTGCATTGCATAATTGACAAATTGATAAAAGAAAAAAGCAAACCAACACCACAGTCAAAAGCAGAATTCAATAATTACAAGAGGTAGTCAAAAGGATTGGAGACCATTACAAATAACATGTATGCAATAAGAGATTGGAGCACTTTTAAGCTTGTGCCCGACTTGGAAGCTTTAACATATAGCTCTGCACCCAAGAGGGATGCATTACATTCGTGCAGCAATCGCAACTGGCATCGCTGCGACATGTTCTCTACCAGACTATAGAGAACCGATCCTCTCTAATGGGATGCGTATGCGTGCAGGTCTTGTATGATTCGATTCGTGCTATCAGTTAAGAAGCTGTACAAATTCTTGGAATTGATAAAAATGCCAGATGTTTTTAAAATTATATTTATATACATATATATATATATATATATATATATATGTATATGTATATATATAGTTGTATGTATTTATATTATTCTTAAATCAGCGTGGCGCATCGTTTAAGCAAACGTTTTTACATGTAAAGTATGTATAGTCATAAGTGTAGCGTAAAAAATAACCGTTAAGTGCCTTATACAAAAAAACTAGCACAGTGCCTGCCAATAGTAAGTATGCTCGTCTCTCGCAGCAAACAGATTACAATACAAAAATATTAGGAAAATACAAATTAAAAAATGTTAAATACAAATAAATTAAAAATTTAAAAAACGCTGCACAAATGTTTGCTGCGTATCAACGAAACGCTTCAAATTATAATTACAAAGAGTATATAAAGTTTTTAAATACAGGTGCCATTTGTGAGTGTGTGTGTTTGTGTGTGTGTGTGTTTGTGTGTGTGTGTGTGTGTGTGTGTGTTTGTGTGTGTTTATGTGTGTGTTTGTGTGTGTTTGTGTGTGTTTGTGTGTGTTTGTGTGTGTGTTTGTGTGTGTGTGTGTGTGTGTTTGTGTGTGTGTATTTGTGTGTGTGTTTGTGTGTGTGCGTGTGTGTGTTTGTGTGTGTGCGTGTGTGTGTTTGTGTGTGTGTGTCCGTGTACTATGAGCTGAGTTGTTAAATCTGAATTTCATGTGTCTCTGGTCTCTCTGAGTGGAAGGCAAAAAATTAGCTGCTAGCTGACTGCACTGGCAACAACAATAAACGAATAAAGCAATCCTCTTGATCCTCGCCAGCTTACAGCATATGACTATGATTGTGTGCCAGCGCATTCAGATCCTGCGGCGTCACATAGCCTCCTATATTCGGCTGCAGTCGGTGGTGCGTCTGTTGCACAGCTTCGGCCGCTGCCGCAGCTGCTGCGGCTGCCGATTCCTGTGGATGAGCCGCTAACACCGAGATGGGCTTCATGAGGCCGTCCCGCTGCAGCTGCTCCATGGACGTGTAGCCAAAGTCATTGGGCATAGGCGTCGCTGATGCAGGCGGCGATGTTGCAGCGATCGCCGTCTGTACTGGTGCTGCTGTGGTGACTGTTGCTGGTGTTGTTGTTATTGGCGCCAGTGACTTGAGCTTATGCAGATCTGCTGCATGAACATAGTTGCTGGTGTTAAGCGGATGTAAGGGCGAAACGATTGCAGTGGGCACCGGGGGCATGGGTCGCGCCTGTATCATCTGAACGGGCACATAGCCACTGAATGGCATCGTAACCTGCATCGGCAGCGTAGGATGCGAGCTGGGCAAGGTGTTGGCCATTGGCGTCGACAAGAATTTCATATCTGTTGGCTTTATGTAACCAGCGGAAGCAGCGGCTGACGTTGCATTATTTCCACCGCTCGGCTGGAGCTCAGTGCCTTGGCCCGGTTGCCCCTCGTCGTCGAGCAGCAACCCTTGGTCCATGGACATATAGCTAGCTGGCGAGCTACGGCCACCGCCGCCGTTGCTGGAGTTGTTGGCTAGTAGCAGCTTGGAGCTCTCATTGCCGCTGCTAAAATCATGCGGCGGATCGTGCAACGAATACTGCGGCATATAATCCGGAGTTTGGTCAACCCGAGTGCAAATCATGCTACCACCGCCGCCGCCGCCACCGTGTCCGCTGCCATCCGTACGTGAGCCAATGTCCTTGGGTTTCTTGAGGTCCTCGATGACGCCCGTTGGCAGCATAACGCCAATATCGGACATCTTCAGATACTTGCGGTAGCCGGTGTGGCTTGCCACGAGCAGCACAATAAACGCCAGAAACACTTCAATGCTGCTGAGCAACATCTTGGTGCTGCCACTATCCGGCGAGCAGCTCACTTCGTACGTCGCCCATGCGGACTTGTATAGTCGATAGAGACTCGAATCGTTATAGCTACTGATGGCGCTCCACTCGTCATAAGTCAGCTGCGGCTGTGCCACACAATTCTGCGTACGCTCATAATTAGGTGCAACATATGGCTGTGGCGGAGACTGCGGATGCAGTGCTTCGACATTTACCGCTCGCACCTGATAGTTAAAGCGATGCTGTGACGTGCAGACGGGCGTTGTCATCACACAGGTAAGATTTGGTCGGGCACTCACATAGCTCAGCGGATAACCGATCACCGAGTTGTTCGAGTTACGCTCAACGATGACCACCTCATAGTATTCAAGGCGGCCAGCCGGTCGTGATGGTGCATCCCACTCCAAAGTAGTTGTCAACGGATTGCTGTCCAGGTATATTCGCATTGGCTCCGATGGCACTGCAAGTAAATAAGATACACATAATGTTTAATAACAGCACATTTGTCAGCAACTCAACCACAACAATGATCAGAGGAGTATTTGCACATTCAAGCATTTGAGCGATAAACAAGAAAGAACGAAAAATACAATTATAATACACTCTTCATGTGTATAGGAGAAGATGTACTAATTTTAAGTTATCAAAGTTGATTCTGATCTAAAAAGTTGAGGGGCTCATTTATATTATTTGATTTATAAAGATCAATTCAAAAAAACGTATTGATTGATTCATTCAAAAGCAGCTTTTTGACAAAAATCTAAGTTGCGCAAACTCCCACTTTACATAAGATTAAACGCTGCTCACCTCCGACGGCGGTTCGAAAGTGTATAAAATTGCTGGGATCGGAATAGAGAACGGTGTGCGAGCGTATGCTGATGGTGTAGTTTGTGTAGGCGGTGAGATTAGACAGCTCGTAGTAGATGGGCTTCTCGTTGTCGACCAGCTCAACGGTCGAGGCAGGCAAGTCAAAATACTCGGTTTTATTATCATGCCAAATGGTGCCTTGATACTCTCGGACCACACCATTCGGCTTGACGGGTGGCTTCCAGGCGAGCCAGACACTCGAGCTGGTCACATTCAGGTACTCCAGTTGGCGGGGCGGGGTAGGAGCTCCCTCTTCGGTGCGCTTGATCTGCTGATCGCTGTATTTGCTAGCGCGATGCTCGGAGTACATGAACATCTTGACGCTGTAGTAGGTGTACGGCTCCAGGTCGTTAATGGTATAAGCGATTATATCCTTATTGAGAACGATGGTGGTGCAGTTGTCCGCTTTAATAGAGTAACGCTGGCAATAGGTCAAATTGTAGCCGGTCAGTATGACGGGACAGACGCGCTCCGTGCTCCATTTGACAGTGAAGGATGTGTTTGTCAACTCATCGATGACTGGGTCCATTTTGGCCAGATCATCGTTGCCATCGCTCGTGCACATCATCCAGTGCATTCCCGTATTTCGATCGCCAAAGTTCGCCGAGACGGCCATATTCAATGAGGCAGGTTGACCGCTCTGCGTGCTATACTGTAGCCGATCCTTTGGAACGTGCTCGAAGTGAAGCGAACCATTGCATTTGGAGAGCAGTGCTGGCTTCGCATTGCACCAATATACCGTGTAGTCTACCAGATTGGTGATGTTTTCCGGCGCTGTCCAACTGAGCTTATAGCTCGAATTGCTCGATATATAGATGCTGCGTATTTTCTTGGGTACTCGCTGATGCGTATCCTCATCACTGATCGGCGGTATGTAGATACGACTCGCCTCCAAGGAGCTGCTCACACTGTTCCTGCTGCGTAAATAGATCTCATGGTAGGCATTTTGACTCCAGTTCTGAATTGTTGCCGAATTCGCGTCCAACTTGATCTTTGAGCCATCTCTGTGATTTGAACAAAAGCAAAACAAACAAACATTAATAAATTTATAGCAGCAATGAAACTATGCAGAGTCTAGAACTAAAATGTACAAATCACAAATCTGAACATTTATATGCCGATCCTTGGAGGAGGTTACCATCAAGTTACCTTCCAAGTTTGGCTATTCTATCTATCTAAAATTGTGGGAGATGTGTGGATCGACCGCGATATATAAAAATAATTTGTATTTCTTTCATAAACAAACAAAAAACAAAAATCTCAATCAGCCCAGTCCGCTCGCTACTGCGTTGGCTGTGCTGAAATTATACAGCCTGTGTCCCTCCCTTCCTTTAAATCTCTCGTCAAAGTTTATTTGAGGAATTCACTTTGGTTTATCATCCCATCTTCGTCCATTTGTCATACTCTCAACTCACCCAACCACATTAACTTAACAATTTTCTTATCTAATAAATTCATATTTCGAATATCTAATACTCTGTTGGCCAACACTAAATTCTTTTACATATGTCTGATATTTACAATTGTTTATATTACTTAATTATCAATATATAAAATTGTACATTTTTTTTTCTTCACTGATGGATCAAATGAGCATCGCTGTTGCAGGCATTGCGCATCACTGATGGACGATCAGCTGTATGCGGCGTGCCAATTGACGTAATTAATTGGGCAGGGGCCAACTCACGGGTCTGTTGGGATGCTCTGGATCGTCTTACTTTCTTCTGGATTGCACTCCTCCGATCCTGTTTTAGACCAATTGTCCCCAGATCAGTTTTTAGTTTATTCTGTCTGATGTTGCCGCTTGGTTACTCCTTTTCATACTTTTTATTTATCTTTATAAAAACAAAGTCTTGATATCTGTGTCAAAAGAGTTTAGGAGTATGCCCAAAAGTTATGCGAACGAAAATTGAATAGCACATAGTATGCATATAGAAATTAGAAATTCAACTGACTCCTCCCAACAACTGATAGTAAAATATTAATAGTTTGAGTTAACAATATTAAAAAACAATATTGAATCTGTTCATTTTGTAAATGATTGTTGTTCACACATTTGCCTCACTTGTCTCACTTATCATTCGAGCGAAATAAGAAACAAGTTATTCATGCGAAATTCAATCAATTTATATACATTCATGCATGTCATTTTAATCACTTCTCATGAAACTGTTGCCGTGTAAACGTTGTCAAATTGATGTCTTCGACTTCTGTTCTACGTAGTTGAGATAGCGAAAACACGTCAGCAAGTTCATAAACAACATGCATACCACACCATGCCATACCGTCCATCCACACATACATATTATATACGGGATGAATATGGAACATATATTCAATTTGCAAGTTTTCCACGCAACCTACACACACATAGACAGCCATATAGAAATACACACACACACACACAGATGCGGGGCGAGCACAAATTTCTTGAAAATTGTTTATTTTTAACAATTCCCTGAATTTTTCCTGCATGTTCGGCTGGCATTCATTTCGTTCCTTTTTTTTTATAATGTAAATGAATTATTTACGTATGTATGCACGTATGCCCGAGAAATGTACATAGATGATAATTAGTAGAAATTGCTTAATGTATCAGTGGAGCTGCGCTGCAGAAATGTGCACATTGATCAAATTCAGTTTAAAAACGACAATTGGCCGCAGTACGCTGGAAAAGACATACGTACATCAACAAATTGTAGGCGTGTGTAGTATTCTTCCAGTCATGCGGCATGATTACTGTGTACATGTTGCATGTTACTTAACTCAAAAGAATTAAATGAACTTGACGATCACACACGATAGACAATTAACTTGCCAACAAGTAATTTTCTCAATATCATTCCATTAATGTTTGTTCAAAAATATACAAATAAATTAATTAAGTGAATATCATCAATTGCATCTACGATATTAAAAAACAAAAAAAATGTTTAAAATGTCTTGTTCTTGTTCTTTTTTCTTCTTTTTTTAATATTTGAAGACATTGTTCACACGTGCTGGCCTATATTTTGATAGCGATCTGAATTAATATTACAGATAATGGATCGTGTCGTGTAAACATGTGTCTGATCTCTCACTTAGTACTAGAGCATGTTACGGTTAGAGTTAGTGGTCTCAATTTGTGGATGTGTAGTCTACTCACGGTCGAGTGTTGTTGTGTCGATATTCGCTGATGACATAGGTGAAGTTATCGCCATTGAACTCGTGCTGCTCCAGCTGCTCCCAGTAGATGGTGAGAGATGCACCCGACGAGTATACGTAGAAGCTGCCGTTGGTTAGGCGAGGCGGACGTGCTGGCCGTTCGGAAACGGTGCGAAAATTGAATTCGAGTGGTTCGCTCCAACGTGATTTGGTCTTGTTGTTGCGCACACGCAGTTCCAGTAGATAATAGTAACCGGGATAGGGTAGCTCGGTCAAGCAGAGCGTATCCTTGGCGGCGGAGGAACTGTTGCGCCACGTCGATCGCACCAACGTTGGAAAATGTTGGGGCGTCACGTGCACCTGCCAGAGGACGCCACCAATGAAATTACTGCGTCGCGGCATATCCCACATTAGGCATATCGAGTCCTTCGTCTTGTTGAGCACTCTCAGATTCAGTCCAGGACGCGCCAGAATCATGCGCTCCACATTATTTATCTCGATTTTCTGTTTACCATCGCCCAATATGTTGCCACGTCCCAGTTCAAAATAATATAACTCGGAGAACTTTTTATACGTCTCGCTGGTGATGTTGCAGTTGACAATTGGAGATGCCTCATACTGGCAATCGATGGTGTAGCCATAAAATGCATCCTTTTGTGTGGCAAAGCTAACGTTGTATTTGGTATTGATGCTATTTCTGGGCGCCGTAAAATTACAAAACATGTAGTCCCAATCGTAGCTGGTGCAATTGAAATCCTCCACTGGCAGCGGCTTAGTGCCCACCTGCAAACGGGACTCACTCATGGCATGCTCCTTGCACATGCAAACATATTTGTTATCCTGGTCGGACACGTTTCTTAGGGTCGTCTGTATTGTAGTTGCATTAATATACTGCAACTGAGATCCTTTTATGGCAATTGTTTTGTTATTCACAGTAAAGTACAAATCAGACACATTGCAGGCCTTGTTACTGCTATGGCCAGCCTCAAAGTACGCCTGGTTGATAGTGCAGGTCAAGTTCAGATCGCTGCCAATGGCCAGTTGGGCGATTTCCGGTGTGAGCCAGCCAGGTAATTGCTTGTCCGCATTTATACTCACAATCGATGAGCAAAGAAAAAGGCCCAGAAGCGCAACAGCACCGAAAGATAGCTCGTTGCAACGCACTTTTGGATTGCTTTCATTTAGTTGCATCTTCGCTTTCAGTATTTGTACATTGTGAATAACATTGACTTTATATAGAAATGTTATTATTTTGCTAGGGCCAGACTCGGACATTTGTGTTCTCGAGTAAGTACACACCTTGCTATACGAATGAAAATACCTGGCCACACGGGTAAGAGGCACTTGTTGGCACTGTATTGGTAATTCTCGGAAACCGTTTATATATGTTACCAAATTCCAAGAACTGATTTTATGGCATTTTGATTCGTATGCTCTGCACAAATTCTATTTGTTATCTTCAAATATCCACAATTGACTTCGAAAGGTCACGGCTTTTCGACAATTATAATGATTAACGTGTTTTGTATTGTTATTTATTTGTTTCGTTTTAATAAACCGTATGCAAGGTATCACAAACCTAACCGTTTACTCTGCCTTATGCGTTGCCTTTTGCTTTTCGTTTGCTTGGAATTCCACCATCAGTGTGACCGGCTTGCGAGAAGTGAAAAAATACATTTTTACGTCAAAATACATCAAGTACGTGCATCCGAATGCTGAAGAATCAAATGAATACATTATCGGAATAACAAAAATATTTAAGTCCACAGTGATTAGTAAAAGATTAACTTTAATTACTGCGTCACTCAGCAGGTAGAAAAGCAACTATATTTGCACTAGGTCAGTTGCAGATAACAATACTTCATCCGGCAGCACACAATATGGTCCTCTTTGTGTTTTCAACCATTTAAAAACTATCAACGCTGGTCACACTGCTTTCTATGTGTCATATGTGTGTGTGTGTGTCGTATGTGAGAAAGTGACGAATTACTTTTCATCAAATAGAAAATAATTTAGTTTGAAAGCACCTACACATAAATTTCGTTAGGCAAACACAAAAAAAAAAGAAAATAAAAGACACTTGCAAGCACTTGCATTATCTTAAGAAAAAACGGAAAACTAGCGCTGCAAAAACAATCAAAATGGCCGAAGGCGGTAGTAAACGCATCAACGTGGTAGTTAAAACGCCAAAGGAAAAGAAAACTGTTGAAGTCGATGAAGATTCTGGAATAAAAGATGTGAGTACATGTCGTGTGATTGTTGTGGGTGGCGCTGGTGCTGCTTGATTGCACCCCACTGATAAAACATAATAATTGCGGCGACTGACACTGCCCGATGAGGTGGGCACACTTGTCCACCACTTATGCACGAGTGTGTGTGTACGCGCGTGTCTGTGTGTCTATGTGTGTGTGTACGTGCATATGTAATTGAAGGTACAGTGCATTTTTTTCTCGCTCATTCTCGAAAGGATGGCAAAGTGCAAAAAATAAGCTGTGTGTAACAAGGTATATGTATATAGATTTATATATAATAAATATATATGTATATACATATATTAAATGCATTCGACATGACGACAGGGCAACATTTTTTTTTCTGCACAATTTTGTGGAACTTACTGTATGTATTTGTGTATTTCAAGTTTCTTTTTATGTTTTACAGTTTAAAATATTGGTGGCACAAAAATTTGAGGCCGAAGCCGAGCAGTTGGTGCTTATTTTTGCAGGTAAAATCATGAAGGACACCGACACGCTCAAAATGCACAACATCAAGGACAATCTGACAGTGCATCTGGTCATTAAGGCCCCAACGCGGACCAACGATGCGCCGGCACGAGCTCCGGCTGATGTGCGTCAAACGCCGTACGGCCTAAATCAATTTGGTGGCCTGGCAGGCATGGAGGCCCTCGGCGCCGGTTCGAATACGTTTATGGACTTGCAGGCGCGCATGCAGAATGAGCTGCTGAATAATGGGGATATGCTCCGATCTCTAATGGATAATCCGCTTGTGCAGCAGATGATGAATAATCCTGAGACGATGCGGCAGCTGATTACATCAAATCCTCAAATGCAGGATTTGATGCAGCGCAATCCGGAGATCTCGCACATGCTGAACAATCCGGATCTGTTGCGCCAGACCATGGAGCTGGCTCGCAACCCATCAATGTTGCAGGAACTGATGCGTTCGCATGATCGAGCCATGTCCAATCTTGAATCGGTGCCGGGCGGCTACAGTGCCCTGCAGCGAATCTATCGTGATATACAGGAGCCGATGATGAACGCGGCCACCGAATCCTTTGGTCGTAATCCGTTCGCTGGCCTAGTTGAGGGCAGCGGTGCCGGTGTCAATCCACAACAGGGCACCGAGAATCGCAATCCGTTACCAAATCCCTGGGGCGGCACTGGCAATCGAACCGGCGGCAGCAGTGCCCAAGGCTCGAACCCAATTGGCGCTAATAATCGCAGCGGCGATCAGCCACCAAACAATGTACTCAACACACCGGCAATGCGCAGCCTGTTGCAACAGATGGCCGATAATCCGGCGATGATGCAGAATCTATTGAATGCCCCCTATACGCGCTCAATGATGGAGTTAATGTCACAGGATCCAGATATGGCGTCTCGGCTACTCAGCAGCAGTCCTTTGCTTTCCAACAATCCACAGCTGCAGGATCAGGTGCGCCAGATGATGCCACAGTTCATGTCCCAAATGCAGAATCCCGATGTGATGAATATGTTAACCAATCCGGATGCCATCAATGCTATCTTACAAATCCAGCAGGGCATGGAGCAGCTGCGCACCGCCGCTCCCAATCTTGTCGGCACACTGGGCATACCGCCACCTCCGCCAGGCGTTAATAATCCAGCTGATCCAGTTATCGGCGATGCAAGCAGCGCCATCAGCAACAACACCTCGCCGATCAACGCCGCCGCGCCACCAAGTTCCAATGCCACCACAACGGCCACGCCACCTTTAGCACCCGGCGGCGGACCCAATGCGCAGCTCTTCAACGATTTCATGATGCGCATGCTCAACGGCATGTCAAACAATGCCGATAGCACACAGCCACCAGAGGTGCGCTACCAATCCCAGTTGGAGCAGCTAGCCGCCATGGGATTTGCCAATCGTGAGGCCAATTTGCAAGGTAAGATTGTGTTTTTCATATATATATATAATAATATATATATATATATTAATTGCACTGCTGTCAGCTGTCGTCAACTAATATTGTGTCATCTTCCATTTCTTATCCCATCCAGCGCTGATTGCCACGTTTGGGGACATTAATGCGGCCGTTGAACGTCTGTTGTCGCTGAATCAGTTGTCTCTGAGTTAACACGGTTAAGGCGCACGCCTCTCGTATACGCCAAACGCAAAAATTGTCTATATATACATATATATATTAATATATGTATATGTATGTATACAAATAAATATAATTAACCCGGGGCACATGCGCTTTCCCTTATAAAACATCGACTATTTCGCGGCAGCGCCTATCTCACTCAAATGTCAACGCTGATGTTCACTGATAAAAACTGACACACACACAAAAACACACACCCACACACACACACACTAACTTACACCTATAGAGATGGAGAGAGAAGCAGAAGAAGAAAATACGCCGTAAATCCTATAAATTACATGTACCACGCGCATGCACATCCACACACCCAAAATTTCGCTGCAAAATTTCAAAAAAGAAAAGAAAAGAAAAAAGAAGAAGAAGAGAGCATGCCAAAGTCTGGGCAGAGTAATCGATGATCGATATTCTTAAATGTTATTGATAAATTCATGTTCAAAAAGTTAATTTAATGAACTTAAGAGGGCGGGTACAAGTTTAATGCAGCCACGGACCCAACGAACAAACTTACGCAAACTGCAGAGTGTTTGTTCAAATATGTAAATCCTTGGGCTCGTGTTTAATAATATGCAATTCTTATTCTAAGCATACACATATGTATACATATACATATATGTACAGTGTCCCGCAGTTCAACTGGAACAGCGCCTAGCAAAAAATTTAATTGCCTGCCATAAACTAGTTATTCAATATTTTTCAAAAATTCCAAAGACCGATGGCAGGTATATATATTAACCACCTAAATGACTATATGACCCCCATAAACTGGGGTTTCCCCACCTGCTAGGTCGGGTTATGTAAAAAAGTACCTTAATTTATGGTCACATATTATTTGGAACAAGGGCGTTATGGACACCTGGGTGCCATAAAACCCGGATTTTTTACGTCAGGTTGATTATTTTCGGTATAAGTAGACCTATCCTTCGTAGTCAGTTTAGTTATATCCTGCATCTCGGGTGCCACCAGCCAACAAGGACTATGGACAGGATGACATTCGTCAAAACCCACTTGGACAAGGACTTGGAGTTCTGGAACACATTCATATTTGAAGATGAGTCCAAATTCAACATTTTTGGCTCAGACGGACGGAATTATGTGTGGCGACAGTCCAATACTGAGCTGAGTCCCAAAATCCTAAAGGCAACAGTCAAGCGCGACGGAGGAAGTGTCATGGTGTCTGAAAAATGCTCTGCTGGATGAGTGGAGCAAAATCAGTCCAGAAACTACCCGGAAGCTGGTATCTTCCATGAATAATAGGTCAAGGGAAGTTGTTAAGGCTAAAGGATAGCATACTAAGTATTAACATCCTTATTTAAGTTTTTATACGCCTAATATGTTACTTTTCTAAGACTGTTCCAAAAAAACTTTGACATGTATTTTGGATATGTTATCAGTTTTTGACTAATATTAGTTAATTAATTAATATTTTATTAAAAACTGAAGTTTCTTTTTCAAACCTGATCTAACATAAAACAAATTGGCATTTAAACATTTTGCGTTTGCTTTTGTTTAAACCTTATAGCACTTTAAATTTTTTGCTAGGCGCTGTTCCAGTTGAACTGCGAGACACTGTATATCGATGTTTATTTACTTATCTATACACTTATATATGTATATTACTATTTTTTTTGTAGCAACTGTAATGTACCGAACTTTGAATATGTTAAATCAAACGTTTTTTTTTTAGTTTGCAAGTGTAGATTTCGACGAGGAACATAGTAAAAAGAAACTCGAACATATGCGCATGTAGAGTGTACATATATATATGTTTGTATACTTTTGCGTCTGGCGTTACTTGCTGTAGTCTGGGATTTGGATGCATTGGATGCTACATACATATATTATAAAAGAAAGTGAGCTTTTTATTTTATGATACTATAAAAAAAAAACAAATAATAACAAACCGAAACAAACACTTACATATGTGCATGTACATATGTGTACATCAAATATTCCATGGTGTTACAAAAAAAAAACAAAAGACGTAACTATTTGAAATTCCTTAGTACCAAAACCAAAAAAAAAAAAAATATTTTATGTGTTAAACTACTAATATGGGTCGGCGGCAGGGGAAAAGCGGTGTTTTTTTTATCTTAGAGGTGCGCGTTCCATAAACATTCACACACAATTACACATATATAGTATATGGAGATTTGAGCAGGAAGCCGCCGATCATAAGATTGTATCAAAAAAGAAAACAAAACAAATTATTCTATAGGAAAAACTACGTTTACTCATTTCTGTATGAAAAGCTAAAAAGAGTAAATAAATAAATGTAAATGGTCACATGTTTTTAAATTCTTTGAAAAACGCAAAACAATTCTTAACTTTGCTGATAATAAACCTGGTAATCTTATGGGTAGTTCTAATCGTCAGCAGATACATGCTTGAAATTGGTATATCATATATAAACATATATAAAAAGCTTAATCGAAAAGATAAAATCGATTTGCCGATCACCTTCTGTTCGCGTTATAATGAACTAAGTGTACAACTTATAATTAAATGCTGTATGTATGTATGTATGTATGTATGTATGTATGTATGTATGTATGTATGTATGTATGTATGTATGTAACTGTACCAAGTTTCTTTAGCATAGAGTTGAAATTAAAAGAATACATCGTATGGAAAAAAGTGTTTCATGAATTCTGAAGCTATATAAGTTATATGCCTATAGTCAACAGGCAAACAATAAAAAATGCAAACCAAATATTGGACAATTGTTCTTTTGGCAGCTGTGTATGTAATTTGGTGTCCTAAATCGGATCAATTTGAAATAAAATCTTAATTTCATTTTGAACACAATTTATGCTGTGAACTAACTTTAAAATTCTACCATTTGATTGTTAATCATCTAAAAAAAAATTAGTTTCTCCAACAAGTCTCTACCATATGGATATATAATATGTACATATATGTATCATATTTCTTTTCTGTGGTCTAAGCTGTCCTCTTTTTGATCTTTACACATCGTTCGAACCCCTCTGCAGGGAAAAGAAGAGTGCAGCGATAAGACATGTAGAGCAATAGTTGAAATTATAGATTAGAGCAGGAGGCAAGTAGTTAAATATTTGAAATTAGTACAAATGTTGCAAGCTCTTCTAGAATGCTGTGTGTATTTATAATTTTTATGTTTAGTCCTCAAATAAGTTTTAAGCTTTAAGCAATAAATTCTCAGTTTCTTCGTTGACCAGAGGAATAGATTAACTCTGTTGACACAAAACGATTGGCGCTTAAGGTTATATATGTAAATCAAATGCTAAGAAGGACAACAAAATGTTTGGCTGTTTTATACACACTCATTTCGAGTTTATTGAATCGGGAAATGTCACCGATAATTGGCTTATAGCTATTGACATGTGGTATACACAACTAAACAGAGATATACATACATATATACTTATTGACATTGTATACACAGATAAACAGAGATATACATACATTAAATATTGTGTTCACAAATGACAAAGTCAGAATACGCTTAACTTGGATAAGAGTCTTGTTTAGGTTTCTGTTGTTGGGGTATCCAACTCTGCCCCTCTTAGAGCTCTTCAAAGAAGGCCACACGCGCCTTAGTTGATCCAGATTTGAGCTTTTTGAGCGTTGAATATTTGTTTTCGCCGGCCTTAATTTGCGCCTCGCTGAGTATATCCAGATTGCTCTGATTTTCCTCAATCTTGTGTGGCGCTATCTCGCTCCGCAACGTTTGCAATTGATTCTGCACTTGCTTCTTGGACTTGCGCAGATACTCCAAATGGCTGCGTTCCATCTCGTTCGTTATCTGTTCCATCTCATTGTCGGTGAGTATAAACTCTTTTGGCTCAAAATCATCGGAAATGCCGCTCGAATTGTCACCGATCACAATGTAGTGGGAGGCGGATGTGGTCAGCTCGGCGCCTCCGGCTGTTTCCATATCGTTCGTTGAGCTGCTCGTCGTCAGAGACGGTGTGCTGATCGCCGCAATGCTGGAGGCGGTGTTCACATTCGCATGCGATACGGTTGAGGCAGTTAACAGGCTGTCTGTGGACGATTTGCGGCCACTATTGAGGAAGTTAAGCAGACGGGCGGTGGCCTCGCGTTCGGCCATTTTGGCACAGATAAGCTCCTTTTTTAGCTTCTCAGTTTCCGCTTCGCGCTTATCGTTCTCCACGGTTAGCTGCAGCACATAGAAGTCGGCATCGCGTATCTTCTTCTCCAGATCATGCTTTTCGCGCTCCACTTTCATTTGGCGCTCGCGCAGTCTGTCCATTTCCGTTTTAAAGTGATTCGCCTTGCATTCGGTCAGCTGCATTTGTTCTTCACTGACGCGATTCTTCTCAAAGTACAGTTCCTTGGTCTCCTCGGAGCGGCGCTGCAATGGTATAGTTCTATGTAATTTCGTTGAGGCTTTGTCTGACCCGTATTACTCACCAGCGCATCGCTAGCCATGCGCATCTCGTCCTGCAGATGCTCTAATCGTTTCTCTATCTCGTAGCGGTCGTGCTCGGCCTTCTCTCGCAGCTGCTTCTCCCTGATGAACTTCTTGCGCTCGATCTGACGTCGCTGCTTCTCCTCTTTTGCCTGCGCCTTCATCTGCTGTATCTCCATGGTGTCCGGCTTGCGACGTCTCATGTAGAGATCATGATTACCCTTGCACAGATCAAGTATCTGCGCATCATAAACCAAGTCATATAAAGTCAAATTGAATGCACATATTATGGCTAACTGAGATTATCAGGCTTTGTAAACATTGCAATTGGGGTACCATCATTCCCAGTCTGGAACTAGGAGTAGTATAACCTCACTTAGCCAATAACCGACATTGGTGCTCACCATTTTATTGATGTGCAGGTCCTGCGAGTAGAATATAAAATTCGACACTTTGGCATCGACTAAACGAATCGTGAATTTCTTGTCATCGAAACTGACGTGTCGTATCTCGTTCCACTGGAACGTTGTCTTTGGGGTTAGCTTGTCGCGCTCATCGTAGATGTTAAGACCCACGGCTGTTACGCCCAGCCACAATTTGGTTTTGTTCTTATTCTGTAAAATGTTATAGTTTTGAAATCTTTGAGGTTATGTAATGTTGCATTCAGCCCAGAGTTGAGCAGTTTGCCTGCCCCATCACGATACTTGACTCTCGACTTACTGTAATAGGAAAGTAGTTAACACCATACATGTCCAGATCTTGTGCGATTTTCAGATATTCCATTTCGACCTCGTCCCGGGTCATGGGCTCGTGGTCCATATACCTACGAGAACAACAAAGGAAAAACAAACCCAATCAAAGTTAATAAATGTAATAAAAAGTGAGTGGCTCTAAGAGAGGCGGCTGTAGCTGAGGCAATGCTTGGATCAGATACAGACAGAGCATAACTGGACTCACCAGGTCTTGATGCGCTCCTCCCACATTTCGGGCGTCATTTGGTATTGATCAGTGACGCCCTTGGGCAGAAGTTCGCCACCGGCAAGCATGCCATCCTTGTAGCTCTCGTAATCGTAGGGTCCGTACTGGACGTGTACTGCATAGGAGGCGAGCAGAACGGAGGCCTCGGGCCTGCAGTAGATGTCCATTGAGAGGATGCTCTGTTTCACTTGCAGAAAGAACAGATGCTGGGTGATCTCCTGGATGAGTTCCTCGCTAACGTTCTCGGGAAAGAACTTTGCATAGAAACTAAACACATAAATGCTGTTGTTTTCATGGAGCTCGACTCGCTGATCTTTGACCTTCTTCTCCATTTTGAGCCATGAGACATTGTTGCGCGTGTCGACATACTGCAGCCCGAAATACCACGATTCGCGCAGACCAATTGTGCGGCAAACGAGATCGAACAGCTCCTGGCCAGTGGCGCGTGGCTCCAGCTCGAACTCCAGCTCCGAGTCGAAGGTGCTCACGCGCACCGGCAGCGAGCGGTTCTTCTTCGAACCAAAGAGGCTCATCGTCTACAGCGCTGGTGATTGCAATGTTGCAATATTGATATTGTCTGTATGTCAATATCAATTGTGATGTATTGTTCAGCACATATAAAGCATATATGCTTATATGCACATATATAATTAGGTATTATGTGCGACCGTTGTGTTTACTTGTTGCACAGTTTCCATAACGATCGCATTTGCACATGATGCAAATATAATTTTGGTGTAAATACTGCACTGGCACTTTGAAGGCACTTCATTTAAATTTCAAAACTAACATTTAACAATATATTACAACATTTTACGTTGTCAAAAAAATAAATTGCGAGCATATAAATAGCAACAACAAAGACTGAATGTCTCTGTATGTCTGCGTGTGTGTCAGACACCGATATACTTGTGTCAGTGCAATGAGTATCTACGTGACTCAGAGAGAGAGAGAGAGAGAGCGAAAGAGAGAGTAAGAGAGCAGCTGGCTGGCTTGCTGGCAGGCAGGAGAGCGAATGATGTATTTTGCTTTGTTTTTGCTGCTGTCAAAATTGAGAACAATTTAGGTATACGAATGCACAGTGGTATGCAAGCATGAATGTTTCACTGTGCCAATTTTGAGTTCCCGCATAAAATAAGTATGATAAATTGAGAAATTCATTTGATATTTTATTGACAGTATTGCTACATCCTACGTGGCTTATAGTACATACCCTATTTAAATATTCTATATATTTATTTATTTATTAAATGTAGTCTATTTACAGTTGAGAAAAGTGTTTAAATTAGATTTTAAAGATATATATGATGTTGAAGACCGTTTCAGTTAAGCACTCGTGTACGCAATTGCAGATTGAGTAAATGTGCGAGCAAATTTTAAGTCTTGTTTTTTTTTTTTTTTTAATATTTGTGTATGTTTGTAGGTATTTCAGAATCATTAGCTTGGTGCTATCTTTTTAGGGGTCTATTTTGTACAGCTGAATCGTTGGTTAACGCATAAATATTATTATTATACATAAATACTTTGAACACAGCAAGTTGAATTATTTGCAAAAATTTTGATTGCTACCTTATACATAAATGAACCATTTGTATATCAATATGAATAAGAGCAACTAATTTCCGATAGAAGATCGGCATATTATTCCATCTGAGATTTTCCTTGAATTATTGGCACTATAATCTATAAAATTTCATTCTGTATACGAATGGATAAGGCAACTGAGTATCAGTTTTGCTTATTCCTGATTCGATTATAGCATGTATTTAAATGTTTGTATTTCATATGAGATTTAATTGTTTTTGTTTTTGTTTTTATTTTTACTTTTCACTTTTCACTGTAAAATAAAGCAGACTTGATATCCACACACACTTGTGCATGCACATAAAATATGTCTTTCAAACTAATGATTGCTGCGCTTGACACGTTCAACGTGCAAGTCATACAACACTTTGTTTTTTGCATAGTAATATGGGTTTTGATCCGCATTTAGCTCCGGATTATATTCATATCCGACTCCTATCACCTCAGCTGGTCCAACCCCACACCCGACTCCTCCGCCTGATATCGTCGGCAGTACGTAGTTATTGTTGTCATTGATTAGAGTTGGAATACTGCAGTTGCTGCTGCTGCTGCTATTCCCATCGTCATAGTTTAAATGCAGGTTATTGATGCGCTTTGACAGTGGCGTAGATTCGCAAGGCAAATCATCTTCACGGCTCCGTTTTCTATAACAACATCGTTTAAAAGAATTTGCAATTTTTTATATTGTGTATTGACAGTTTGTATCGTTCACAATTTAGAACTGAAAATTTAATACAAAGCAAATAAGCTGCAGGTCACTGTAATGCTGTTCGTATATACAGATGTGTGTTTATCAATTTGTGCATGCATGCATGCATTTAGTCGTAATTGAATGGACGAATTGGTGTAATTGAACATTTTATTTGTAATTGACATACCTTGTTCTTAAAAATCCAGCCATTTCAATGTCATACCCCTTGATTATTTTTTTCTATGCCTAGCGAGGTAATTCGGTTGCCTTACTTTGTTGTCGCTGCGATTCTCTTGTCTTGTTCTTAGTAACATATGAGAGCTGCAATTGAGTGGAGTGGCAACACCAATAGGTTTGTTGGCGCAGAGCGTTGCCACTTGTAAACGTCAAATAGCGATAGCGACTGCCACAGTGGCAACCCTTCGCTTCGTCATTCGCACGCATACAGATTACTATTGTTGGAGAGAACGAACACACAAAAGAAAAATAGGAGTTTTCTATACGAATCGACGCCCAACCCAGCCCAAAAAGAACATATTTACTGTCGTTTTCAATATAAATCAGTTGTAAGTAAAATTACGCAAGTTGGCCACTTGAATGCAGTTAAAACAACAGTAATCAATTCATGTGGTGCTCATAGAAAGAGAAAATTCTGTAGTGAAAAGTGACGAAAAATGTTAACGATGACTGCTTTAGCTTAGGCTGCTTGTCTGCTGCTTCTGCTCTCATGTCAGTATGGCCGTTATAGTATGCGTGTGTGTGTGTGTGTGAGTGTGTGCCGAGTGCGTTTGTGTTAGTGAAAAACGATTGGTTTAATTTTATTCTTGCTGCTGGCGAATTTCTGAATTCGAAATGTGCCTGTAATATGTGCATTTCATTTACCTGGCTTTCTAATAATTATGAACTTGTATGCACCCTATATGTATGTATCTGTGTGTGTGAGTGGGCGATGCAAAACAATACATACCGTACCACTTGCATCTGTGCATGTATGCGTGCGTTAGCAGTGTATATTTATATACAAGTGCATTTGTGTCAAAATAAATTAGCATATTGGCTGCAGCAAAACTACGTTCAAAAACCCACACACACGCACACACACACTCACGCGCGTACGCATTGAACATGCACATAAATACATACAAACGTGTTTGTGTGTGTGTGTGTGCGTGTGTGTGGGATCATCAGGAGAGGGAGAGGGCTGCATATTTCATATTAGAGCTGCCTGTGAGCTTATCTGAGTACTTCTCTGTGTGTGTGAGTGTGTGCTTGGTGCTTTTTTTTTTCGTTCATTCTGCAGAAACTCATACACAGTTTGAGTCATCGTCATCGCCTGTGGCTCTCTGCTTATGCTCCACAAAAAGGAAGCCGGCGGCGGCGACAGCAGTGATACCGCCCGGCTGACATTCTCTGTCTATGTGTGTATGTCTGCGAGTGTGTGTGTGTGTGTATGTGTGTGTGTACAAAGTTCTATAGATACAACTCGTACGCATAGATAAGACACAATAGTTGAGCAAAAAATAAAAATATAATAATATCAAGTAAATAGCAATTTGCGTCTCGGTTACTGCCTGATATGTGCACATTTATATATATCAATATATGTTTGTATATATATGTGTGTGTGTGTGCTTTTGTGTAATTGCTCTGGTGCAGCGATAATAACAAACCGCACTCTTCCCAGTCAGTGACAGTCAGTGTGTTGACTCCCAGCCACCCACCCACCCTGTGACGAACTTACAGTCACTTGGCCGGGCAAGGGCCTTCCCAGGCACCCACGCCCTGTCCCGTTCTGCCCGTGTTTTGCTGCGTCGCCTCGTTGCGAAAGTAATTAAGGCATATGAGCATGCTCACACACACTTATATATATATAAATATATATTTATATATATACACTTACACTCGCACACGCTTGTGTCTGTGCTTAGCTTCAACGAAGCCTGTGAAGTTGGTCACTGGAAATAGCTTCCGAAGATTCAATATCGAAATAAATCAATACACTTCGTATTTTATTAATTTTCAAAAACTATACTTCCCTCTTTTACAGTTGTAGTTTGCAGGAAGAGTTGTAGAATCAAATTATTTATTGCATTTGCAAAATGGGCTTAAATTTGATTGAATGATTAATAGAAAAGTTTCGTTTCCATCCAGGTTATAAGTGAAATGAAACTGCTGCTGAAAATACAATGTAATTGCATCCTAGATACCAGATACACTTGGCTTTGGTTGACAGTTGGGGGGGCAATGGTTCGAAGCCGGGGTTAATTGAGGCGCATCCTCAACACTGTGTTTAACATAATTGCTGTGCTTCACTTCTAACTTTCATTTTTTGTTTTGTTGGTTCGTTTAGTAACCGTTATTCACAAAACTAGTTCGGTATGCAAACCATCAAGTGCGTGGTCGTTGGAGATGGAGCTGTGGGCAAGACGTGCCTGCTGATATCGTACACAACCAACAAATTTCCATCAGAATATGTGCCAACTGTATTTGACAACTATGCGGTGACAGTGATGATTGGCGGCGAGCCCTATACGCTTGGATTATTCGATACGGCCGGCCAGGAGGATTACGATCGGCTGCGTCCGCTCTCATATCCGCAAACGGATGTGTTTCTCGTCTGCTTCTCGGTGGTCAGCCCCAGTTCATTTGAGAATGTTAAGGAGAAGGTACGTTATATATATATATATATATATGTATATGCATATAGCTAAAGATAATGTATTAAATGTTGCAATTTGTTTTACCACTGTTAAACGAACAGTGGGTGCCGGAAATAACGCACCATTGCCAAAAAACGCCGTTCCTGCTGGTGGGCACACAAATTGATTTGCGCGACGAGACAAGCACATTGGAGAAGCTGGCCAAGAACAAGCAGAAACCCATTACATCCGAGCAGGGCGAAAAGCTTGCCAAGGAGCTGAAGGCAGTCAAATATGTGGAGTGCTCGGCACTAACACAGAAGGGCCTGAAAAACGTTTTCGATGAGGCCATTCTGGCCGCACTGGAGCCGCCAGAGCCATCCAAGAAGAGGAAATGCAGATTCCTTTAATTTTTTTTGATTGTCTGTTGTTTTTTCGGTTGTTTTTTTTCGTCGCCCTCAACAAAAAAAAAAAAAAAGAAAAAAGAAAACAAAAAAACTTGTACTACTATATACTATATCTGTATGATACCTTTTCTATCCAATTTTCAATTTTTCTTCTTATTTTAAATTGTATCTATTCTCGCTTTCCAACTGTCCTCCTCTCCTCTTGCCTTGGAGCCCAGTGCTCCAAGCAAACCTAAGCAAACGCAAATCCTTTGCAATCGTAATCAATTTTTATTTGAATTAGTTTCTTTTAATGTGCTACATTTTGCTTAACCTAAATGAAATCAAATCAAAACTTCTGCTTACGCATCAGCCCTCGTTAACCCCAACCCCTACCCAGCCCACCTTTGTCCCCCTCTCTATTGCTTTTGGCGCAATATTCTTATAAGACACAGCAGAAAAATAAGCAAAAAAACAAACAAAACAACAACAATAACAACATAGCAAACAAATTATTTATACATATATATAAAAATATATATATACAAAATTAAGAGAAGGTAAAGAAAGCAAAACAAAACAAAAAATCACAAGAACAAAAACAAAAGAGAAAATTTTATGTTTTGCATAAATATAAAAAATAAAAAAAAACCTAACAAATAGGAGCAAAAAAGAAAAGCTTAGTGTGAAGAAAGAAGAAATGTTCACAGCAATAGAAAGAGAAGCGAGCAGAGAGACGTGAAATATAAAACAAAGTAACAGATACATAAATACATATAATGCATATATGGAGCAAAATAATAATAAAAACATATAAAAATATGTCTATCATTTGTTTACAAACACACACACGCAATTCGCAATTCGGACTCGCATTAACTAAAAAGTTATATAAAATTGCGTAATGTATGTAGCGCTATTATGTAATAAAAGTAAGAGTATTTAAATAATTAAGTAAGGGTTGCGAAAACAAAAGCATTGAAAAAATGATAACGAAAACCACAATTAAAAAATCTAAACTATATAAGTATAATCCATAAAGTAACAAAAACAAAAAACAAAAAGCAAAAACAGCAACAACAACAACAGCAAGAAGCGAAAGAAAAAAAATGAGATAAAATTGTATTGTAGTTCAGCATGAAAGCAATGAAGATAAAGAACTAATGCATTTTTTAATATTTTTATATGTATACATTATCAATTTTTACATTTTTTTTTTTTTAGACCTTAGACATTTGACATTATTGATTTCAGATATTATAATAAAAAACAAAAACAAATATATAATGTAAAAAAAAGAGAAGCAGTTCCATAAATTGTATAAACTTCTCGCGAAGAAAACCTCTTCGAACCCCATTACCTGTATATATACAAAAGGGAGAAGGAATCATCTTAGATCCCAATAAGTATACATATTCTTGATCAGCATCCGAGCTAGCCGAGTCGATGCAGTTGATGTCAGTCTGTTCCTATGCTAGTTTTAGGTTTGAAGATACATGGATGACATTTGAAACATATCCATACTTTTTCAGACAGTACGCGTACAGATCAATGAATATATAGCTGCTTTAGGAACAACTGGCCGCTGTCTTAAAGCAATACGTGTATTACGATGTGTATTACGATTGGCCTGCAAGGCTCTATAATTGTCTTATTTCTCTGTCTTATTATGCCATTGCGGAGGGTGTAAGTTATTTTGTTTGGCTAGTTTCTAGAGTGGTTTGATCCACTTGCATTTGATGGCGGCCAGGGCCACATCGCTGACAGCTGACGCATGGAAGCCGGCATTGCCTGCAATGTCAATTTTGTCGATGTCCCGACGCAGACTGGCATTCTGATGCTGCAGCAGCTGCTCGATGCCGTGCCAGGCAATCATGACGCCATTATCGGAGCAGTAGCGCTTCGAGGGCCGATAGCAGCGGCAGTTGTACGCCAACGACAGGCGCTCCAGATTCTCGTATATCACATCGTTGTTGGCCACGCCCCCCGATACGACAAGCGTGGGCGGCGTCTCGCCAAATAGCCTCTGCTGCAGGCAGTACTCCAGAGCGCGCTGTGTGCGATGCATCAGATGGCGACTGACCGCACGTAGCAGCCCCGCACAGAAGTCGGCATAGTTGCTGATGATGCCGTCGGGCGGCGTGTGCTCCGCCCGCTCACGATGGCGTATGGCACGAAAGGAGTTGTTTTTGATGCCCGCGAAGCTAAAGTTGCAGTTGCGCTGCTGGGCAAGGGGAAGTGGGAACTCAAAGGCATCGCGATTCTGTGCCGCCTGAGCAGCATGTTCGACGGCACGTCCTCCGTTCCACAGGCGATACTGGGGTAGCACGTAGAGCCGCAGGCGACGCGCAATCTTGTCGAATGCCTCGCCAGGCGCATCGTCCAGTGTTTCGCCGAGCAGCGTCAGGCGGCCCGGACCGTTCACCATTGCCAGCTGGCTGTGGCCACCGCTGATGAGTAGGCACAGATACGGATAGTTAATCTCTTCCAGATGCTCCATGCGCGCCTGCAGCGCATGTGCCTCCATGTGATGTACGGGCAGAAGCGGCAGCTGATGCCTGCGTGCCAAGTGACGTGCAAATCGCAAGCCCACTATTAAACTCAATGGCAGACCCGGCCTGGTGGTCACCGCAATCGCCTTCAGCTGCTCCGGCTTTAGCTGAGCCTGCTCCAAGCACCGCTCGCATACAGCATCAATACGCGCCCGATGCAGATCCTGAGCACGTGGCGGTATTATGCCACCGTACCTGCAAATGAAATACACATGAGTGGGGTTAAATACATCTGAGTTGTTTTCTTTTAAATACCGCGTGTGGAACTCTTGCTGGGACTCTAGCACATTGGAGTGCACTTGTCCCGCTGTGTCGACTATGGCAATGCCTGTGTCATCGCAGGATGTTTCGATGCCCAGCACATGGCTGACGAGACGTTTAGCCACTCGACTCCTTGCGGCCGGGCATTTGAGCAGTTGAACTGCAACCGCATACATGTTACAGGCAGAAAAGTCGGCTTTTTGAATAACAAACACACTGTGTGTGTTGCCAACGTTGGGCAACGCTGTCTGCTGAGCACTGCCACCTACTGGCAGCACTGACAAAGATCTCACGTTGTGGCAACTCTACACTTCGAATTTAACGAATAATCGATAGCTTTGGCGGTAATATTTTTAAAAGAAAAGGCAGATGACGAGCAAGAGAAAATTGATTTCGATTCTGTGCGACTATCAAATAATAATATCCAGAATTTAAACGTGATGCGGTGTGTTTTTGAGGCGGTCAAAAGCACTTACTTTTCCAACAGTAGAAATAACTCTCGTAATTCAAATCTAAACATTTTGTTTTGCAGACATAAATCCAGCCAGTAGAGCAAAAATGAATGTAAACGCGCGTTTTGAAATACATAGTAATTTAATTTATTTTGAAAACTATATAATAAATATATTGATTTAATCATTTTGCAAATGGAAAAGTGAATTTTCTAATTGATGTATGCATGTTCGGCACACAAACCTCATCTATGTATGTGCATACACACACAAAGCGCGTACACACACGCACACACACACACACAACATACACTTATTGTAGTCCTTACAAATACACATGTAATGTATGTATGTTCGTAGTAAAAGATAAGTAATCCACAAATGAACTACTTGTTTGGCCTTATCGCTCGTAATAGACGCGATAATAGAGGGTTTTGGAACGCCAGATGCTGTAGCTATTGTCAAATTTTAAGAGGTAGACGCCCTCGCCAGGATAGGAATGGGAACCCACGTAGACCTCGTTGTAGCATTCGCGCCGATATATTGGCACTATAATTGAAATGGGTGCCTTTAATGCGGCAGCCGCATTCTGTGCAGCCAATGTGCTGCGCTCCTGCGACATTGAGCCCGACTCCAGATCCTCTGTGGTAGACAGATAGTCCTCATCGACGCAATCCTCATCCTCATCGCTATCGCTCACGTGCACCGTCACCTCGCTGGTAACGGGCTTCGCCCATTCAAAGTAGATACCGAAACCAATGTCGTAATTGTCCGTGGCAAACTCCCAGAATATGCACTTGCCATTCAGATTTGTTGGCACACGCACCTGGCGGTTCAATTCAATCAGTTAGTATACATATGCACTTTGGCTAAGGATCAACTGACTTTCGTGTAGACGTATCGTTGAATATGGCATAACACAGTTTGTCTATAGTGGATACATTACTCACCGTTACCGTATCGCCATGCCCAATGGTAATGACACCGTCACCGTCGCCGGCGGATACTTCAGTCTTGAACAGTTCGATATCCGGTCGCGTCCAGATCTTGGCCGGACGTATCATCACATAATCGTCGTAATCATCGCTGCCCAACTGCTCCGGCTGCGCCAGTTGCTCCTCACCAGATTCCGGCTGCGACTGCAGCTGCTGTTGTTGCTGGCACTCAAATTGATTGAGATGCAGTCCCTCCATGGCGTTGGTTAAGTCAGCACTGTCTGGCCGGTTGTTGCCGCTGTTATTGTTGTTGTTATTGTTGTTGTTGGTGTGGTGAGTGGAGCAGCGACTGTTGCTGTGATCCTCCTCCGTTTGCAGCATCTTCTCCGTGTCCTCGTCACTTGTCCGCTGTGGCTGTTGGTTTTGGTTTAGATTTTGCGTCTGGCTCTGATTCTGCAGATGCAGCTGCTGCATGTATTGATGGTAGTGCTCCCGCTGCAGCTGATGTATGAGCACGGCCTGTTGCTCGGGATTACCAGGAAACTGCTTCTCGGCGTACAGCTGCAACAGAACAAAAAAAAAAAGGAACGTTTAGCAGACACCAGGCAAGTCACACTCGTAAGCAGCTTAACATTGATATGCTAGTCGTCTCGGATCCTTGATGTTGACCATCAACAGGAAATTGTTTATTGACTAATTGGGTCGTGACCTCATTCGACTCGACTGTTGACTGTCGACTGTCGCCGATGCCAACAACAACAGCCAACGACAACCGTTGACATACATTATTGACCCGGCGGGCTGGGCAACAACAGGTGCAAATGTCGATGTATCGAGTGTTCGACTGTGAGATACCTCTTGAAGAGTTAAATTGTTGTCAAATGCTTGCAAATTGTGGAGAAGACAACTGTTAATTTTTTTATTTAGCTTTGAAAGCTACTGCAAGGACGAGCGGACGTAAAGTAAACTTTGGCAATTTGCACATATTACAGCCATAATAAATATAAATTATGGTAGGCACTGCTTTATGACCAATAATATCTGTGATTTCTATATCATGCTGTTCCTCATTCTTCATCCTTTACTAACACAATTTCTTAATATTTCGTAATTGCATTAAACTGTTTCGGAGACTACTAAAAAATATCAGAATATTTGCATTAACAAGAAGGGCAAAAACTATTGTGCTGTTGTATATACCCTGCAGCTAGGCAGCCATTCCATACGTGGTATTCTAATATCGATTGCGTGTCGCTGGTGATTTACCTTAAATTGCTGATATGTCTGCTTGTTGAGCGCATCCTGCAGCTGACGTCGTTGCATTTCGTCCTTGTATCCCTCCTCCAGCAGCTCCTGCTGTTCGCGTTCCCGCTTCTGTCTGGCCTCCTTTTCCTGTTCCATGCGTCGCAGCTCGGCTTTCAGTGTCTCATCGCGATTCTGGCGAACGGCCTCAATGTAAGGCCGGAAGGCGCTGCACATGGTGTCAAGCAGATCGATGAAGCCCTCCATAGCCTGCTCGCGTGTAATGTCCCCCAGCAGCTGCCAGTGCTGCTGCCTGTCCCTTCCGATGACGTCCAGGACGCCAAGAGCAGGAGCATGGTTTGTATTGAATGGTCCCAATGCTGCCTGCTGCTTGAAGGCGATAAGCTTGAGATTGTCCTCGTAGGACAGATGTATGGCCTTCCCAGAGTTCTCTGCAAATATATCACGAGTGAGTGGGTGTTTGAATGAGTGTTAGTATTAGTGAGATGAAGCCGCATAAAAGCAGTCGTCAAGCGTCTGCGGTTAATCAACATATTTCTTGCGTTGCCTTACGTTTGTAGAATGTAAACGCGAGTCGGTAAAGTTCCTGCAATGGAAAGCCCCATTTCTCCAGAGCGGTTTTGCTGCCTGCTGTGCTGCTGTTATCCATTCTCCAGTTGATTTGTGGAAATATCGTTGGCGCTACAAAATATTAGCTCGGCAGAAAACAAAAATAAATAATAAAATCTGGTTGTGTGGGTGCGTGTATGTGTGAGTGTATTTTTAACAAGAATTATCGAACGTACTCGATTACAGTGCGATTGTTCGATTAAGGAAACGTCACAAATGTCAATGAAGCAGCACCATACTGTGCTTAGCTTGGCGCGGTAATAAAAGTTAAACGTATGATTAGAATTTTATTGAAATCAGTATTCTCTTTAAAAATACAATGAATAATGGTAAAACACCACATTTAATATTTCATTGTTTTGAAATGTAAATTTTCACAGTGCTTTCAAGCAATTGGAGGCTGTAGAAAGCTAATTGGAAGATATTTAACAACGTACTATGTCAGTTGGCAGTATTTGAAAATGTTGTACTTACGACGACAATTGCATAGCAAAGTGTAGCTTTAATTTACCGGTTCCAATACCTGAAGATCAAAAGGATTATATATCCATCTAGAACACAAGAAATACGTCACGACGAATTATCGATTAGCGTTAAATAATAACGTGTGAATGCCCTCATTGATAAGAAGAAGAAATTTAATGGATTATTTATCACTGCCCATGAACAGCTGTTGTAGTTGTTGCTGTCTTGCTACACGTGCGCTGTTTTTGTGTGGAAGCATACACAAAGATGCGTTTCTTTCTTAGTGATTTGCCGACCAGGACAACAGAGGAGGATCTGAGAGCGTTGTTCCAGGACTATGGCGATGTGGAGCATGTAGAGCTGAAGACAAAAGAGCAACTTGTAGATTCTGGACAAAGCAACAACAAAGTTATAGCCTTTGTCACAGTTCAGACGGAGGATGCCGATTACTGTAAGCTCGCCACTTGGTGCAGGCAGATAACTCGAAGTCTTAACATAAATAATAATAACACTGGTAATATACGTTGCAGGCGTCAATGAGCTCAACTGGCAAAGGTTGCACGGAACCAATCTGCGTGTATCGATCGCCAAGGAGTCTTTCCTAGATCGTCTCAAACGCGAGCGCGAGGAGGACCGGCAAAAAGAGCAAACACAGTCCAATGTCGGCGAGTTAAATACGAGCAGATCGCGTTTGCTTGCGCAGAACACGCAGAACAAGCGACGCGTCTTTGGCGAAAACGAGGAGATCAATGATGAGGATGTGGCGCCCGAGCTGCTGATAACCAAGAAGCGTGCCGCACATTCTATGCACAATGGCAAAGTGAGTGGCGACTAGCTGTAATCGATTTGAAGATATGAAGAGATTTCCCTTCTTTTGCACTTTTCTTATAGATTGTCATCCAGAAGGAGCATGATGTGAAGCCGCTGCACATTATAGAGCAGCACAAAAAGCCTAGCAGTAAGTCTCTGGATGCTCAGGCCTCTATAGCGGATTTGAAGCGCAAGGAGTCGCTTAACAAAATGCAGCAGCAGCATCAGCAGAAGAAATCTGCCATACAACAGGCATTAGCCTTCATGGACGCTGGGCAGGCCAAGCGCATCAAATTCAGCGATGCCGAGGAGGAGGATGAAGTGGAGCAAACACACAAACAAAAAGCGAAACATGTCAAGAAAGATCTCTTCGAGGATAACGATGATGAGGAAGAGGAGATTGTGCTTCCCCAGCATAGTGGCAAAAAGGGCGAACGCCTGGTGGAAATGCAAAGTAAACAGAGCTTGGATCCCAGATTTCGTATAACAGCCAACTTTGTGGGCGAAGAGGCGGACGCGGAAGCAGACGAATATGTAGATCAGGACGAGCAAAAACAGAAGCAGGAGCAGCCACAGGAGGACGAACGTAACTGGCAAATGGGAATTTTAGAGCAGGTTATTGGACGCAAAATAGACACGGTCAATGCGCCCGGTAAGAAAGCATCCAATAATAAGAAAATGTTACGCTTTGATCCCGCCAAAGAAGAGCACCAGAAGCTGGTGCGTGTCAAGTCGAACAAGGACCAGCAGCGGCAGCAGCCGAAGGCGCCATTAGCTAACAGCGAGGACGCCCCCACGCCAGCACCAGTCTCGCAGAGCGCCTTTTATATGGTCACCGACACGTTGAAGCAGTCGCTTAAAACGCGCGGCGAAGGTTTCAGTTTGCTGGAAATGTTTTCTAGCAGTCACGAGGACGCTGTGGTCAAGCGGCAGGATCAGCTGGAGAAGCTAAGCCACGAGAAGATTCTGGTTAACAAGTCTAACAAACTGGGCCTGGGCAATGTGAATCCATTCAGTTATGATTCCTCCGACACCGAAGACGAGGAATCAGCAAACACAAAGGAGAATCAGTTGGGGGCCAATGAAAATACCGCACCCGCCAAGAAGCAGGGCAAGCAGAAGCAAAAGAAGCCGCAAATCTTTATTGAATCCTTCTTTATACCCAAGAACGATATCAGACTTAAAGGTATTTACTTTTACAATATCTATATACACCTATCTATCTATCTATATATGTATGTACTTTATAGAAGGCGCCAAATTCTTCAAGTCCAGCAAACCGGAACTTGACAATGACAATTACGATAATGTTAAGAAGCGCCTCAAGTTCCTCATTACCAAGAAAATTGCGAAAACGAACAAAAATAACCCCCGAAAGGTTGTCAAGAAAAACAGGATTAACAAGAAAGAACGGCTATCTTAGGCAAACGGATGATTACATTTCAATTTCCAGAGTTAAATATATTATAACGTCTTGAACGTTTCAAACAAATTTTATTTATATGTTGTTTTGTTTTGTTTCCCAACTGACTGTGAACTGAACATTCAACATTTTTGCACTTAAATTGTGACAGAAAGTGTGACATTTTTGTGTCGATTCTGCAACTAAAAACTTACTTTTGGACTCATTGTTCCAGCTGTATAATATAGTGGTCCGATAATGCAGATTTTGTTTGGCAAATATGAGGAACATAGTTTAGACTGGATTACTTGGTAAAAAAAATTGTTTTAAGACGAGAACAAATCATTCCGATGGATTGGTGCAATAATGGATGGGCGGACATGGCTATGTAGATGCGACCTGCGATGCTGATAAATATACTTTGTGATCTGTGACGTCTCCTTCAATGCGTTGCAAGCTTAAAAAGAAATTTATAATATCCTCTAGAAGGGTACATTTGTTTTGAGTTTTAATATTCTGATGCCAAAGGTATGAAGATGTTCAAATTGAGGTGTTATGTTGACCAGTGGTCTAGGAAATTATCGATACATCGATAATTGCTAGTCGATAAAATCACATATATCCCAGGATTTCAAAGCTTGTCAAGATAGATACAGTAATTTACGGCCATGTCAATTCCTGCTCCCAAAATTGACCCATAGTTATGATTGGTGTAATTAAATAAAAATTTATATCTCACTCATTCTGAAAGCTAGTCCTCAAATTTGAAAGGCCAAACTGTAAGAGCGGAAGAATAAGTTCAGATACGTCCAGTCTCGTTCCCAAAAACTATAGAGATATAGACACCAAATTCGAAATGTAATCTTAAACAAAGTCTTTTGCCAAAGTTGCTTTGTTATTTAACTATTTTTGCACCTTGCTAAATGCGACTCCGAAGATAAAGTCCAGAATATAAATCCCCCGTTTCCAACGAACCTACTTTAACGATATCAATATTATGTCATAGGAATAAATATAAAGATGGTTTTTTTTTTCAAAATTTGTTTTTTTGTATCTTAATAAATTTAAAAAAAAAAATGTTTAAATTACATACACACGTACAAATTATATGTTTCTGCACAAATGCATTTGAGCCCCATTTCAGCTCCAACTTAATCAAAAATTGATGTGGTTAAATAAAAAAAAAAGGACAATATGAGTCGAGCACACAAAACGCAGACTGGCCAGTTAACACTGGAGTTAAGACTATATATTTGGGTGTGTAGCTATTACCTTAGACGATATAAACAACGTGCACATGAAAGATGATTGCAAATATATATTTATATACATATATGTAAATCCGTGTGAGCGTAAAAATCGATTGCTAAAAGTCTGCGCCTACAACTAGAGAGGATTCATTGAACCTTAAGCTAGATACACATGTAAAATTAAGTTAGTGCTGGCACAAATATTGCGTCTGGCGAAATTAGATCTTAGACAAGAGAAGGGGTTTGCGTATGCTTAAAATATGCATGCGTATCCTTAAGCACATTGGCTATTAAGTAAACGTTGCAAATCTCATTTAGATTCGAGACACGGCTCGTCTTTGGCACTGCGTTCTATTCAATTTATTGTTGTATATATATATATATACATATATATACATATATATACATATATGTACTGGTTTTTACGTCTGCTCTGGATTTTCCGGTTTGGAGATAGCTGCTGCTTCCTCAACCTCTTCCACTAGCTCCTCCACGTTATTGTCATCGGGCACCAGAACAATAGCATCATCGGCATCATCAACAATGGATGCGTCTGTCCCTGCATCGGCGGGAGTGACGGCACTGCCCATCGATAAACCCAGACTTTTGTCAACTGGAGCTGATGACTCTGCGGCAGCCAATGTTGATCTGGGAGTTGTTTCTCTGAAGGCGCTGCTGAGATGTGTCGTGGTTGTCGTTGCCGCTTTGCCCGCAGCGAGCGTCTCAATGGCAACCACCGTGCGCTCCAAGAGACTCATAAAGCGCTCCTCTCGTGCATCCATCCGCTTGAGCAGCTCCTCGTCACGCTTCTCGCGCCGCTTCAGATACTCGATGAGCTCGTAGTTGGTGCTGTCGCCATCGGTCGATGTGGACATCTTACGCTTGCCGCTCTTCAGCGACGCCGACGAGCTGCAATCGGACAGATTGTCCGTGTCCACAATCACATCCGGATGCAGAATATTCTGATCTATGCTGGGTGAGTAAAAGTTCTGCGCGCTGCAAACGAATAAACCGTCAATGAATTGAGTTTGTTAAACGATGTCCCAGTTAATTGGATTTATTAACATATACAATTCGTTCATCGCGTTTCGAAAAGCTAATCTTTTTCTCTAACTAGAGACTCACCCATTATAGTTGGTCTGCATTAGCTGAATGTCATCCGGATTGAATTCGCCTTCGGAAAGCGGCTCGGATCTGCGAGGAGGAGTGAATAAATGATTCATTTAAATGGATGGATGCAAGAGTGATTAATTTGGCGTCAGCCGACTGACTCACTTCATGGATATGTTGTTGTCGTTGGTATTGCTGGTGCTATTGTGGTGCAGGTTGAGCGGACCATTGCAGTCCTTATCAAAATCGGGCGCCTCGGGTGGCTCTTGCAGCCCGTGTCCGTGATCCTTAAATGCTGCAGTGTGATTGTGATTGAGATTGAGATTATGACTGTGACTGTGGTTGTGGCTGTGATTGTGACTTTGACTGTGCAGATGCTCCTCGTCCTGGTTGAGCCCCGAACTACTATTGCCTTGGAGCTGTGGCTCGTGGCGTAGTTGGGCAGCAACGGCGGCAGCAGCAGCAGCGGCTGCAACAGCGCCGGCGACCTGCAGCTGGAGAGGATTATCATCGTAGACGCTGGTTGGCAGACCGACGACGGGTAGGCCAGCACCCTCGCTGAGCTGCGTCTCAACAAAGTGATTAGGCACGAAGCGTTCCAGTTTGCTTGCCCCACTCTGTGACGAGTCTGTGGAGTGGGCGTGACTAAGGCTCTGGAGCAGGCTGTGCTGATGCGGCGTCAGATTATCCTTGTTGAGCAGCACGCCCAGCTCGGCCGCCTGCCTCCGCCGCTGATAATAGGACAACTCATTGTGATTCTTCGAGATGAGCGCCAAACGTTTGCCATTCGAGCCCCAGCACTCGCCGCGCTGCTCCTCGATCTCCTTGAAGAGGAACATGTACGGCCAATTGCGTCGCACATGACGCTCCGGATTCTTTTTTAGCTGAGTGTAGATCTTCTTGAGGTTCTCATAGCGATTGCAGCACTGCTTCGCGGTTCGCTTTCGCGCACTGAACCGGTTCAGCACCTCGGCGACCATCTCCCAAACGCTCGCATGGTTCTTCCGATTTGATTGAAATGCGCTCTGTATTCGCTCCGACTTCACAATGTTCAGCAGCGCCACTGACTCGGGCACATTGAAATAGCTCTCTGGTGTTCGCGGCGCCCTTTGATGGTGATAGCTGCTCGTCACTGTCGGTGGATTTTTCGTCTCCTGCAATATACGCGACATAGAACACTACGTTACAAGTATACATACACAAATCCATATATGATATACATATATATGTGTGTGTATGTATATGTATGTGTATAAGCCGTAGCCTACACACACCCCAATATCCGTTCACATAATTACGCTCGCTTCGATTATCATGCTATCCCGTTCTCACACATGCATGCACCATATACCATATACCATATAAGCCTATTGATCGTAATCAGATCAATATGAGAACAAGTTTTGGGGTAAAATAAAGTTCTAAACTAAATGGTCTGGCTTTCATTAATAATAGATAATTAACCCAGTTCCTAATACAATTTAGGGGCTTGTTCATAACAATTATTTGAACAACTTGGACTAACTTTTCCATTAACCATTTCCATTATATTCCATTAATAATCTAGTAAAGTTAAAAATGTACACAAAAACATGCGAAACTTTCTACCAATTACCAAATACCTGATTTACCAACTACTTTTGCATGGGAAATTCTCTCAGGTGTAATATACGCGATCTATGTTATCTATGCGAGAGCTTGTCCACATATAGGTCGACTGATGTGAATATTGTGGGGCCTACATCCACATGGCTAGTTAAGAGGGGAGCTTGCACGAAACCAATATGCCTTGCTTCGTTGAGTAAACAGGGTATAAATAACTTAAGAACTAGACTACAGGGTAGTAACTACTCAGGAAGTAATTATTTTCAACGTTTTTTTTGTTGTAGCTTTGAAATAAGCAAAGACAACTAAAACTATTGATATGATCCAACAACTTGACCCGAGAGACCTCACAGATGATAAGCTCTGTCAGCTTGCCCCAAAACTTAAGCCGGTCGAGTCGCCGCTAAATTCGAATTTCAGTGGGGGCTACATACGAGGAGTTCCGGCTAAATGATCTAGTGTTGGGATATCTTATTTTATACCCCTGCAGAGGATAGTCTAAATTAATTATCAGATACGTTTCTTTCGACAACTCATCGACATTGAAATATAATATAATAGGGAAGCCATGATCAAGTTGGATTTCAATGTGGCTTGAATTAAAAAATATAGAAGCAAAAAAATGCATCCACACACAAAGAAACTAGTTTATTGTCTGGCTATGTTTTATTTTTCTTCTGATTTGCCAATCTCAATTTTTGAATTACGTTGAATTATAATTTTGCACATAAATTAACAAATCCAATATTCAATAACTTATCCAAAAATTGTAGGTAAACTAAATTTAAAAAAAAAAACTTATTGTGTACTATTAATTTAAAAATATATCGTCCCGTTATTTCATGCGCAAACTGATGCCGTTAAGAATCTAAAATAGCTGAGACGCTCTAAATAGATGCCGACTCGGGTGTGTAAGGATATATGAGCTGAGATCTTATGCACCCTTCTTCTTCTTCAATGGCGGCCCCCTACTCAAAGTGCAGTTGGCAACTTGTGCATTCGGAGAAGTATATAAAACAAACATAACTGTAATTGCTGAGCATTGCTTTGCTTTTGAGCGAGCGCATCGCTAGAGGGGTGGGGAGTTGTGGGCATGCATGGGGGGATTAGTTTGCATTCGGCATTCTCACATTGCAATCGTGCACGACAAAGAGCCTGCTCCGAATTTTGTAGCTCTCTTTCGCCCGCTCTTTTTCTCTCTCCCTCTGCTTGTCACCCTCTCCCTTGTTGTTGAAGGGATTTGCTCTTGTTATTGGTGTTGTTGCTCTCTTGCTAGGTGAGCTTTACTTACCATTGGAAAATTCGTTTGAGTCAGCAGCTTATTTCACAGAAGCGACAGCGTCGGCGTCAGCTGCTACAGCAACAGCAACACAGAAGCAGCGAGCGTTTGTGCTGAGAAGGCGTAACGGTGAGATTCTGTTGTATTTTATACTATTATAGCACGGTGTCCCTTTTATTATAAATTAACTTTCGGTGTCGCTGCCTACTATAGCTATCTTTGCAATTGTTGGCAACGCTAACATTTCAAAATGCACAAAAACACCGAGAAAAACGGCCGAAAACCGTTTAAAAATAACGCACTTCTAATTGGTATGTACACACTGTAAATATTACATATGTATGCATGTATGCATGCATGTATGTAAATATGTATCACTGTATCATATACATGTGCATCGAATACATGAGAGTGTTTCAAGTGTGCACTAACCAAATGCGAGCGAAAATCTGAGAAAAATACATGGGCTGAGCACTTGAAACGCTTGTGTTCGAAAGGTTCGTTTCTCCCAATGTTATTATTTAAATTTGGTTTTTTTTTGTTTTTGTTTTTGTTGACGACCAAACGTTGCGGTCGGCGACAACGACTATTAATATTTAGAAGTTAACCTTTTAGCCTCGGACTGCGGCTCATCGGCTACAGTTGAAAATGTAGAGACAAAAAAAGTAAAGCACAAAATTGAGTATGTATGTGTGCATGTACAATTGTACATATACACATGTATGTGCACGTGTATTTTGATATGTGCACATGTGTTTGTATGCATGTATTTAGTACGAATATAACTGACGGCGGCTCTAGTTGCTGTCTTGGTTTTTTGTTTTTTTTTTATGTTTTTTTGGTTGACTTATTGGTTTGAATATATTGTTGTGGTTCATCTTGGGCGCTTTGCAGGGAGCAGCAATAAAAACAACTCGCGCAGTGTTGTGAGCATTAGCATACTCACTCGCTCACTCACTCACTCACTCGCTCGTTCACTCGCTCATTCATGCACTGCGCACGGACACTGGCAAAACGGTTATTCTTGCACTTGCACTTTGTTGCACACTTTATTCATGCTATGAGCGATCGATCCCGCACTCGCTCACTTGGCGCTCTCTTTGCGTTTCTTTTCATTGGCTTGGCTTATCGAGATGTATGTATGTGCATACACATGCACACCAGCATGCATAGGTATATATTAATCGGTGTATGTATGTTGCTGTGCGATGTTCGTAGGAATTCGCGCGGCCGAGCCAAATGTCCGTTCATCGACGGTTGCCTTTGGTGCGCTTTGAAATTTCAAATTGAACGAACCAACACTAAAAAAAAAAACAAAAACAAAAAACAAAAACTATACGAAAGCAGAGCAGAGAAACTAAACAACAACGACGAGCAATCTGGCAACGAAAATGAAACTGAACTTTTCGTAGCGATCCCGTTGCCGATACTAACGGCAGTCACAGACACAAATACACATTGCGCCAAGTTCTGCTACGATCGTTAGGCGCTCGTCGGGCGCTGCTGCTGCTGCTGCTGCCGCCGCTGCTCCTCGGGATTGCGTGCGTCGTTGCTGTTGTTGTTGTTGTTGCTGCCGCCGCTGCTGCTTGCTTGCTTGCCTGTGCTTTAACTTAGTAGATTGTGACGGCAGCGTTGGTAGCGACGACGGCCGCAGCAGAAGAGGCAGAGCCAGAGGCAGAAGCGGAGGCAGAGGCAAAGGCGCCGCTCTCTCGCTGTTTCACATGTGTTCAAATGTCTTCTTCGAGTGCAGATGTCTGTGTGTGAGTGTGAGTGTGTGTGTATTTGTATGTATGTGTATATATATATAAGTATGTATGTAAATATACATAAATACATATGTATGTCTACTTATAGAATCTCGAACGTAAAGACAACGCCAGCAGCGACCATAAGAGCAACGGGAATAGCGCCAGTTAACTGATGCTGCGCCGTATGGCCATTCTGATTCTGATTCTGATTCTGATTTCGATTCTTGCAGTCAAAACAAGGAAACACATACATATGCACATACATCTCTCTCTCGGTGTGTGTGTGTGTGTGTGAGAGAGAGTTGAGAGCTGCTGACATATTCTCACTCTCACTCTCTGGGGCATGGTGCATGTGCAGGCAGAAGGAATCTATGGGCATTACTGTGCTGCAGCAGCGAGTGGGAAAAATCGTAGCCTATAAATAGATACAAGTATGCTCGATATTCATATACGTATGTTTCTATATAAATACATACATACATACATACACACACACATACATACATACACACATACCTACATGTATATGTATGTGTACGTGTGCACCCCAAAGAAGCTGCGACTCGGTTGATGATCTTTAGCGTTTGCTCAGTAAAAAAAAAAACTGTTGAAGTTGGGATATTGAAGAATTAATTTTTTTCTGTACTGATCCGATTAGAATCGATTATAACTATCAAAACTTTTTATAACATATATATTTATATTCTAAGCTTAAAGAATTTGTAGAATGCATCCTTTATTTGGTAAATCAAATCCGAATAAATTCCAAATGCTTAAATTTGTGTTGAAATATTTAAAAATTCTCTTAATCGATCAGATTCGGTTGCAAGTCTGAAATTGAAATACAGTGGACGCTTTTAATTGAAAACTTTCCGAAATTATAATCATAATGTTTGAAGTGAATTTCACTTTTAAAATGTAGAGTACTCAATTCTGAGAAAGATTTTTTATATTAGCTTCCTCGTTTTAAGATTTTGAAAACCATTGAAACTTAAATATATATCAAATGTATTTAAAATGCGGCAAATATTTGAAAATCACAGTCACTAGTTAAAATGATTGAGCCAACACTGTATTTAAGTGTTTTAATGTTAAAGATTACTATTGTAAGAAATACAGATTGAATATTCAAAAATTGTATTGATCGAAATCGATGTCTACTCTAAGTGTAGACCATATAGTGCGTCTTAATACAGTTTGGCTGCAGTTTAAAGGGTTATATTCAAATGGACTACATGCATAGAGAATGCTAAGAATAAATAAATAAATAAATACATTGTAGACAATTTTACATTTGAAAGTCAAACCAGAGATGACCCATGAACCCCATAACACTGAGGAGAGGGATTTGGAACGCTATGTTTTTTTTTCTATTCCTTCTTCTTATTTGGTTGATTTGTCAAACGACGTATTACCTCCAAATCGAAATGGATTCTCATTAATTAGTTTCGGTGCATGGAAAAGTGTTTGAAAACATTTCGAAAGCGTTTGATTTCGATTCGGAATGTACATTTTCTGTACATATACATTTCAGTTTATACGTATACGTATCTACGTACTCGGGGCCCCACCGGTATTTTTAATTTATGTAAGTATGTATGTACACGAAAAACTGCCAACGATCGTATTCTATTTGTAATCCAAAATAAGTGAATGTATCTGTATTTGTAGCTGTAGCTGTAGCTGTAGCTGTAGCTGTAGTTGTAGTTGTAGTTGTAGTTGTATCTGTATCTGTATCTGTATCTGTATCTGTAGCCGTATGTGGTTCACTTTACGAGCTCTCGTGCCCACTCTCTTTTTGATATTTTTGGTACAGCTGTTGGAGCCGCGCTGTAAATGCGTTTCGTTATTCTTATTTTGTTTTAATGCCCCCAAGAACTCAAAAAAAAAAAAAAAAAAAAACAACTAAAAACCAAATCGCTTTCATTTCGTTCCTTCGCATGCACAAAGCGAGTACTTACAAACATCCATGTAGAAATAAATACAGAAGAATAGATCACTTCTTCAGTACTATGAGTACCATCTGCTTAGTTACGATCGTGCACTGTTTAGTCTTGGGTTATCTCTGGCTTAATAATTATTTACGCCCTTCTGCAGAATAAACGATTTTTATTAACATTGATAGTACATACAAGCTGTATTTTTATAGAGCGTTTCAAGGAGATCAAGGAGATAAATAGAGCAATTACCATATATATATTAATACATATATAAAACAATATCGAGTCCTCTTAGCTTAAGTGTTTATTTAGTAAGAGAATTGCAACTTATTGTTGTATCTTAGGATTAAGAAGTCAATTGACTTATATTGGTTATCCTTTAATATTTCAAAATAAAATCAACGAAAACATAATTTTGGGAGTACATTTATATTTTGTGTCTTAACGCTTAACGCTTTTTATTTGCAACTCACAAAATTTGCTTCGATTTTGAAAATATCACAGGAACTACGAACTTAATCAGGTTGAGTGCTGAGAATGCATTGGAAAATTGAATTCGAAAAGTTTCCAGGAAATTAAAAAAAATGTAAATATATATGTATGACTGGAATAGTCTTCTCTGAAATAAAGTATAATAATTTGATATAAATAGCAAATGCTAATCCCAAATGAAAAATACAGAAATAGTCATGCATTTTCCGTAGTTAGATTCCCATCTTCACAAAAGCGTAAAATGAATCAATCAGTCGCTATAAATGTTTATATGCGTATATGTAGAAATGATATATAGACAGTATATACTCGATATTATAAGAGATCCGTATGCAGGCAATCGTCGGCATCGTCGGTATCTTTGCGTTTTATAGCTATTGTCTTTGGTCGCTGAAGCGTTCGTTGATTTTGGTTGTTTTCTTGTTATTTTTCCTCTGTATTTCTGCTTTTGAAACGAAATGAGTACAAGAGTTATTTTTAGAACTAAAATTTTCTTGATTTTTACTCGTTAACATTGCTTACGCTCCGTTCTTGTAGTAGTTGCTGTTGTTGCTGTTGTTGTTGTTGTTGCTGTTGTTGCCGTCGCTGTTGTCATCGTCGTCTTTGTTGTTATTGTTGCTTCTGTTGCTGTTGCTGCTGCTGCTGCTGCTGTCGATCGTCACGATGGTGACTGTATCTCTGTGGTCTCTGCTGTGGATTTTCCTCGTAGATTTTAGGATTTTTCTTAAGTAACATTAGTTTTGAATGGTCGGCACACACATTTATCTGTATGTATATACATATAGATAAATAGACAGATGTACAGAGATGAAATAAGTGCATATGTATATGTTTGTGTGTGTGTGTGTGTGTGTGACGGATTTTGGGAGTGCTTTACAAGGGGGATGCTGATGGGGATGGGGGCCTCTCGAAAAATTATTCACGAGAAACGAGAAACGAGCGTCGAGCGTCGAACATTGAACGTTGAATGTCGAACGTTGTTGGTCTCTGGCAACCGCAGACGTTCTCTAAGATTTATAGTTGCTATTTTTAAAACGGCATACTAACAACCGTAGGGATCGCCCAGACTCGTAAAATAGTACACACTGTACATGCACATTTAAATACGTGTATGTGTATGTATATACATATATACATAGGCTTACACACGTACATATCTACTTACATATTTACATATGTGTGTAAATAAAGAGCAACGATTTTGTTCTGCGGCACAAGGCATCAGTGTTCTTTGCATTTAACGAACGAGTGTAACATTTGCCCCGATTCAGCTGGAGAGTGCAAATTGTGCATTGGCCCGTGGGGTTTATTGAACCCGTTGACGATTACGGGGTTCGGTCAGAGTTGGTTCTAATTTCAATTTATATATATTATTATTATATTCATATTATTTTATTATATTCATATTTAGTCTGCATATCTTAATATATAATATTCAATAAGAAACAATTTTCTTTTTTAGAATTTAAGTATTAAGTGCATAGTATACTTAAAATCGAAAACTAATTTTATAAAGGATTGCTTGAATATTGAAAATCATAATTGGAAGAAAGAAAAATCATAATTGTCCAAATCGCTCAAATGAAACACATTCAAAAATTGAATTCATAGAATCAAAATGGTAATTGATACAACAGCGCCATCTAGTGGCCTCTAGGTGTGCATCCAAAAGAGCTGCAGCTCGTTCAGCAGCATGTAAGCAGCAAGGTCTAACCAATTTGCTTGTCGCAACACCAACAAATGCCTAACCCTGAAATATGCTACACACACACACACACAGACACAGACATAGTCATAGTTAGGCATGTGTTGTTCAAAAGTGCTTGGAGAGCTTTAATCGTATTCATACCCAAGTTGATGCCAGATTGAATAACATGTTGAGGTGAGCCATGTGATAACAGGTGTGCGCACATTTAAGCCTCGGTATTATGACACATTGCCACCGAGACGCAATAGCAACGTATTTGCATATCCTTGAGGGTGAACTGAAATTGCTGTCGCAAAAAAAGTGAAAGTACACGGTGGGAGAGCGAGCCAGCGAGCCCAAGAGAGTTTGTCGCTCGTGCGTCTGCGCTATTGTTAGTTGCATTTAGCATTGCCTACTTTCGAGCGTCGCTTCAGTTGGGGCGGTCTTTTTTCCAAGCGAGCGCACGCAGGATGTGTGGGTGCGTGAGACAGCGCGAGAACGAGCAAAATAGAGAGCGAGCGAGCGAGCGAGCGAGAGAGAGAGAGAGAGAGAGGGAGAGAGAGAGTGAGAGAGTTCGTATTGAAAAAACTTGTGGCTTTCGCGCAACAATGAACCCTGTTATAGATACACATATGCACATGGGTGTATGTATGTGTGTATGTGTGTGTGTGTGTGTGTGTGTGTGTGTGTGTGTGTGCGCGTGTGTATGGAAGAAAAAAGCTTTGGTGTCTGTAAGCGGTAAGGCTGGAGTTGCCAGATCCACTATAGGATAGCCACTAGAAATACATATGCACTCACCGCAGCTGGTCTGGCAACCATTTGTCAAACTTCGCGCATTTGCTGTCACGCTCACTCCTGCAATGTAGGTGCTTGTAAAAGCTAAAACCTTAAAGGGCAGCACCGAAAGCTTTTTCTTTCTTACTCTACTTTTTGTAAAACGCCAAAAGCAGCTATGGAAGAAGAAGAAGAAGCAGCAGCAGCAACAGCAGCACCACCACAAGGAGCAGCAGCAGTCGCCGCAGCGGCAGCAGAAGACAGCAACGACTCGAACGGGAGTGAAAAGCGTATCTATTTTCCTTGGAAAAAAAGTGATACATACGGAAAAATTGCAACCATTCATTCACGGAATAACCGCCGCAGCGACTCCGCGTACGTGTCTCAAACAGTAGTTAAAAGTCGTTGAAAGTGAACGTGCGTTAAAAAAAAGAAAGAAAAAATAATAAATAAATAAATATATATATATATATGTATATATATATATATATATAGAAGAGAAGAGAAAATATTCATAGAAAATTAATAAAGTCACCAAAAGGTGCAAGCGCAACTGGAATTTTTTTTGTGTGTGTGTGTTTTTTTGTCGTTATTCGTGTGCTTGTTCTTAGCCAGTGGAATTTAACACATTTTGCAGAAGTGTTAATGTCTGCGTGCGTGTGTGCGTGTGTGTGTATGTGACTATGTGCAATTAATGCATTTGCATTGCTTCTATGTGCGTTTGTGTGAGTGTGAGTGCCAGTTAGAGTATGTGTATGTGTGTATCGGTGTGTGTGTGTGTGGCCACGTGAATCAAACGCGCGCAACGACACTCCACAACACGTACACACACACACACGCACACAAACACACACACACGAGCAGCAGGAAGCAATAGAGAAAGTGACAGTGTGGCGTTGGCAAAGTCAGTGCCAAAGTCCGAGTTTTTGGCAGCAGCGTCAACGTCAACGTCAACGTCAACGTCAGCGTCAGCGTCACACTGTTCCTTCACTTCCTTTCGTTTTCCAAATGTGCGGGAAAGCGAAAGTGAATGCGAACTTTGCGATTGTGTGTGTGTCTCTGTGTCTGTGTGTGACTGTGTGTGTGTGTGTGTATGTGATTGAATAGTAATTGAAAATGAATTTGAATTTACAATTGCAGCTGTCATTGATGTGAAGCCTTTCTTCAGCAAGAACAATAACAGCAACAATCATAAATGCTCAACAGCAACAGCAAAATCGACAGCAGCAGCAGCGGCAGCGGCAGCAGCAGCAGCAACAAAAAATAAGTTTAAAAACTGTTGAATATAGAATGACGTTGCAGACAAAAATCAATGTAAAATATAAAGCCATAATAGCAACAGCAGTAACAACAACAACAGCAAAAGCAACAACAACAACTACAACAGCAACAGCAACAGCAACAAAAACAAGCGCCAGTCTGCGCCGCCGTTGACAAGCACGCACCCATACAGCCAGACAGACAGACACGCAACACGCGCGCACACACATACTCACACACACACATACAGACACACACACACACACACACACACACACACACACACACAGACATAGACACAAACACACACGCACGCACAAAAAGACACACACACACATACATATAAACAGGAAGGCGGATACGCAGCGAAAGGCCTAAGCTGTGGGCAAAAAGGGAAGTCGCACAAATTGGTAGAGCAGCAAGTGCAAAAGCAACAGCGAAAATAAACAACAGCAACAACAACAACAACAGCAGCAGCAGCAACAACAACAACAACAACAACAAGCAGTAGCCAGCAACAAAAAAGCGAAGCAGAAGAGAAAGAAGAAGCAAAATAGGAGTTGTGCACAGTTTATTAACAGTTAATCGTTAACTTTTTCAAATAGTGCCATATTCCTACACACATACATACACAATGAAGCCATCGGATTTGCTGCTGGTGTTGGAAAAGGTAAAATTAAAAAAAAATGCACTGCGAATTATTGCCACTACTAAAATTGGAGCAGACACGCATACATATAAATTAATCTATGTATGTATGTATGTATGTATGTATGTATGTATGAGCGTAACAGCGAATTTACTGTTGTAATGCTTGCCTTTAAATGGCCAATTTGATAGTCGCATACACACATACTAATACACATACATATGTGTGTATGTCTGTATGTATGTATGCATGTATGCATGTAGGTATGTGGTGGTATGCTTGTGTGTGTAGACTTATGCAAATCCATTTGGCGGCTGCGAACTCGCTCGCTGCCCACCCACACATACAGGGGACGTGGTCGCAGCGAGGACGACAACGAAGCGAGCGCCAATGTCGATGCCGAAGCGTAAAAATAAAAAAAATAAAATAAATAAAAAAAAATATAAGAAAAACCCTGTGGGAGCATGCGGTGGGGATGGCTGCAGAGCAAGCCTGGGACGGGTAGGAAGAGGAGGAGGAGGAGGTAGTCTTGTAGGGTTAGGTTAAAGGGAAGGCAACATTTTGGCTCCACTGTGTGTTATCTTTATGACTGCCTCTGTTTCTGACTCAGTTGCCCAGTTGCCCAGTTGCTCAGCTACCCAGTTTTACCGTCTCCCACAAGCATAACGTGTACAAGTATTTATATATCGTATGCTCCCCATGTGTATACATAAATACACCTACATACCATATATATACATATATATATATATATATATGTATATATAGGATGTATGTAAGTATATGGGAACTGTCCACTTCGAGCAGCGAAGGAGTCGTTTTGTTACACTTTCTTAAACAATCCACAGTTACCGTTTGTTCCCCACAACCCCCGCAACAAAAGTTTTCCAATCTTGTTTATCAGTGGGCAAACTGTGAGGAGAAATGTTTGGGAAACTGGAGAAAACTGAGATTTTAGCGGAAATGCTATGGTTACTCAACAAGTACCAAATGAGTTACACACATACGTACAAACATACATATATTATTTATATGAAGCTCAGTTATACTCGAGTCATATCACTCATACGCATATTACACATACGCCCCATGGACCCGTTGGCGAAAGCACCGCAAATCGAAAGTAGAATATTTTCACCCAACATTTGTATACACTATTTTCAAGAAAGTGGATTTCCCCATTTGTGTGACTTGATAGAATATTTTAACTAATCAGAAAAAAATATCAAATATTTAAGAAAAAATCGTCTTCAAATGATTGATTCATTTTGATCTGTAAAAAATGTAATTTTCAATATTCTTCAATAATTATCAATTGATGGGTTTCTTTGGTTGGTACATGCTTGTCATATTTGTGTATCTTTGCCAGCTTAAGAGTTGACTATCATTGAATTTAAACAGAGTGTGGCACAGTCGGTAGACTTTCGCTTGATTGCAGCGTTCTTTTCCGTTAACCTTGAGAGCAGACAAAAGAGACAGTCAGCAGGCGGCGACTTGAATCGAGTTTCTTTTGATGGAATTTGATGAGCAGCATCGCGTCAACATTGGGGGACATTATTCAAGCCAGGCCAAGACAAACAAAGGGCCTTTCCAATTGTTGTTTGCCATTCAGCTCAGCTCGGGCGCACTTATTGCTGTTGTGGTTGGCTGTGGGCTGCTCTTGATGTTGATGTTGATTTTGATGCTGTCACTGCTCGCATCTCATTCAGCCACATCTCACTATTCCATCATCCCATGCTCTTTGATTCCGTGACCTTTAGCTTTACAGCAACCATTAATAACACAGCCACTCCATCAGAGGGGCGTGGTGGGGTTCTTGTGGTTGAGTATTGTGCAAGTGCTTGTTGCATTTAACTGGAGCATTTTCATTGAGTCATTAAACAAAGAGCTGCACATGATGGTCAGGATGTTGAGCATACCAGCTGTGTTTTGGTTATATAACAAGCACAAGCAAAAGTCAAACTATGCCCATTACCACTCCCACTCCCACTCCCACAGGCAAACCCATGCCCTCACCTCATCCACGCACAAGGAAACCTATATGTATTTAATACAACACATGCCACTCGACCATTGTAATGCAAGTTTTGATATGCAAATAGTTAGTGTTAGTTAAAATTTGAAGACAGTACCAACTTCCTTTGTCCCCTGTGACAGGTCGCAGTGCATCAAGCCCAATAATAATAATATAATCTACGGAAATTGGAAAATTCCGAAAAAGATAATATTATAAAGTGAATGTCCAATGTCCGTGTTTGCTAGCAATTTATATATACAAAAGAATCAATGCAGAAAGTATAACTATTCATGGCGTCTATATATATATATATATTTTTATAGTAAGCTGCTGCGTAGACCTCAGGAAAACTTGTTGCAAATATCGATTGTAGGGCACAAAGGCACTGCTTTACAAAAAGACACCAAAAGGGGTGGGAGTGGGTGTGGATGGTTTGTTGGGTGGTGAGTGTGTGTGTTGGTTTGTGTGCTTGTGTGGTGCAGGCATTTCAATTTATGCTCGACACTCAACGCACTCGATGCTTAACAAGTATTTTTTCTCGTTATTTATTATTTTTTTTTGATTGACGCCACTTTCATCTTTCAAAAACAGAAATCGTTGGCTTCCAGTTCATTGGCGCTCACTCGACTATGATATTAATTAAAGCAATGTGCTGCTCTCTGTCACTTGGCTCTTCCTATTCCTGTATTCTCTTTACCATTCCATTCTCATGCTATCTGCTGATTTTCTATTCGGTTTTGGCCAGGTCAAGTTCAAGGTGCCATTGCCGCCGGGCGTCAGCTCCACGACGCTGCTGCCGAAGCTCATACGCACCAAGGATGTGAAGCAGCTGCAGGACGGCAATGCACAGCCCACAAAGCCAAAGCTAACGGTAAGTAAGAGCAAGCCAAATGAATCCAAAGGTATGCGGTTGCATAAGAGGCATTCATTCATAATATTTATTTCTATGCAATTTTTAACTGAATAACAAATGGTAACCTTGTTTAGCAAAAAAAGAAAATTTCGGATTTTCCCGAAGAATTCGAGTTTTCATTTCAACATTTTTTTGTTTATTATTTATTATTTTTATATATTTCTAGTTTTTGTATCATTTATTATTTTTATATATTTTCTATTATTAAGAAATAAAAGGTCACATATTTTATTTTTTAAATATTGTTTTCTTTTGTAAAGAAATTATTTATTAAAGAAAAAAAATTTGTAGCTTTTAGCACTATTTTATTTTAACGATTTACTTTCGCAGAATCAGGGTTTGCATTTCTACTTTTCTAAATAATTTCGATTATAAAGAAAATAAAAAAAGCTTTTCTAATTTGTAGAATTTGTGTGTAGAAAAACTTTCTAATCTTAAAGTCGATTTTCATTTTAGCGAGATTTTGTAAAATTCAGTCCGATTTTTTGTCTGATTAAATGTGAAGTTTGAGAATATTTTATAGGGATCATTATACTAATTTGTTATGAAAAAGTAGGTGACAGAGAAAAGATGCATTTCCGATCCACTAAACTCAGTTTATTTTATATATATATATGCGTATCTAATCTATCAAATAATTTTATAATCGTTGACAGAAATGCCTGAATACGCTGGATTTGACATCGCTGGGCATTGGATCCTGCTGCGGCACCGGAATGTACCTCGTTGCTGGCCTGGTGGCACAAAAGATGGCTGGACCGGGTGTGGTTATTAGTTTTATTATAGCCGCAATTGCGAGTATTTTTTCAGGTAACTCAATCGCTAGCCACCATTTGAATAATATCCGCTGATACTTATGATCCTATGTATTTGCAGGCGCGTGCTATGCGGAATTTGGCGTTCGTGTGCCACACACATCCGGCTCTGCCTATATGTATTCATATGTGGCAGTTGGAGAATTTGTAGCTTTTATAATTGGTTGGAACATGATATTGGAATATCTAATAGGTAAGCAATCCCGATTATATTTTTCAAAAAACTTGTTTCGAAATATTAGATAACATTCTAGAATTAGAAAATATATTTCATAGCAAAAGCTGTCAAATGAAACAAGTTTACTTTACAAATTGGAAGGAAAAAGGAATTACATTTGTAAAATTAACATACAATTTTTTAGAATTTTTTTTAAGTGAGGTTAAGGTGTGAAATTCGATTATGGGCAGTGCTTATAAAATTAATATAATATGCAGAAATTAAATGAAAATAACAAATTAATAATGTCGGTTCAACAACTTTTTAGAACTCAGATAGTGGCATTTTGGACCATTCCTTAACAACAGCCTTCGTAGTTGCTCAACTGTCTCAAACTGTCGCTTGCCCACTGAAACTCGACGGCACAGGTTTCCCCACATGTTGTGGGATGGTTCATGGGATTCAGGTTGGGTAATCTTGCTGCTCACTCTAAAAGCTTCAAATACTTCTCCTGAAATCACCCACGGCATTATCCTGTTGGAATAAGGCATTGGGGTCTGGTTAATGTTCCATAAAGTTCACCAATACTTCGTTCAACATGTTTATCAAACAGGGTCACAAATCAGGGTCTTGTTGTGATAACTAAATGCAGCACAGATCATAAGTGAAGCACAGCTTCGAGTAGGGAAAATGTTCTCAGTCTTCTTTAAAGTGTGCCAGTAATAATTTAAGCCGTTTAAGTCATGGAAATAACATTTTTCTAATCACAAAATACCACATTTTGCCACTCCTGGATCGAGGACATGTGTTCTCTTGCAACATTTAATCTGCCTATGTGGTGTACCTTTGTTAATACTAACTTTGACCTCATTTTACACTATGATTCGATATTTGTAACCTTAAATCAAATAGAATTTTAGATGCCGTAGCAATATTATCCAGCCCAGCCGTAATAATTTTTGATGTTGGTTTTTTGGCATTGTTTTTTGTAGTTTTCTTTTAATTTTAACATGTTATCAATTGCTGATGCCGTTCGACTTAATTTAATTGATATTTGCCTGTTGCTCTATCCAGTATCCTTGTAAGCCAAGAGCTTAGCTATCTCCTCAGACTAGAGTGTTTTTTCCTTACCTAATCCGAATTTTTGTATGCAACTCATCTATTTTTAGCTACAAAATATTAAATAAATATGTATATATTATCCCATTCAAAGACATTTCATATGACGCCCTGCTCACTTTTTCAAAGGCTTAAAAGTGACTACCTTTATTCGAATTTCGCATCCAATCAAGCCTTTAAAAGGAAAACCCCCAAAAATCTTGGAAACATCTAACGGAACTTGCATTCCAATGCATCATTACAGTGTATAAAAGAAGAATCACAGGTTTAATATGCGTAAACAAAGTCCCGTGAGGCTTAGTGTAATTTTTAGCACCATAAACACGAGTGCCTTCAATCGAATTTCGCGCTGTGTACTTTCAAATCAAAAGATAACAGTTTCATACAATAGTTTTCCACCTATTTAAGTAAAGTTAAAAAAAAGAAACACAATTGGAAACCAAGAATACATGCTTAAAATGAAACAGCTTTGCTAAAATTAATAATCCGGAATCACGTTTGTTGTTCTTTTTCGTCACAATTTCATTCATTCCTGCAAAACATGTTCTTTATTCGAGATTGTTAATCTTAATTTGAGGTTAAGGGTATAGTCTCAAGCCGAAACGATTTTATATATGTATATACATATAGCTTAGTGGGTTGCTGAAATGAAATTGAGGTTTCAACAGGTGGACTGAGGTTTGCAAGCGGCAGTTATATTCATCGTCCCCAAAATATCCGTTTTTAGTTTTTATACCATTTAAAATTGATAAAATATGGGTTTGGGTAAAGCAAGTCCGGTATATTCTTGATCAGGATCAACTGCCGGGCTTGAAAAAAGATAAATACACTTACATATATACGCAGTGAAGGGTTCGACTATTATGATATTCGTCTACGATGTTTTGGTTCCGGTCTCTTCGGGACAAATAATATGATACCGATACCGATTCTGAATTGCAATCGGTGAACACGCGATTTCGATAACGACTGCGATATTGATTTCTGTTTGACACACTGGTTAAAAGTCTTTGAAAAATTCTTAAATCAAAAATCGTAGTTTTATTTTATTCGCGGCTAACCCAACTGACTTCCTTCTCCCCCGCAGGAACAAGTGCCTGTGCCTGTGCGTTAAGTTCAAGTTTTGATTCACTGACGGGCAATGCTATTGCGACCGCGATGAGCGAGTCCATTGGCACCATATTCGGTGAGTTTGGGACTGCAGATGAGTATTTATAGCTAACACAATGTTTACTTTTGTCGGTATCCTTTTTTCGTTCTTTTTTTTGTTTTTTGTTTGTTTGGCTTGCAGGCAAACCACCTGACTTTATAGCCTTTGGCATAACGCTCATCATGACCTGCGTTTTGGCGATGGGCGCCAGCAAATCAGTTATTTTTAATCACACCCTTAATGCCATCAATCTGGCCACGTGGGTGTTTGTGATGGCCGCCGGCGCCTTCTACGTCGATACAAAGACGTGGTCGGAGCATCAGGGCTTTCTACCCTATGGCTGGAGTGGCGTGAGTGTTAACCGCATTCTCACTCATCGCATACATTTCTGACATTTATAATAATTAATTATACATAGGTCTTCTCTGGTGCTGCCACCTGTTTCTATGCATTTATCGGTTTCGATATTATCGCAACCACCGGCGAAGAGGCGCATAATCCGCAGAAGAGTATACCCAAGGCCATCGTTGGATCCCTCATCGTTGTCCTTATTGCGTACGTCAGCGTTAGTCTAGTCCTTACTTTAGTCGGTGAGTATCAGTTCCAAATTCAATGAATCATATTCCAAAATTTGAATGCCGATGATGAAAAGAGCACTGATTTTCAGTTCAATTCATTCATTGTATTTCATTTACTGAATTGTTTTGTAAAAGAAGAGCTTGTCTGACTGTCTTTTGTTTCTTGCAGTGCCATATGATCACATCAATGTGGGCGCCGCACTGGTGCAGATGTGGTCCTATGTGAATGCGCCCAAGTGTCGCGCTGTGGTTGCCATTGGAGCCACAGCTGGTCTATCCGTGGCAATGTTCGGCTCCATGTTTCCCATGCCGCGTGTCATCTATGCGATGGCGCAGGATGGCTTGATATTCAGGTGAGTTTCGATTTGTTAAATGCGATTGGGGATGCAGTAAGGAGTCATAACATGCATTTGCAGGCAACTGTCGCATCTGTGGCAGCGCACAAACGTGCCGGGCTTGGCGACTTTGGGCAGCGGTCTGGCCGCTGCTCTGGTGGCATTGACTGTGCGCCTGGACATACTCGTCGAGATGATGTCGATTGGCACCCTGCTCGCCTACACTCTGGTGTCAACGTGTGTGCTGGTGCTGCGCTATCAGCCACATAGCACATCGCTGGTGGAGCTGCTGCCGGCACAGTTGCGCACACCCGTCGCTCCTGGTACCGCCACTACGGATCCCCATGCTCGCCCTTCGGAGGTGCTGGAGCCGAATAAGCTGACCATTAAGCGTGTAACGCGCGGCATGTCCGACTCAGACGATTCGTTCATCGATGACAGTCCCGAAGGCTACTTGGGCGGCAGGGACGATCAGTTTCTTGTATCGGATCGCTCCGAGAACAAGTTCTATGGCAGCGTTCATGGTGCACCCACCGGACCCACTGGCCAGGCGACAGCCTTCGACACGATTGGGCTGAACTTTGTCACGCGCAAGATTCACGACTACGCATACCTCTGTCCCGGCTTTTTTCCCTGGATTAATCCCGGACAGGCGACCGCCGAGAGTGGTATGTGACAGGGTATCCATTGGGATGCCCACCACAACTGATCAACTGATCAACTGATTTACTAAAACTCGAAATCGAAACGAAATTCAATTGTATTCTCGTTGCTCTTTTGCTTTCTCTCATTTCTCATTGTTTTGCTCCCGACGAAATTCTAACCGAAATCGATATCGAAACGCGAATTCGAACATATATGTATGTATATGTATGTATGTGTACTCGCACCAGGCATGTATGTCACAAAACTAGTTGGAATCATGTTCGGTCTCATATTCTTCTTGGATTTGTTCGCGGCCATCGGTTGGTCCGGCGGCTTCGCCATCTTCATTTACATCATTTTATTTATCGGCATATTTGTGATATTATTGATTATATCGAGACAACCACAGAATAGGTAACGCCAATCTACTTTTTTGCTTTCTTATATTTGATACCCTAGCAGAAAATCAAAGAAGGTGCTTGTATTAGAATAGTCGCTCCATACGATTGACTGGATTATTCTCTGTATAATGCGTAAATTCTGATCTCCGATCCATAAGTATAAGACATCGTAATGTTTTTATTGAAAAGCCTACATGGATGTTGGTTAGTTGATATATCTAAAGGTGATTATCCATTATCCATTATCGAAAAACTGATATTAAAAAAGTATATGGGTTGATCAATTAACAGACGTGGAAGATTCGGGCATATCGTTGCTTTTTAATGTGTTGCTTCCACATTTCAATCAACTATTTTTCATGAAGGCAACGCCAATTTTTCAATCGGCAAACAATGAAGTTAGTTAAATTAAGAATAGTAAAATAGCTCTTAGAATCTCTTCTGCAAGGGTATCAGCAGCTTCGGAAGACCGAAGATAACTTTCATACTCTCCTCTGAACTATCTTTATATCGATTTAAATGCTTTAAGGTGCGTCTTCTAATTGCATTTTCGATTTTTATTTTGACAGATATGCACTAGCGTTTTTAACGCCTGGACTTCCATTTATTCCGGCTATCGCAATAACTGTTAATATTTATTTAATATTTAAGCTAAGCATACTGACCCTCATTAGGTTCACCGTCTGGATGTCCCTCGGCTTCATCATGTACTTCTACTATGGCATTACGCACAGCAGCCTCGAGCAAACCACCGATGAGCTCGAGCTGCATGTGGACAAGGACTATGTGAGTGACTTGGTTGTGATGTTTAACGATTGAGTTAGCTAATCTTATCTTGTCTTGATACCGTTGCGCGTACAGAGCAAAAGTGTGGATGATAAGGCCGTTTGGGATCAGCAATCGTACAACCAGGCGCACGAGCCCGTTTGGGCCAGCAAGGAGACTAAACAGTCCACAAGTAAATTGCCTTTTGTTTTGTTTTCTAAAAAGTATCTCGTAGCTTAATATGAACTATATGCTTCACTATATATATTCTTTTGCTTTGCAGAGCAACGCTATAGCTATGGAAAGAGCTCAACTGCTGGCGCTCAGAGCGGCTCAAGGAATGCTAACAAGTCCGGCAAGGATGCGGCTGCAGCTGCATCAACGAGAGCAGCACCCGCTGTTCCTGAAGCATCTGGTGCACCTGGTGCAGCTGGTGCAACTGGTGCACCTGGAAGCAATGCTCAGCGCAGCGCGACGGGAAGCGGACGCACTCTGGAGCATCAGTATACCGGGCAGTTTAGCATGTTCGTGGATGAGGGACAGTTCCCCTCGTGGGAGGATTAAGCCGATCAGTGTTAAAGGTTCCCACTCTTTCTGAAATTTCCAAAAAGTCATAATCCATTCCCATCGCACCTCGTTGGACCACTGCAAGCTGCACCACCCCGCCGCCACTCTGTGATCGTTAGTTGCCCAAGCAGTTGCCAAGCACGTCCACTGAGGAGCAAGCAATACATTACTATTCATACATACATCATCATGTATGTCATACAGTGGTCGCTCGCCAATCAAACCGCATATGTTTAATTCCCATTCGCAAGTAATTCTTATTTCTTCAAGTCCTATTTTCAATTACACGAAAGAAATACATTCAATATATATGTCAAATCGAATAAGGAATCTATTCTAAAGAGAAAAAAAAAACAAGATGAACAGCAAAGGTTTTACAAATACCACTCGAAAACTCATATTTTTTGGAGTTCCAATTATCAAGCGACCACTGTACAAACCCTTCTACCTAAAGACCTTACGACCTTACGACCTACCATATGAATTAACCTAACTATGCGTATAGAGCTGGCAACCAATACCTGTAAATAAGATTAGACTTATTAAGTTTAACGATATTATAAATATACATATACATACCTTTACAAACATAAACAACCATATATATATATATATATATATATATATATATATGTGTGTATATATATATATGCATATACGTACAGTGCAGCTTCAATAGTTGTCGTTTTGTTTGTGCCATTGAGGTTCCACTGTAAAAATCAGTCAGTTAAATATACATACAAATCAGCAGTATCTACTATCTATATATATATATATATATATATATATACACATATGTATATATATATATATATACAAATATACCTATATACATACAATTGTTTGGTTATTAGCTGAATATGCTAATATTGAGCAAGATACAGTGAAATTGATTTAAAAATCGATCAAGAACCACACTAGCGAGTAAATATTGTACTCAACTCCGATTGGCAACCATATTTTGTCTTTGGGCTCTTGGGTTTTTTGGGGTTATGTTGCCAGTCGAAATTGAGAAAGAGGAAGCACAAAACATATTTTTGAGATTGTTGAGCACAAATAAAACGTGAATTAGGCCAGCCCATTATTAGGCTGCTTTACTTAAGTAAAAACAACTAGTTTAAAGACGCACATGTGCGTGTGTCCACTGTACAGTATATATACACACAATGCATAAACATGTAGCTTAAAACACACACACACACGCACACACAAATACTCACGCCTAAATGGTAGACTATGTGTATGTATATACTTATAGGAAAGTTCCAAAATAATTGGGAAGCCTTCAATCTGAAGATTAACCTTTTTATATGTCGTATAACTGGGTTATATCTGGGCTATTTTGGGGCATTCGTATTCGTAATTAGCACACACCAACAACAACAAAAACAACAATTCTCTACTAAATAATATCATCCTCAATCCTATGTATATTATATTTATGATTATTGACATTGCCATTACAGTTATTGTTACTATATACATTATACATACATATGATACGGTTACGAGTATTACGAATACTTATATTCAAAGTGTTATTGTTTTAACTACTCTAGAGGCTCGCGCTAAACTCATTTTAAGCGGTATTCGATATTTGTTGTAATTCAATATTTAACTTTACTTAAACTATGCAAAAACCAAAGGAAATCTTTACGAAAAATGACATAAATTTACCATATTTACTAATCGAAATCGAAGTATTCAAATTCAACATTTATGTAAAAATAAAAATAAAAACTAAACAAAAATTCCAACAATACAATGCATATAAACAAAGCAAAAGCAAATACTTATGTAAAAAAAAAATTAAAAAAAATAATAATAATAATAACAATATTTATATACAATTCATTCCTTTTTCCACTTTATATACTACAAGGCGTAAACCAAAATTTTTAAACTATATTATGAGTAAATACGATTTATATACAAATAAATACTAAACACTCAATTATTTGGACTTGTTTTTTCTTTTTTTTTGTTAAAGTTCGACAAATAACAAATACAACTACAAGTAACACTGCAAAAAACCTGTATATACACACAAAAAGACTCTGACGGTAATTAAAACTACAGACCTTCTTGAGTTGCAAAACAAATCAAATAAATCAAATAAAAAGCCAAGTAAATCGCCACAAATTAAGATCATACTAAGAAAATACTAACAAATACCAAAGATTTGAAATTTACATGCAAAATAAACGACAAATACTAAAATATTTATGGCCCTTATGCAACAGAAATATTTACAAAGAAGAAAATGAAAAAAAAAATTGTGCTCCTAAGTTTGGTTTAAGAAGCGTTACATATGTATATTCCAATAAGAAATTTGGCCTCGATTAACACTTAACGTTGTTAAAGTACATGTATTTCGAATTAAAATTATTATTATTATAGTTATTATTGTGCATTTCCAAATCTAAATCAAATCCTTGGTATATCACTTGATAAAAGCCGTTTATCAATTTATATGTACATACATCATGCCTATATTTGTTTCTGTGTCATATCAAAGTTTAATTTGTCTTTGTTCAGTAAGTACCTTCATTCACTTTAAGTGCCAAATGCACGCATATTCTTCAGCATATACTTGTTCGATATACCTGTATACCCGTCCTCTACTAATTCATAGCTCTTATGTTTGTAAAGCTTTCAGGACCAAACTGTTAAATACAGTTATAGAGACCATTAGTTTTTGAAATTGTACTTACTTTTTGATTTCCATAATTTGATAATCCAAGAACAACAACAAGACATGGGTATAACTGGACACATCTACTAAAAATCCAACCTGTATATATGAAACTTTAAAGAGACACAATGAAAAACCGAAATTAACACAAAACCAGCGATTAAAAACTCGAAAAACCTGCATGAAAACAAATGCGAAAGAAGCAAAACGAAAAACATATCCTAGAACACAAAGTGGAAAGTTGTTTTACAGCCAGAGAACAAACATGTACAAGGTTTTTCGATATACTAGTTAACCAATAACCCAACTAAACTACAAACTTAAGATTGTTCTTCCACCTTTTGGTTCATTCGGTACCACCAAATGAGCATAATTGTTACCTACAGCAAATAATATGAATAGATTATCATAGATTTTCTACAGTTCCGAAAAAAAACTAAACATGTTTCGTCAATGTACGAGAAAACCGAATGCTTCCGTTAACAAACTTGCGAATAAAACAAAAAACACTACATTTAAATGGGGAATAAAAGCATAAATATTTATAATAATAATAATAATCAGAATGAAAACGGGAACATTACTGCATATGCTCATCAATAGCAATCAATTTACAGCTTGCACCTTGAACTTACTGTACTTATTAAACTATTCAAACTAACTGTACTCACTGTTCCCCTATACCATTTGAGAGCTGCTAAAAGGAGACGAGAAGCGCATGAATAAACAGACACAAACTAGATCAGTCAACATCAGTAGGAGCAGTAAGCAATAGGTGAATACACATCAATCAGATTGATTGGAAAAGATTGAGAGAGAAAACACAATAGCAAGTAATAAATGAAATAGGCTAGGCCACATCAGAATGATTGATTGATTGATGGCGAAAGTTAGGAATCACTAAAAAAGCGAGCAGAAAACCAAATACCAAACGAAATGAAAGAGACGAAATAAATATGGTTTAACGATTGATTATTTGTTTGTTGCGTGAAAACCTTATAGAATCGAGGACTCTGATCAAAATTGAAATGACCGTAAATTTGACTACAATATCAAGCAGAAAGAGAGACAAGATAGGGTTTATCTGATTGATGACTTTGTTGATTTTTGGAACTAAGCACAAACTGAAATAATAAATAATAGTTATAGAACTCAACGCTAAGCCACGCATCAAATGAATCACAATAGTCCACATTCATTTGATTGTTTTATTGATGTTAGGCATTTATTGGTTAATCGATTGTCTCAGTTGTTCAGCTTAAAACATACAAACTTAAAAACGATGTACCTAAGTTTTATTTATTTAATAAGACTGAATTTCTGCATATGATTTATCTAAATGGTTATGATTATTGTATTATAATATACAATTTAAAATCTTTATACACATATTACACATATATATATATATATATATATATATATGTATATATATACATGCATACAATTTTAATTATTTTGATGTATATACACATACTTGGCAACTTTACAAACTTAACTATTAAAGCATCAAAATTATAAGATATTCTCAATTTATTTATCAAAAATTTCAATACTAAAAATATTAAAGAGACGAGAAAAAGTTGAAGCGATTGAAGTTAAACACAAACTATTATATATGATTATATATGATAAAAGCAAACCTTAAAGATAACTTATATATATATATATATATAAAAATGTATATATATATATATGTACATATATATATATATATATTGAACATATATAGATATAGATATATATATTCATATACATATATATATTTCAATGGATCGATAACACAACAAAAAGAAACCACAAAAAGAAACCAAAGAAAACGATGTTAATATATAATGAAACAATTTTTTATTCAAATACTACTCTTAATTTGTTTTATGTGTTAATAACTTATTAAATGATATTTCTTGAGAATATTATGAAAAATAAAATTGTTAGGATATTCAAAGATTGATTGAAACGCTTTTCACTTGGATTTTGGAAGGGGAAAAACGACAATTAAAAAACATTTACTTAGCAAAGATGCCGTTCAAGTAACTTGGAGGATGATTGACTCCCATCGTACTGCAAATCGTGAACTAGCCTTGGTATGGAGAGCATTAGTTATGATGTGATTGGTTGACGTCTTATTAAAATGACCATGGGGAGCACTCGTATAGGTGTAAATATGAATAACAAGTGCAACATTCTAGTCGGGCGTAACCGACTGCAGGATACTCTGATAGTAGTGTTAAACCAGCAGTTACTCTTCTGGCCTCTAGTGGAGTTAGCACCCTAATCTTTGAGCATTTTGTCTTTTGAAGCGACATTGTGTACAACAATATACTCTTTAACTTTCGGTATCAGAGTATATAAAATTTGATTGACCAAATAAAATGATCACTTAACTTAGAGAGGTCGATGTCCAGGGTGAACGCGTAGAACCAAAGTCAACTCGTTTGCAAATGAATAAGAAAAAGACGGAGATTGGAAAACTATTTTATATATTTAGTGCCTAAGCCGAGAAAGTGACAGATTAATACAAGCACAAAAAAAAAAAAATTACCATGAATACTCGTGGATCTCTTACTGTAAATAAAATCTGGACAGTGGGAGCCCTGGCGATGCGTTAAGCTGATTGAATCCCAAACTGACAGCACCACCAGCAGCAAAATCATGTGGATTGAACTTGTCCAATTGCCCGGTCGTGCCATACTTGTAGTAATCCCCAATTGGCTGACTCTCGCCCGAATAGTTGATTACGAATTGTGTTGGATTTGACTGTTTGTCGTCGTCAGCATCACTAGCTTCATCATCATTGTCTGCCTCTGCCTCTGTCTCTGCACCAGCCTCAGCCTCATCCTCATCTCCAGCCGGAGCCGCAGCCGCTGCCGGAGCATTGCCTTCAAGGGATCGCGGCTTAGAGTAGATATCTGCAAAGTGTTGGAGAGAATCCAATTGTACGACAATTAGTTAAAAGCTTGCGTATTTTACCAGTAGGTTGTGCGTACTGATATATCAGCTGATTGCCCAGCTGCTGCGGATATGGACGACGACGCGGCGGCTGCGGCGGCGATGGCGGCGGTGGAGGTGGTAATGCTGCTAGTGGTGGTGGTGCTGGCCGCAGCGGACGTGGTCGTCTTGCTGGTGCTGATGGAGCATCGTAGTCGTAGTCGTAGTCATACTGGCCCAAGGGATGCGGCGGTGGACGCGCAGGCGGTGCTGCTGGCGGCGGTGCTGCTGGTGGAGCTGGCGGCGGTTGTGGTGATGGTGGTGATGGTGGTGGTGGTGGTGGTGGCGGCGGTGGTGGTGCTGCTGCTGGTGGTGCAGGCGGCGCTGCATCGCCATAGTCATAATCAAAAGGCTGCTCCGGATAGTAGTCATAGGGACGTGGCCACCAGCCGTGCCCATAATATGGACGTGGTCTGCGTCGTGGCGGCGGTGGTGGTGGTGGTGGGGGTGGTGGTGGGGGTGGTGGTGGTGGTGGTGGTGGTGGTGGTGGTGGGGGTGGAGGTGGTGGTGGAGGTGGTGGTGGTGGTGGTGGTGGTGTTGTCATCATCATGGCTGGGCGACGCGATGTCTTTGCCCCAATAATGTTACGAGTTATGTTCGCCTTGAGGTAGGACAGATCGCCGCTCTTCTGCAGCAGATTGCGGAGCAGTAGGCCAAAGTCGATGGTGACTACGCCACGTTTGGGCCGCTCTCCTTCCACTACTCCTGTTGCACGCTGGGCTGACGCTAAAACGAGCAGCAGCGCCAAGAGCGTGAGCATAATGCAATACACGCGCTGCATCCTGCCACACAGATCTAGTCCCGAGTTGACCTAAGTAACGTGGAGTTGATCTGATCCAATCTAATTTGAGCGCTTGGTGAACCGCGCTGTGTGGCGTTCCAATCAGAACTGGCTGCTGCCTGTGCGCCAGTTGCCTGCCTTGACTCGGTCGTTGCATTGCGCCTGGGCGTTAGTGGATTAAGTGGCCAAATGCAACGAGTTAGACGAGTTAACCAGACAGGCCACTCAGCCAGCTAGCCAGCTAGCCAGCCAGCCAGCCAGCCAGGCAATTGGTTAGTCAGGCAGCAGATATCAACGGGTTCTTTGCGTTGCTACAATTACTTTTGCACTACTTTTTGTGCGGCACTCAAATAATTTGTGCACAGTGCGACCCCAGCACAGTGGTGTCGCATAATTGCCAGTTAACGGTAATCGATGGCTTATAACGGGTATTCAGTTCAACATGCACCATGCACCAGTGTGCACAAATCGTTGATGCTTAATACTCAAATGCATGCCTCAAAAATTAGTTGTAAGTCTTTGCAGCTATCTAGTTGCATGTTGATTTGATTTAAATACCCTATAATATTGGTGCCGCTTTGCTTAGGTTTGTCTTAGACAGTGGATGTAGATGGCACCTCTCATATATCTGCATATCTAAGAGCCAAGTCGATTAAACATAACAGCTGTATTGTTGAAGGCATATATTATTATTGGGTACTTAAACATACCCATAACGATTTATAACATTTTATTATCCGAGGTCTAAGGCGAGAATCTCTTGATGATAGAGTTGAATTGGTCAGTCTCTCTAAGACTTCCCTACATTTAAATAATCAAATTTGATACATTTTTTTTCGTATGCTTTACAGAGCATCAAACAGTTAGATTGTCTCTTCAGGAGTTTACTTAGTCGTACAGGTTATGTTTTATGCATTTGCTTAGCAATTAACAGCCTTTACTTTCAGTTATGTGCGACTTGTGTAAGCGAGTATATACATGCATATATGCATTCATATGCACATAGATAAATATATTTGGAACAGTGCCAAATGATCTAGTATTCGGGGCGATTGGTTGTTTAGGTAGTTGGTTGGTTAGCTGGTTGGTTGGTTGGTTGGTTGGAATACAGCTGAATTAGTGGCTTAGAGCAAACGACTTGAATTCAAATCCGAATATCGCGTTTGATTGAAAGGCATTCAAGAATAATTTGTAAATCAGTTTGACTGTGATCAAGTGATCAAACAATATGCAATTAAGAGAGTATTATTATGCAGGTACAGTCCAATTTTCTAGAGTATTTTTCCAAATAAATTCAAGCTCATTTATTTAATAAGTCCAGAGCTTACATAAGCACAACGGAAATCAAAAGTCGATCGTGAAAAAAAGAAAGTTAATAAAAAGCGAATCTGGTCTGGAATCCGGTAACTCTTGCAACCATGTGGCAAAGCAACCAAAGGCCGTTTTCTTTGCTATTCATGTGCCACAATAACGCAACAGCAGATAACTGGAAAATTGAAAAAAATCTTAGAGTACGAGTATTGCGTATGAATGGCTAAAATGAAGCTGACTCTGGGCAGACAAATGCGACTACCTTTATTATCTAATGAAATTTCTTTGAATGTCAAAGTCTCTCCAGCTGTGTAGTTGTAGTTTGAATAAACCGTTTTAATTAGTTTAGTTTTTGAGATTTGATTTGAATAGGAAATCGGCAGAGATGCAAAGATTTACTGTGATCTTTTTAAGTCGACATTTTTGTAAATTCAGCAAGCACTTCAATAATAAACATCAAATTGGTAAATTGGTAAAGAAGTAAATTATAATTTCTGAAAGTAGATGCGCTATCAACTTGTGATCAGGTACCAAACCGATATTCGGAATCGGAATCAGAACCGGTGCGGTACGTACTCTAATAATAATTAAGTCAAAATCACATTAGTTAAATAAACTCAACATTAAGATTTTAATTTTAAGGTACACAAGGTAAGGTAAGGTACCCAATACAGTTATTTAATAATTGCATTCATGCCTCGACTAGATTCTGCTGAGACACACTCGAAGACACCTCAATAACCGCCAAAGATACAGTGGGCGTCACTGTTGGATTCACGGCTCCCTCAAGAGGCGCTGTCTTTGGGCGTTTACGCGAGCCCAACAGCTGCATCTCCAGGCGCACAATTGGCGTCTCCACGCACAGATACATGATCAGTGAGACACCCAGAGTGATGCCAAAGTCCGACCAGAAATGTAAGATCTGCAAAGGAGTATGAAAGTGAGCATGAGAGAGAGAGCGACAGAGAGAGAGAGAGAGAGAGAGAGAGAAAGAGAAGACTTACCACATCATAGTTGGAGAAGTGTTGACTGGTCTTGATGCGACCCACATTGAGCGTCTCGACAAGTAGATGCCAAATGTAGAGGCAATAGGAGATCTTAGAGATGGGCTGCCAGAAGGTCCAACTAAGAAACTCATTGATAACGCCCCCCTGCCCACTGTGGCAGACCCAAATAAGCCAGCACAGTGCCAACGGCCACGCGATGCGGATGCAGCATATATAGAAGGCGCCTGCCAATGGCGTTATATCCGGAGCATCCGCTGCCGTATACGGATATACGCTCCAAATGGCAGTGGCCAGCAGCAGCACCATCAGGAGCCATAACAGCGATGTCAGCCACCAAGACAGACGACGCCGACGGCCCCGCTCGTTATGCAGAAAATATCCAAAGAGCAGTCCAATTAGCCAGGGCGTGGCACGGGCGTGTGTCGTATAATAGATCATTCGCATCTCGGGGCTGTCAGCGCCAAGATTACTGCAACAAGCACAGAGTTTATGTTAGATGGCCTTATACTTACATAGATTACTACAACTACGACTACGACTACGACTACAGACTTTGAATTTGGAAATAAACATGCGCAGATTAGGGTTATTTGATGCTATCAATAATCGCAATATAAGTCGAATACCGATAGAAATAAAAGTGGAATCTTTAAGATACAATCTATCTATCTTTAAGATATTCTACTAATTGGATATGACAGGTAAAGACTTGGACTTAGTAGAGCTCTCGCGGCAGGGCTAACAATTTTCATTCTCTCTTTTTTGTAATTGAATTTTAGTTGAAATTGCTTCCTTCATAAGAATACTCTAAGTTGACTGTTGCTGAGAGCTGTAGTCACCGATACTTCATTATTACAGACATCAGATGCAGATCACAATCAATTCAAAAATGAAATTCATCACTTACCCATTGCGATTGAAGACGACGAGCTTATTGAGCATGATGATGCTGAAGAGGCAACCAAAGAGCAACACCATTAGCACGACGATGCCAGCAGCGGCGCGTCGACGCCAGCGCCAGAGGGGCCACAGGAGCAGCGGCGACAGGAGAAACAGTTGCATGTCCACAGCCAAGTACCACGAGTGACCCAGGCACTGTTAAGTGTTAAGAGACCCCAAATGAAGATCAATGAATTTGTCAAATTGGGCTTTACTCACCATGCGGCCTGCTGCAGCATAATTCTGGACATAGAGGAGCGTGGCCCACCAGGTATCACTGCATAGCTGTGAGGCGCCGGTGAACTGCTGCCAAAGGGGGCCGCTGTCCAGGCGGTTGAAGAGTGTCATGAAGAGGAGCACGGCAATAGCCAAGACGGGTGTCAAGCGCATAATGCGATGCAGATACATAAGTGGCACATTGAGGCGACCCGATTCACTGCACAAGAATCGATCACAACGTTTGATGAGAGGCGAATGAAGGAGAGCAACAAGATGATAACACATACCGTTCCAGCTCGCGTAAGGTGGCCATTACGAGCAGCGTTCCACTGAGCAGAAAGAATGTATCAACGGATATGGAGCCACTCTGAAGCACCATGGAGTAGGGTGATTGGGCCCAGGCGACCACTTCGAAAGAGTTCAGGGTGGGCCCCAGCAGCATGAACATATAATCGTGACCATAGATAATCCAGATAATGGTCAGACATCGTATGCCATGAAGGCAGGGTATCACATGCGGTAATTGGGTTGCATTCGACGTTGTTTGCAGCAGTTGACGCACGTTTTGGCGCAGCGAGAATGAGCCCAACAACTTTTGGGGACCTGTTCAAATATTAATCATGATTATATTATAGACAGCTTAAGAAAATAATATAAACTTTAAAAACAAAAAATGACTATACGAATTATCAGTGTAGAAAATGTCACGGAAGCCCTACGAAATTATTGAATCAGATATGACGTAAGCATGTACATGGAGTCAGCTCAGAGCTCTTGACTAATTGATACCCTGGGTGCACTGATATTATAGACTCCTATATTTTGTGTGCATACAGTCTGGGAATATAAGTAAGATTGCCGAAGTCGAAATACCTCGATCTAAACACAGATAATGTGTATACGTATTGTAGATATTTATATATATATATGAAAGGAGGAAATTTGATTATATGCTGCCTTATCAAGTGCATGTTATCTGCTTTGAGGTTACGAAACAGTTGCAAGTGGCAACAGCTTACCTTTGAAGTAGTCAAGCAGGGTGGCGAGAAGCACGAGAACTGCCAGAAAGATGAGCAGACCGCTGTTGAGCAGAAAGATAGTATATCAGATTGGGTTCATGCTCAATGGTACACCTCTATATAATCTATAGTATTGCATGACTTACACAGCAAACCAGTCGAGAGCTGACATGGGCTCTCTATCAGCCAGGGCGCAATTAGTCTCCTGGACGAGCACTGGTTCTGGATCCATTGAATTCTCGAAGAGTAGCTGCAGATAGTCATTTATCCAGCTATTTAGCTGTGCGGCACTGCATTTGGCCGGAATACAGGCGCCAATTTGGACGCTAATTTTGCCCAAGGAGTCCGGGGAAATATTCTCGAATTGGATGTTGGCCAGACAGTACTTGGTCGGGGATGGGACCATACTGGCTACATCGCCAGGCTTTAAACAGGACTCGTAGTTGCCCATGTCGCTGAAGTGGCCATAGAGCAGGCCATGTGGAAACTTGCCCCAGGCATCCAAAACTGTTTAGAAGAAGCAGCATTATAAATTGGCCAATTGAATAACAGTTGTGTTTTGGGGTCAAGTGCTTACCTCGCAGCGCGGGCAGTGCTCGAAAATCCGCCGCCTGGAGCAGCAGTCCCACTTCAGTGGCACATTGAAGGTCCTCATTCGAATCCACTTTCGTTGAGCCGGAGCTAGAGATGGCAGTTGAGGGTGCAGTTGTGGTTGTCGAGGCGGAGCTGGAGTTCTGTGCCAGCTGTAGCACTTGGTAGCCAAAGTTGCTGTTCTGTAGCCAAGTTAACAGCTCCTCCCTGCTATAGGCATTAGCCTGGCCAGCAGAGAGGAGAAGCAACAGACCCATACCCAGACCCAAACCGACATCCAATGTGGGTCCTTGTCGCAACCGTTGTTTTCGTACTGCCATGGCCAATTGTAGCGTTAGAAGAGTTGCGGTTCATATTTATACGGCCGTACAGCTGTTAACTGGAATTTCTAATCGTCCGTCCGATAACCGCATTCAGACGTTCTCAACTTTATCTCAGGCGCCGGGAAGTACTTCTCTTCAACAACAAGTCAAAATTGTTGTTAATTTCGTCATAAAAAATTGGTGCATTGACCGATAGATAGAACGGCTAACACACAAATATTGTCCAATATCATGATGCAGCACTTATATAGCCAAAAGCTTCCTATTTATCTGATTTCTCTGATTGCTTTCTTTTTTTGTATTCTTTTTTTATTTCGTATCATTCATTATAATAAGGCATGTGCGTTGCCGGAACAACCGGAATTATAAATAAGTTTTCTCTTTATTTGAATATTTAATTACACAATACTTATGCAATACCAAAGCTACCCACATCTGTTTACACGGGACAATTTGTCATACCTCCACATCAAATGATGTTTTTATACCCTGCACCAATTCAAAACGGTAACGCCAAAGCGGGTATATCGTAGTTGCGCTAATGTTTGTAACAGTCAGAAGAAGGCCATAGAGTATATTTATCTTATATATCTTAAAAATGCTAATTTTGCTACATTTTCCCTCCAAAAATATACCCAATGAGTGTTCTTTCTATCTTTGACCTAATGCCATAGTTAGGATCTACAAGTTTTAATACCGATTGGACAACACTCACAACTATTACTCATGCGATGGGCACTGGGTATTTCCCGCCGGGCACTGGTCTGAAGAGCACTCGAATTTGTTTTTTTTTTGTTGTTTTTTTTTTTTTTGCACAGTTGGAGCAGTAACCGATAAGGTACACGATTGGTATTAAATAAAACAATGCCCGATCATCAAGTCGAAAATCACGGCAATCATGATGATGATGATGTCACACCGACTGTTCGACAGTTTCGACCTTGACAGCAATCAAAGCTGCTAACTGCGATGTTAGAAAACGCGCGACACGCTTAAAAACTTAGATACGTGCTATGTAAGTAACAGGTATATATATTAAACAGGTACTGGTAATTATATTTAACAACCGATGATCGTATTTTGAAAACAATTCAGAGTTCGTTGAACTCAGCTAACGGGGGTTAAAATGCAAAAGCTGTCAACATACAATGACTAACAGACTAACTTAGTGGAAAAGTACACTATTTATACATACGTGTGTTCAATTCTTGCTTGGCCCATTAAATATTTAGGAATGCTTGTTAATAGAATCACACTGCGTATTCTGGCGACAAACAGTTACAGGCAGTTAGCAGCGACTGAAATTAAGTAAATGGGGGACGCCAGCTTTTATTGAACAAATATTATTATTTTTTGTTTGCTTTAACACTAAAGGCAGACGATTTTGTGCGACTTTTTTGAAGATTGGGATGCCACGCCCACTGGGGGCTGGCAAAACGATAAAGCATCTCGTTAGCTCGAAGATTGAATAAATATAATTCTAAGAAATTTAATGATAGGATCACCAAAGCTACAAGGTAGGCAACCTTCCCGGCCGCGCTCACTCCTGCCTGTAGGTCAGGTATCACTCAGTTATCGTCAGAACTGTTTTTACTTTTCAGAAAGTGAAATTGCAAAGCCTGTTTTACACACGCTGTCGATGCTGCTATATATTTTTTTTTTTTTTTTTTTAAAGCGCGGAGCAACAAATGCCGTTTTGTTGACATAATCTGTTTACTTAAAATGAGTTGCCAAATTTTTCTTAAAACTTTTAAATGCAAAAAAAAGAAAGACAAATTAGAGAAGTGTTCCATGGGTTTCCAAATGGGATTGCCCCGAGAGATGATATTGGTTCTGAGGAGCATTGCAGGCTCTAAACTTTTTTTCGGCGAAGATTCGCCAATTGTGCTGCCAGATACGTGCAACCACTAATCAGACAACACGTTACATTGTCTGCTTAGTGGTACACCATATATGAAGAGACCACGGTTCAAATAACGAAGACGGCGGAGCAAATTCTATTGCCAGAGATCTCAGGGCCGTGCGGCTGTTGAGCCGAATGGGCGCGCTCGGCTCGTGTGTGGGCGCTGTTGCTTCGGGTCTTTCGTGTTTCGCAACTTCGTTCGTGTTTAGTTGTTGAGTGGCTGCCAACAGTGATGGTTGAGTCACGTTGCTCACGATTCTGTGTGTGTGTGTGTGCGTATATGTGTGTGCAAGCATTTACACATGCTTAGGGATGTATGAGTTTATTTTGTCATTTTACTAGTGGTGATCGAAAACTCAATTCGTTTTCTGAAATTTGCCCAGCACTGGCGTTTGTGTGTGTGGAACTTTGTTTATTTGATTAGTGACAATTGACCTTGAATTGCCGCCTCAATTTTTGTGAATTTGTGAAACAGGTGCAGGACTCTTTGGTTGTAAAATAAAACAATATTTGACATTTTTAGGATGCAGTGTTGTGAACGAGCAACATACCCTGCTTTAGTCAATAACATGTTTTGCAATCTGGGCTAAGCTATAAAAGTTGATTATAAGTTGACATATATAGATAATAACACAAGGTTTTCACACAATTGTAAATAAAAATGAGTTTCCTTTTCAAATGATATTTTGGCTGGCTCTGATTGCTTCTCAACGTAACAAGAAACATTTCTGTGATCATATCGGAAAAAAATGAACACATTCTGCGTCTCGAAAGCTAAATACCCTCTAATGAACAGATACTATTGCTTAAGCATTTTGACGAGTGTGTGTGTGTTGTGAAGTATTGTTCTATTTTTAGAATTTCGCTTGTTCCCCGCGTGCCGCTGATGTCTTGAAGCGTCAAACGAAAACGAACATCAACTTTGCAATGAATGTTCGGCTATTAATTTGCTGCGTCGTCGCAATAGCGGACAGGCAATATTAATCAGTTGCAGTTCAGCCGTCAACAAAGTGAGACCGTGCTGCACAACTGATGGAAGATATATGTACAAAACAGATTATTGAAATTTTGGAAGCATGTTTTTTTTTTATTAAAAATATGGCTGGCTATGCGCAGTGCGTTTAGCGGAAAGAAAAATTTGGATGATATATAAAGACGATTCAATAGCCGCTTCTATTTTAATTTTTTTACGTAAAGTAAATTATTTTACTGATTCTGAAAAAATAAAGTTTTGACGAACAAAAAATAAGAGGGAAACTGTGCGAAACGAATACTTTTTTCCAGTGTATAGCAAGAAAACGAAACGTTCCTGTTGCAACGAACACAAACGCTCAAATCAAAATTCGTTTTTTTAAGTGTCGAATGGTTGGTGCTCGTGTGTAACCACCCAAACGTACATATCTGGCAACATCGCGGCTAATAAATTTGAATGGCAAGCTGATAGCCATTTACTTGCCAGAGACGGCGGACTACCAATTTGTAGTTCAAAACTATATTTAAGTCCGATCTCTATTAAATGTATTCATGTGTTAATTTTGTTATACTATGCATATATATTCATGTACACATGTGTATATTTATATGTTCACATTTTTACTACATGTATTAGAGCTTATGTTATATGTATTGGCACCAAGAAAAGCTGGATGAAAATCAAACAGTTAAGAGTGCTGGAGTCGAGTGAGCTCGACTACGATATACCCTGAACACAGTTGTTAAATATATTATAGTTGTATTGGAAAATTTCCCTTTGAAAGTTTTGCACCAAAATGTGAGCAGGTCTGCAAGTGCGCTCTGTCGACAAACACGTGAATATTCATACATACATACATACATATACGTATACGTATTCAATCGTAACCGGGAAACGGGGCTCTGCAGCATACACACAAAAACATATTGACGCTCGCGTCGATTACCATGCCATCTCTTTCTTACACATGTGCTGGCATATGCATTATGCATACAGAAATGCTTGCGCCTGCTAGTAGAAATGAGATCAATATGAAAATATATTTTCGACTATAACCTGGGTGTTTCTTATCCGATTTTGATGAAATTTGGGCAGTTGATCAATAATATGCATAATATGTATTAATTAATCTGCCTTTGAAATTGTAGCATTTATTGCTATCGGTAATATAAATGCATCAATAATCGAGAAACTTGATGAAAATCTCATTTGACGAAAAATTTGTGAACCCTTGCCAGCGTGTGTAAACACGTATTTCCAGATTGGTCTCTATGTTCTGCATTGCCACTAGAAATTAAATACGCAATTCGTTGCTGTGCATTAAAAAAAAAATATATATATATATGGCAGCATTATATAAACATTATTTAACTTTTTAACGAAATTTCTTATTTCGAAACTATTCTCTTAAGTACCAACTCTTTTAACGAAACCCTAACCGGTTAAGTTTATCCCGTTTGGAACTTAGCGCGGACACAAACCAATATGTTGGCAAAAGCTCTTGGGAAAGAATACCCTACATACGGTATTTGTAGTCTACAATCCATAAATGATTTTCTGCTAAAAGTGCCAAATCTGATTTCACCTCACAAGTATCAGGCGAACAGAATCGCCGGTTTGGTTAAGTTTAACTCAGTTTCTGAGTTGAGTTGAGTTGAGTGCCAATAATTTTCACTCAGAACTTTAGACTATTTTCGTTTTCCGATTCTTTTCGCCTGGTAATATATCGACTAAAAAATGGACGGTAAAAGTTGCATGGTTTTTCAATTAGAGCTCAATTACACTGAAATTAATTATATACCATCTCGTTCAAAACAATAATTGAACTGAGTGCAAAACCAGACTCAAAATAATAATAGTCATTAAAAGAAAACTGTCGCAACATTTACAGTTAAAATCAAAACTCAACATTTTGTGTATTTTTTTTTTCGCCGCTCTCTTTGTGGACGGCTCTGATCAAATGGTTTGTTCCTTTTGCGACTCTCGCTCTCAAACGGTGCTTTTTAATTGTCGCTCGTTCCTTTTTAGGCTCTCTCAATCTGGAAAGTTGCGGGTGTGTGTTCGCTGAGAGCGAGAAGCAATGTGTGTGTGTGCTATATCTCTTCTATTTGCTAGAGTAGAACAGAAAAGTAAACGATCAGATTTACTCCGTCGGGCTTGTACTGGCTCTCGCCTAAATTGCAGGCTTACTGTTGTCTCTCTTCGTTAGACGTATTTGTGACGCTGTTGCTATATCGTCTCGTGTCCTTCGTGTCTGTGATAAGCCAAACCGTTATATTTCGCTCAAATGCATCTTTGTTTTCAAAAACTGTTCAGATCCGCATACTTATTGCAGGGCTGCAAGAAATGCATGAAATGCATGAAATGCAATCAAAACGCAGTGTTGATCATCACATTGCACAATGAAGTTTATTTGGTCACATTGGACTATTTTGATTTTACACATTTGGCCACACACACACATTGTTTTTTAAATACTAAAACTTAATTATTAATTTTACGCATTTATGGTTTGTCTTCCATTCATTTATTTCTTACGCTCTTTCTTTCGTAATTGTATCGGGACAATTTATAGTTTACATACAATGCTTGCAGTCGTTAGTTTTATGCGTTTAATGCTATTTGAAAAAAAAAACTATTATTATTATTATTATATATATATATTTATTAAATTATATAACATCTAATAAAATTGTTGTAGTTCTTTGAATTTTTGTTTGTTTTTTGGTTGTATTTAATTTTTTTTACTTATGTTTTTATTTATATTTTTTATACTTTAAGTATGCGTTGCGCGCTTACAAAAAATTTGCATTACAAAAACTGTGTATAGTATTATCCTTAGGCTTATATAGTAGACAATTACGAGTACAATACTTGTAATAATCAATTATTGTAGTAAAATCGCTAAATCCTTCGACAAGTGTACAGCTCGACCATGGAGCCGTCTTCTCGCTTGGTTAGTTTTCCTTATGAATATTTACACAATTTCACTATAATCGAAAAATAAATAAATATAAAAACCAACGTGGATCAACCCAATGGCCGTAGCTGAGCTTGAATTTCAGTTTAAGTTGAACTTCTCTTGAAATTCCCTTAGCCATGGGTGTCATTTGCAAAAATCCATAGCAGCAAAAGATACAGCAACACACAGTTCTGATCCTTCATAATAATAATTATGATATAAAAGACTTATTGGATTTCAGCATATCTGTCTGTCCAATCCGTTCAGTTCATGTACAAAAACCAACACTTGTGAAAATTGCCAAATAAAAAAATAAAAAACTCAAATATTGTTGAACCCAGTTAATCCACAAAATGCCCAGATTATAGTTCGTACAACGAATACATACACACATATGCTCAAACTGTTGCTCCCAGCACCAGAATATGCATTTTTGTTTACCTCCAATTAACCAATTCAGACAGCTTCTATGGAAATGAAATTTCAGGTATGCAAATGAAAGAAGAAGAAGAACTCACAGATTGATTGTAAAACGAAAAGTTTTCTACTAAAATATGTTGACTGAATGAATATATACTGAACAAAGATATATATTGAGTTGCTTCATCTTCGAAACTTTTCTCCTTTTTTTTTTTATTTTTTTGGAAATCCACTTTATTGACTACTCAGCTATTGTCTGAAGTTCTTCGTTAATAATCTCGCTACTTAGGTTCGTTTTCCTCTCCACAATTAATCCATATCACTATCTGCGTGTGTTTGAAAAATTTAGAAGCAATGCTCAGATACATCTAAGTTTATTTAAGCTCTGAACTGATAATAAAGCTATAAAAGGATTTTACATTTTGTTTTCAACAGCAAAATGAAAGCAACCAAAAATGAAAAAAGGGAAGTAAATTACAGCTAACAGGTTGAGTGATTGTTTTTCTAAAATCGCTTAAACATTTTCATCTCTTTGAATGATTTTTGCGGTTTCTGATTGTCCGCTCATCACCGAATACAAACTCATTCCCTGCCTGCATTCATAATGTGTCATAATGGTCCAAGGATTCAAGCATCTGTCCTTTGAGTCGGGTCGCTTTTGAAGTAACAACAATGACAACAAAAAGAACAACAACTACAAATTGTATCTCTCGTTTTCGACATTCACTTGGCTTGGCTGCGTAATCACCCTTTAATCTTGCTAATGATTTGTTCTCCAAATTGCAAGGCTGCATGACCAGCGCATCACATGAAGAGTAATGAGTAATGAGTAATGAGTGCCTTTTTGACATTGGATCCAACTCCCCACTAGCCCACTAGCCCACTAGCCGACTAGCCCACTCCCCAGTTGGCCAATCCAAAGTTCTCCATTCATTCGGTTATCTGTTTTCCTTTGTTGCTATTATTTTGCCCTGCTTAACATTGTCCATGTCTTTCAATTCAATCAATCAAATTGCCTGGCATTTTTGGTTTGGTACCGGGTTAACATTGCCCCCTCACCTCCAAGCCTACCACACTATCCCCCTCCGCCCACAGACCACCAACGGCGACAGTTATTTGGGTATGTTCCAATATCAAAATTGTTCGCATTTTCGAGAGAGTTCTGAATGATTGAAGCAGCTATAAAAATTAAATGTGAGAAAAGCAACAGAGTGATTTAAAACTCAATTCAAAAATACACTCTTCCACCTTAAAACTCTGATAACCTAATATTGTTTTAAGACTTGCTGAATACTTGAAGAATTTTCTTTTTCTAATTATTCGACCATTTTTGTTTGTGTTTCATGCAATGCGTTTCATAATATGTTTTAATACAAGATTTTCTTCCCATGAATATTTATGGAAAATGATTAAGCATTTTTCACATTGTTAAGATGAAACACTGTGGCAAATTATTTGGTGAATGCGATTTGTGGAACAGGCCACAAAATTGGTTGGCTTCTCGAGAGACGCCGAGGGAAATAAAAACAGCTGCCGCCAACGCAATATGGTGACTCTGCTAATAGTAAGTTGACATTTTTCCCAAGCCTGAAAGACGTCAAAAGCACCACAGAAAATTCTAACTTTTTATTTTTTATTTTTAAATAACCTGCACTTGAATGATGATTGCGTCAAATATGTTGGAAGTAGGAATATGTATGTGTGTGTGTGTGAGTGAAGAACAATTTAATTAAATGATTAAAAAAGCTTTAGGGCGGTTTGGCTGAGGTGGGTGGGGTGAGTGGCTAAAGGGACGAACCGCATGGGAGCGTGCCGAATGCACAGAAAATCACTTAGAAACTATTTTCACGCAAATTGCTTCAATCGCTTTTGCTGGTCGGTCGCCTAACACATCCAGACAGAGAGAGAGAAAGAGAGAGTGAGAGAGAGGGAGAGAGAGTATGCTGCAGGTTGCACGTAGACGTGACGGATGAACTCTGTCTGACCCAGTCCACGGGACAAGGGGCAAGGAATCTGCGCGGGTCACGTTCGTCATGCATGTAAATGAAGAAGTTTCGCTTTGGCTGCGTGAAAGTCGCCTCGAATAACAGAAACAGAAGGGGGAGGGCATGGCCGGGGAGCGTTGTGCTCGGGTCTTAGGGAATGCAACGGACAATGTCCAGTTGGTGGTCAAAATTCTTGTGTTTATCCAGACGCTGTTGCACTTCCTCTATGTTGTTGTTGTTGTAGTTGTTGTTGTCAGCCGTGTCTGCTTAGTGTCTGCACGTATAGCAAGACATTGACCAGGACTCTGTCGACTACTCACACACACACACACACAGAAAATGCAGCAGTGTGTGTGCCTTCTGCTATATATTGTATCTGTATCTGTGCGATTTTTACTCGCAATATGAGCTTGCTGCCTGCCAACAGCAAAGAGGCTGAACGCCCAGCTGAACGCCCAGCTGCAACAGCAGACAACGGCATTTGTGGCAACCAGCAGCTGTCGGGGACACACCGAAGATTGCACACCCTTGCCAAACAGAATAACAACCTGGTTTTATTCAATACATCGATAACTTAACAAAAGCTCTAACAAAGCTCAATTCAAAGTCATTTTCCTAAGCTCTGAATGGATAATGATGCTATTTTCAGTGCAGTCTATATGCATAAAATAGGGGTTAAAAAAGAAGAAGAAGAAAAACCGAAAGTATAATGCGAAAAATGTACATTACCTGGCCCTGAAGCCAAAAATGCATCTGGATGCGACAGTGTGCTCTGGCCGGAAAAGTGGCGTTTGGTATTTGTATGGCTGATTGCGCCACGCCGTGTTCATGTCCGCCGCATTCATGTTCGTTTCACTGTCCGTGTCCGTGTCCGTACCTCTGTCTACGTCCCCCCTGTCCATATACAGGGGCATGTCCGTGCCGTGTCAACGGCGCCGCTGTGGCTGTGGTTAATATGTCGGCCATTGTTCTGTTGTCCTTGTCGCTGTTGTTGTTGCTGGTGTTGTTGGTGTTGTTGCTCATTGTTGCTGCTGTTGTTGGTGTTTTTGTTGATTGGCGTGCAATCCTTAAATGTCAATGGGACGTCATGATAATCACGTCTGGCGCTGAATTCCGTATGTCGATGAACACTTTGGACTCTTCGTTTTTTTGCTGTTTACCAGCGACTCCGCTGGATTTGCTCGGCAGCACCGTTTGTCCATGCCCCTTCATGTGTCGCGTTGCAGGCTGTTGCTGTTGGTGTTGCTGCAATTGCTGCTGATGCAGTTGCTGTTGCAGCTGCTGTTGCTGTTGCTGCTGATGCTGATGCGCTGGATGTGCGTGATGCGTACGCTGTTGCAACTGCTGCTGCTGTTGCTGCTGGTGCTGATGATGATGATGGCAAATCTCCTGTGGCTTGACGGCTGAGGCAACAATTAGGCCATAGTGCGACCGCTGGTTGCCGCCAACGCCGCTGTGTCGCTCCTCTAACTCAAGCGATTCGTGCTGTGACTGTGACGGCGCATGTTGCATGTGCAACTGGCTGCGCCGCCCCATTGTGCCCAGCATTTGTACTTGTGGCGGCGGCGGTGTTGCCGCTGGCAGCGATGGCGATCCAGCGATCATACCCGGCGACGTCCCATGCTCATAGCCAAATGTGGAGAAGAAGCGCGGTGGTGGCGGCGGCAATGTGCCCCCAGCCGCACTCCCAGCACCCAGCGACGACGAGCTGGACTTTTGTCTCATTAGCGTGGCAACTGCACTGGGACTGTTCGCAAACAGCGATTCCCTGTGAAGCAGACGGAAGACGAACGTTGAGCGAGGAGAGATATGCATTTATTTCAATATTTGTTTGTTTCCTGCTCCTCAACTGCCCCAGCCCCAACTCAATCAGTCAATTACTAATGGTTAAATAACTGCGTGTACTCTATGCGAGTTAAGTAAATCTACTTGATCTGTGACTCTGACTATTGCCTGCGACGATTACTGTTACTGCTACTGTGATTGGTTGCTATGTCTGTTGCTTTGACTGTTAGTGTTACTGTTACTGTTATTGTTACTGTTGCTATGACTGTTACTGTTATTGTTACTGTTGCTATGACTGTTACTGTTACTGTTACTGTTACTGTTATTGTTACTGTTGCTTTGACTGTCACTGTTACTGTAACTTTACTGTTACTGTTACTGTTACTGTTACTGTTACTGCCACTGTTACTGCCACTGTTACTGTTACTGTTACTGTTACTGTTACGGTTACTGTTACTGTTACTGTTACTGTTACTGTTACTGTTACTGTTACTGTTTTTGTGTGACTGATATTGCGACTGTTATAGCTACTGTCAATTTTACTCCTGCTGTGACTGTTAGTGTTACTGCTTCTGTCGCTGTTTCTGTGAATGTTACTCCCAATGCGACTATTACTGTTAATCTGCAGCGAGAGTAACTGTGCCTATTTCCGTGACTGTTACTTTTACAATCACAATTGCACTGTGCCTGTTACTGTTACTCCTAATGCGACTATTACTGTTAATCTGCAGCGAGAGTAACTGTGCCTATTTCCGTGACTGTTACTTCTACAATCACAATTGCACTGTGCCTGTTACTGTTACTGCCACTGTTACTGCCAGTGTAGACCATGAACTTGCGTGTGCCTGTCAGGTGCATAGCTGGTTTCCCTGCGCCTTTGATCTTAAGTAATGGCCAAAAACGTTTTAATTCAGATAATATGTGGTGATCCAATGAAACACCTCAATTCAAGCATCTTTAATCTGTGAGCGATAAAAACACTGCTTCAAGTTATATTTCCAAAGATTTCTCTAGAGGCATGATGCAATTTTACACTTGCTCAATAGTATGTCAAGGTATAAATGTATATATATGAATGTTGCTATCGGAAATCAATATGTATCGAGACGGAGGGGGCATCAATAAAATTAAATAGAGTGGATTTGCTTAGACATGTTACAAATTGAAGGCTTCTAGCTGTTACAGTCTTCAGATCCGTTTGTCTATACGGACCAACACACATACAAACCGACTACTAGATCGACTCGATTGATGCTGATCAAGAATATATATACAATTTATGTGGTCGGATATGAGTCCTTCTACCTGTTGAATACTTTTGCACTTACTTTTTTTGTGCGACAATTTCTGCGTATCTTTAGTTTGGATGGGAATCTGTTAATATATAGCATATATACATGTTAATCGTAAAACTAATTTGGGACTTTCCAACATATGCGTTAATGAGTAGCTAATTTCAATTCCTTCCCCGGCAACTGTGTTAATGTCTCTGTGCACAGCAACTCTTACGGAGTTGTGCGTGATTACGTCATATCAGTGACCTCCATTTGCTTTATCCTTATCCTTATTGCATATGGCATATGGCGTGTGGCATATATGGAGTCTGACTCAGCTGTGTGCCGTTGTTTCTGACAAAATGAAGACGCATGCAAATACAAATATTTGCATCGATTTGTGTTGTATAAGCATCCATCAGACGCTGTTTTCGGGTCTTGTTCTTGTTTTCCTTCCCCTTCCCCTTCCCCGTCCACTATTGTCCCGTACGACACGCCACACTACGGTACACACTACATACCCCTTGCCACCCCACCTTATTCCACGGTCAGCCTGATGGTGTAACTCCTCTCTGACGTGGCAACATTGGTGTTGTTTTTGTCTGTTTGCTCATCATTTGTCTTGGCAATCTGTTTGATGGCGGAGGCGCGTCTAGTGTACAGCATATATGCTGATGATGATGACAACTCGGATAATGCAGTGAACCGACCCCCTCATCTTCTGTACATATTTACCTCGTTTGACAGCCCATATCGCAGGCATTAACCGGTGCAGTCGCAATCGACGCCTTAGTCATCATCATGTCGTGCGTTGCCGTTGTTGTGGACGAGGATTCGCCGTCGTCGACATCGATGCCGCCACAGAGACTCGCTTGAGTCATGTCTGGATTTCGGCGTAATATGCTGTGCTCCTTCTCCTTGAAATCGGCCTTGCTAGACTGCGTCGATATGGGCACAGCCTCGCGATAGTAACGATTCGATACATCATCGAGAATTTGCAGCGAGGTCTGCGAGTGTTTTTGCCTGCAATGGGAGGAATGATAATCAATCAACAATCAAAACAAATTAAAAGCAATATATTTCGAGTATTCACGGTTCTTATCATTTCCGTCCGTTTTGCCTGTCCATGGATACTTTCAATGTGCAAAGTGGATCTCATTTGAATGCGAGTCCATATTTTACAGTGGCATGTCTTTGTCAAAAGCAATATCTTTCTCACTTTGCCCACTGTCTATTCAATTTCCCTTTTCCCATTTCCCTGTCTTACAGTGCTTGTTTGAATAACGAAATGATGACCGAATGTTTGTTTTGTGTATGCTCACCTTGATATGTTCTCGCGAGAGCGTGCCTTGGAATTGCGACCCATCTCGTCCAGTTTGCTCTCCTTGGACTCGCGTATGTGATCCTGCAATGACCAAGAAATGACAGAGAAATGGCAAAAGAAACCAATAATGTGCATGAGAATCGACAGTGATAGCGATTGCGATAGCGATATAATAATATTCAATATTTTCAAGTAATTTTTCGGGCCTGATGACAGGCCTTATAAAATGGTCATACGGTCAGACATGGCATGGGCGTGCTGAAAGAGGAGGGGGAAGGGAGTGGGGAAAGGGAGTAGGGTAATCTGCAAGCAATGGTTGCGTATCAAAGAGATCCAATTGCATTGGGATTGGGTTACTGGGTGCTGCTCATTCGATGTGTCGCATTCTCTGTGCATCGTGGCCTATGTTTAATATTCATTTTTAACACTTCAACGCCGGCTTCGCTTGTCTGCCGCTGAATTATGGGGTAGCAATTGAGTGCTAGCCGCATTGATTGCCACCACGATGCCACCCAACTCCACAGCCCTTTCCGTGAAGTCGACTGGCCAACCCGAGTCGCAGCTGAAGTAATATCAATTACCGCCGAATGTGCACAATGAGGCGAGCTGCACTTGAGCGTGCATAAAAGAAAGCGTGAATACGCAAATATTGCGGAATAATGAAGGTAGCTGGCGAGGATGGGATGGGCTGGTGGTGGATGGGGTCAGACATTGCCTAGATTGCCACATTGTTATCGTCATTTGACCGTACCTTGAACTACATTCGGAATCAAGCACAAACAAAACATTTCCATAAATTTTTCGATTCTTGGATTTACATTTTCGCTCTGTTTATTATACAATATTCCATTTCCATTTTGTGTCCATCGTTTATGGCTGTTTGCAGGTTGAAGAACTACAACTACAACTATAACTACAACTAACGAAATAAAGAAAAACGAATTTGGAAAGAAGAAAGTCAAAAGCCAAATAAAGCTGCAGCTTTGATTGATTATGTTTGAGGGTTGCAATATGCAAATCGCACCCAATTTAATATTTACTTAAAGTGTTTGTTGAAGTCTTTCTTCATTTCTCATTTATTTATCGCTTACTCAACATTTTTTTTTCGTGTAGTCGTAATTAAGTGTGGCATTTCTCACGCTTATATTCCCTTCCAGAGGCAAGTATCACACTATGTATATATGTATGTAAGTGTGATTATAGCTTCAACATATCTGATCGAATTGCAACTAATTTTAACAAATTCCTCTTGAAGATCAGAGAAAACACTTTGAATTGAGCTGAGTGTATCTGCCTGCAAGGGTATCAAAGCTTCGGCAGACCGAAATAAAAAGTTCATTTTTGTAATATTTGCATTTAGTTGGCAGCGTTTATATTTTCTTTTTGCTATATTTTTAATTTATCTACTATGTTGTTAACAAGCAAACTAGTCTCATCCATTCTATTTGCATATTCAAAATTACAATATATATATTTGTGTGTGTTCTTTGTGTGTTTGTTATAAGTAAATGTTAAGCATTATTGGGATTAAGCAAAATTTCTATTGCTAAATGCATTTTGTGCGAATGGCTGAAGCAAATTCTACTCTTAATTGAAAGCAAAAACCGCTTTTATTTTTCAAAACATATCAAAACATAACATATATATATATTCTTCTATAAATCCTATCCTAAGAATATTTTTTCTTCGTTATTCGGTGCCATAAATGCTTTTTGTTCTTTTGATTTTAGTAAAAAAAAGGACATTTTTGAATCGAGAAATGAGCTTTCGGGATTATAGCATTTGTAATATTATATAATGGTTCAAACTTAATTTTCCTCTTGTTGTTTCAGTCGGTTTTTTTTCAATTTGCCCAAAATCTCGCTGAGCGCTTTTTGGCAAACCACTTTTTGAGCGAGCGATTGCATAATGGAAATTATCGGCGTGTATGAAACGAATATATACGAATTTGTGGCAGTGTTTAAATAATATTATTACAGAAACTCCATTCAATTACCAATACGGGGTTTACCAAACAAAAAAAATCTGATTGTACCAGACACCAATTGCAAACATAAACTTAAATTTGCATACAGTTTTAGCTAAATACAAAGATCAAATTTAAAAATCAATGGTCTTCCCAAAAAAAAAGCTAAAACCCTTGTAAATTTTCAAATTCTACCCGAAAATGGGACTGGGTCGAATCGAGTGAAGCTTATTCTGTTTGTGATATGGTAATAATTGTTTCAATTGTTGACCATTCTGATTGCGTCCAAAAATCAAACAGCTACCGAAATGAGTTTTCTAATTAGTTGGTGACGTATGTTGTGCAATGGGTGGGTGTGGGGAGGGGGCTGGGGTTGGGGGTGTCTTTTGACACCTGCAATATGTTGCAGATTTAATGAGACCAAAGCGACAATGCAAAATTAAATGATGCTTGACCCAGCAGGCATCAGCCTGTTCCACGTTCACAACTTCTACATGCTACAAAGCATTCCAGAGAACCGAGGACAACCAAGTTTTTTTTATTTATTGTTTTTTTTTTTTTGGAAGTGTGTTGGGGGGGGGGGTAACAACAGCGACGGGAGGAGGTGAAGCGAATGCCCGATGTACACAAATGATTGTCTATGTGTGTGTGTTTTTGCTTGGTGCATGTGTGTGTGTGAGTACGTGTGTTTCGGGCGGATTTCATGCGCTTTCTATGCCTTCTAATGATGCATCACATCCACATCGACATCGACATCCACATCCATAGAACGTGTAAATGGTCAACGTTGAAGGCGATGCTTTAGATGATTTTATTTAAAAATTGTAAGCCTCTTCTGGCCTTCGACTTTGACTTGGTTGCCACCTGATGTGGCTGAAGCATTGATGATACTGCTGCTGGTGGTGGGGGTGGTGGAGGCGGTGGTGTCAACTGCGGCAGTATTGCACCCATTTCGGTTGACAATGACGAGCCGTGGGAGCCTGTGGGCGTTGCTGTCGGTGTGCTGCACTGCAGCGAGCTGCTGTACGAATTAGTTGAGCTGGCAATATCCAGCTGGCCAGCAGTTAAAGCCGCCATGCAGTGGCCAGCGTCTAGCACAAGGTCATCATCATCCTCTGGTAATCCGGTTGCGCTGTCGCTGTCACAACTGAAACCAATCCCATCGTCGTATTCATCGTCCTCCTGTTCCAGCTCTAACTCCAGCTCTAGTTCCCGTTGCTGTTCAGCTTCCTGTTGCTCCATCAGTTGCTGTTGCTGCTTTTGCTCATAGTGACGGGCATGGTCGTAAGCCGACGTCTGCTCCGGGCCATTGGTGTTGTCGCAATCATAATCGTAATCACAGTCGTAATCGCAATCAAAATCATCACCCAGCGTTGCCACCTGCTGAGCCTCAAAGTTGCCTCTGTTACTGCAGTTGCTGTTGCTATTGCTGTTGCTGCTGTTGCTTCTATTGCTTCTATTGCTTCTGCTAATATCATGATGCTGCTGCTTGCGCTGCTCACTCTCAAGATTATATGTGAAATCGCATATGAAATCGTTTTGTAATCCCACGAAAATGGCGCTCTTTGGAGCGCCCAACACAAAGGAGTCAATATGATAGACGCTATCGCGCAGCGCTGGCACATCCTGTGGATAGAACATATAGAAAGAACAGAAGAACAGAGAGAAGAACAGAGAGAAAGACAGAGAGACAGACAGTGTGAAGAGAAGATGCTGTATATGTGTGTGTCTCTCAGTGAGAGAGAAAGATAGAGAGAGAGAGAGAGATAGAGACACATAGCGTGATTGTGTGACAGAGTGTGAATAAGTATAATATTGAAATCTATGGTGACAGAGACAGGTATAGAGAGCGAGCGAGACAACATGATAGAATATGATAGAAAGAGAAACAATCGCAGAGAGACAGAGGGAGAGCGAGCGAGAGAGCGATAATGAAGACGAGAGGGTCCAAAAGGACTTCGGCGGGCCAAGAACAGCACAGAGAGAGAGAGAGAGAGAGAGACGGAAAGAGATAGAGAGAGAAAGGGAAGGGTAGCCAGACACAGAGAATCAGCGATTTAGAGAAAAGACTTACAGAAAGTTGTGGCAAAGCGAAAAGTGCATCAAAGTGGTTCATGCATGACGACTCTATCAGCAGCAGCAGCAGCAGTCGCCGCAAATTACATGGAAGCACATTTATGACAGTTAACACACGGATGTTTGCCACAAAATGCGAAGCGACTGCATTAAAAATGAGGAAAGCACTGCACGACTCAACCCTCTACCTTAAGCCACCAGCAAACTCTAAAGCCAAATGCATTGAAATCATGCTAAAAACTTTTTTACAAGAAAAGATTAAGTGGGAACAATGCCGTCGGCGAGCGTAGCCGACTGCCGAATACACTGATATCAGTGTTATACCAACACACAGCCTTCTTGTTGCTGGGAGATGGGGGCCTCTATTACTGCATAATCATTAATGAGGGGGTTCCTGGTAAACTACCTTTTCGATCTATGGGGTGGGAATAGGTTTGGGTGTTTCCAGTAAAATACCTTTCAAATTTGGCTACTTATGCTTCAATTGCGGAAGATTTTTGATACGTTATCCAGCCTCGTAGTGAACACTTTTTAAGTCTTATGTTTCTAGTTTATGCTTGCAGATAAGGTTAAAACCAATATACTCTTATATTGTTGGTCTTAGAGTATTCAAATATTAAATTGTAAATGGCGAATATAAGTATAAGAAATTTTCCCAATGGATTTTGTCATAATGCGACAGAGTGAGGGAAATAGAGAGAGAGAGAGAGAGAGAAAGAGAGTGAAAGAGAGAGAAAGAGAGAGAGAGGGACGAGGGACAACCCTGTCGGTTTAATCATAAACGATAAGTAGCTTAACTGATATAAAAAGCCGAGAAGTTTTTAACACAGCGAATCTCTCATACTCTATCTCAAATGTAAACATTTACACAAAAGATTTCACATATCAATATTATTGTTGCTACTTCTTCAGATCACAGTCATTAAGAACAATCAACATTTGACTCAGCTATCGGAATAACAACCTATAAATGCTAAGCATACTAATGGAAATGGAACTCTTAATCTATGCACACATATGAATATTCCATCCATATATC